CCTGGATATAGCAGCGGGCTGTCGCTCGATCTGGCATTGCGCAGGACTTCCATGCCGGCTCGCAAGAAGCTGCGGTTGTAGCGCAGCGTGCTGGAGCTGCTGGAGCTGTTGGTCGGTGGCGCCTGACGTGCCTGTGGCAGCATGATGGGGCTGCGCGCTGATGGTCGAGCGGGGTACTCGGCGGACTCGACCCGCTCTTCGAACTGCGTGTCGAGCTGGAGGTGGTTGGTCGGAGAGCGTCGACCTCCAGCACTGAGCTTGCGTGGCATTGATTTCCGAGTATTGAGCAGCGCTGGAGGGCGAGGCGATATCCCGTCGACACTGGTAGAGCGGCTGGATGGGTGCTCGCTGAAGAACGGTGGGCGGGTGGGCGATACGAGGACGTTCTGGCGAGTGCCGAACTCGTTCACGTGGCGAACCAGTTGCATTGGGGGCGATGTCACGCCGCTATTGTCGTCCAGTAGAGGTAAGGTAGAGGTTCCGGCCTCGCTGCTGGTGGAGATATTACTCCGACGCTTGCCGGGATGTCGCCGTCTGCTTTCGTCTTGACTGGCTTGAGCTCGGAGCTGCGAACGACTATTACGTGGACTGGAAGCGAGAGGCCTCACCAGACTTTGCTTGTGCTTTGGTGACCGCCTCGACTTCCCCACGGGGAAGTGCAGATCCATCTCGTTCGCAACTCCAGGTAAAAGTTCTCGAGTCGCTCTGTTGATCTTTTGGAGCAGACTTTCCGATTCGCCCGTGGCATCCGTCGGCATGTATAGCGATGATATCCTCGGGCGTTCCATGGCTGGGTTTCGCTGCGGTACAAACGTCTGACTGCCTCGATCCGTGATCGTGACTGTAGCTTGGACCTCTTTGTTCCGTCGTAGAGATATCATGTACAGGTCGTACTCGTACTTGCGCCAGATCTTGCCCATGAGGTCTTCGTTGACGATCACTTGCATGTCGAACTCGCGTCGGACAGTAGCTAGCGCCACTTCAGCCTGGAACGCTCGGTTTGTTTGCAGTACTTGGTCGATTCGCACCTGCTCCAATGTAAATTCTACGGCTTGTTTCTCGGCTCGGACTTTGAACAGCATGAGCGTCGTCATCTCCAGATCGGAATGCAGCATTCCCTTTTGACATTCGTGCTGGACGATCACGCGCGCTTGCTGCCTTGTGGTTGTGTTGAGGTGCGATATCTCTCGCGATTGCTCGCACACCACAATCTCCAGATTCGCGATCAAGTCTGCCTTGAGCGCTATATCACGCTGCAGTTTGTTCACAAGATGGTCCAGCTTGCTTTTCCTGAACCGACTCATGCGGACGATCTCGCGCTGGGAGGACGTACGCTCTGCGGCTTGGCTGACTGCCTTCGTTGTAGGCGTTGGATAAACTTCAGGTATTACCTGGTCATCCAGTTCGTCTTCGTCGTCCGTGCCACCCAATCCTTCAATACTAATGATTCCCTTGCGACGAGCTGCAGCTCGCCGCTGTCGACTCGCTTGCTCTTCTTCCGTGACATCTTCCTGAACCTCGAGCTCAATATCAATCGGTTTGTCGTCTTCCGCGAGAATACTGTCAAGGCACAGCTCTTCGCCGAAGGTGTCCTGGATCATTTGCAGCAGCTCTCGTATGGCTTCATCCAGAGGGAACTCGTCGAGTTTGACAAGTACCAACATGTTTTGAAGTGAAAGGATAAAGCGGTTGAAGGCGTTCCTTGAGGTGGAAGTTGCGATGTCCAGCTCGTTCTTGTTGCGCTGCAAATCCTCCTTTTCAGTCTGGAGCTCGATCACGTGCTGCTCGGATTCCTCAATGCGAGTTTTCAACACTGTGGACTCTTTCTCCGCAACTGATAATGATTTGGCCAACTGGTCGATCTGAGCGACGTTGTCGCGGTTCACGTACGTGATCTCGCGAAGTTGCGCGTTGGCGACTTTGACTTCCACCTCCAGCTTGGTGACTTGCTCCTTCGATGTCGTCTCGTACATCTTGAACCGCTCCTTCAATGAAGCCACACTGCGTGACACATGCAATGAATTAGTGTTGTGAATCAATACAAACAAAGCGAAGTAATGAGAACACCCACTTCTTCTTGGCCTTCTCGTAATTTTTCTCCAGCTCTTGAGTTCGTTGTCGCAATTGTTCACAGGTGCGTTCTGAATGCAAAAAAGCTTGTTGTCCTGCCGAGTACACGCGCTTGTTATGTTGCAGTTCCGCATCTAGAGACTCTAAAGACGACCGCAGGTTCCAGATCTGCTCTTCGTCCCGCTTTCGATCGAGTTTGTTGGCCTCAACGATCGCTTCAAGCTCCATCTTCTGGTTCAGAAGCCGTTCAATACGCAGTTTGTCTTGCGCGCGCATCCCGGTGTTGGGCTTTTCAACCGTCAAGAGGTTGCATTTCGCCTCCAGCACCCCCACCTGGACCCTCTCTTCATCGATCTGAGCTGTTAGTCTTGCAATTTCTCGCTGGTGTTTCACGCCATTCTCCACTTCGATATCAAACTGCTCTTTCATCGTCTGCAGACGCGCCTCAAGGTGACTTTGTTTACGCTGGTTCTCGATCAGCTCCTTGTCGACCTGAATCTTTAATTCCAGGAGACGACCGATTTCCTCTTGAGCCTTTTCGACCTGCTCCTGTAGACCCTGCTTCTCTGCAGCCACCTTCTCTTTATCCATCCCTAGTACCACGGCGTCTTGCTTGAGCTGGTCGTTGTTAGCTCGCAGAGCCTGGTTCATGAAGAGCGTCTCGTGCATTCGCCTCGCGTAATTTGCCTCCTCGGCTTCCACCCGCTCTAGTTGAGCAGATAGCTTTCGAATCTCCTCGTCCAGGGCAAACCGTTCCGATAAGGCATTCAACCGCTCGGAGTTAGCGACTTCGTAGTCTCTTCGAGCGTCATCCAGAAACTCATTGAGCTTCTTCTCTTCGTCTTCATGGACCAAAACTTCAAGCTTCAGCAGTCGAATCTGCTCCGATTGAGCTGCGATCTGTTGCTGTTGGTCGGCAATCTATCAAAAACGTAGAGCATCACACGTTAACAACAATTCTTGGGCAAGTAAACTATATGCTGTAGGGCGAACCTTGAGGTTTGACTCGGTCGTTTCGGTGACCAGCCTTCGAATGAGCTCACTCTTTTCTGCTCCTCTCGCTGTTTCGTCTTCCAGTGCTGCTTGTACAAGATGGACTTGGGCTCCTAAGTCGAGTCGCTCCCGCTGAAATCCATCCTGAAGCTGTTTTTGTGCGTCCTGGGCCGCTTGCTTGAATTTGAGCATAGCCATTTCGTATTTGCCGTTCTCACACTGCTCCAGCAGCAAGAGGAACGTCAGCCATGCGTTGGAAGACACGTGTCTTTCAATGCGCGGAGGGCAGTGCGCAGCTATTTCGTTAATGATGTTGTGGAAACCATTCGTGTAGACGTAAAGTGCACGATACAGACGGTCGACTAGGCCCTTCGGCATCCCCATGCGATACAGTGAAAACCGATCCATCCCTGCGCGACGAAGCGGACCTCCGTCTCCCCCCTTGCGGAAGGCAAAGGCTTCGGAATCAACATCCAACTCGTCGTCATTCGGACTTTTCAGCATCGACGCGATGTCGCTGACAGGAAGGAGAAATCCTCCGTTTGTCTCCAAGTGCAGGTTCACCCATTCTTCAGCGATGACGGAGTCGTACAGGGCTGGAGTCATCCCCGCCTTCGACATCGGACTTGATATGCTCATTGTGTCGGAAATAGTTGGGGGTGCATCGTTGTAGTTGCCTTCGTTCTTGCCTCCAGGTGACCTCGGCCCGGTTGGACTGTTGGCATCTTGAGTTTTAGCGTTCAAGGCTCGATTGTTCATCGCAGCCAGCGTTTCCCTATTGATTCTAACGATCTCGCTCTCAGCCGGAGGAATTACTATGGCCAGCCGAGCACTGATCGCTGCCAGAGTAGCGGTAGGATCTGTTCGCGCGGCAAACAAACACAGTTTTTTTCGTATCGTCAGACTACACGGCGCTGATAGTTGGACGAAAGACAGTTAGCAACTCTACCGATGTTGAGTAAGTTTGCATGTTGTTTGGTAGGGGAGCGCCTTGGACTTCTCGGACTTGTTTCACTCTTATTGCGGCTGGTTGGTGAAGCCTCCGGCGGGGTTATGGTCAAGGACAGCTCATCAACTCCAGCATCCTGCTCATTGTTCGACTCTTGTGTTGTTACGTCGATGGAAGGAGCAGCTCCATCCTCATCTTCCATCGTGCGTTCTTGAATGCAGCGTGACTTATTAGCCTATTTGCATCGGTTCACATGTACTCAGCCGCAAAAATACACTTTGAAATTTATTCTTGAAGTCGTAAATCATAGCACACGTCCAGCATGACTTCTGATTCCCGAATGCTGCTTCCTCGTAGCCTTCTTCTTCTCGGTCGCTTTCGGCAGAGATCGATCTGTTGGTATGGTTGAGCTACTTGGCTTCCGAATGGCCTTCTTCTTCGGCTTGTTGGCCGAGGTTGACACATTTTCCCTATCTCTGGCCTTGAATGTGCTGGACTTGACGAGTCGAGATGCGGCCAATGCCGGAGATACCGCGGTAATCACGGCTTGCTTTTGCGTTTGAAGCCGTCTGAGTCGAGCTCGGCGAACACGATCCGCCACCGATTGGTTCTCTTCTGTCGTATCACTATCTTCGCTTGAAAGTAACGAGCACGAGCTGACTGGAGATTCCGGTGGTCTATTGAACACTGATCGAGCTCTCGGAATTGGCCGGGGAGGTAGCTGAGCATACGCAGGAACTTGCTCAAGTCTCTTGGATATCCGCTCTTGAAGCAGTCGGATGTCTTCATGAACCTTGCTCGTGTGGTTGTCGATCATAAGTTCTTCAGCTCGTAGAGCCTGCTCGCTCGGGGAGTCTAGGTCAGAGTAACTACCCGGTTGGCCCACGGGTATAGTATGATTCACACGCCGAATGGGTTGTCTATCAAGTTTCCTCACTGTCAAGGAGCGCGACCGATGCTGCAGATATCCTCGAGCAACCGAATTGGAGTCTTCACTTGCCTGAGACTTCGTAGCGGCCTTATTAGGCTCGTGTCTTCTACACGAAGCTTGTGACACCGTGCGCGGCTCTCTTCTACCACAGTCATTCTGGTTACCACACAGAGCACCACAGTTTTCGTGCCCTGGGGACGGATCGTATCTATCTCGGCATGGTGAGGGTTCTCCTTGGTTGATGCGGTGCGTCATGTTGAGAATCATTTGATTCTTCTCTTGAAGAAGTCGATTCAGCTCCGTATTCTTCACCTGCTCTTCTTTCAACTTGGCCTCGATATTGGTGCACTCACTGCGAAGGCGTTCATTCTCGCGTTCGTGAGCTTGTTCATGTTCGTTCATCGCTTCACACGTGCTGGCAATTCGTTTCTCGTATTCTTGCAGACGATTGGCAGTATCTTCTCTCTCAGTCTCCTGCTCTTTAAGATGCTCACGAAGTTCAGCGATCTCGCGCTCCAGTTCTTTCTGCTTGTTCACAGCTGCAGTCATCTCGGAGTGATGAACGTCAGCGGTGTTCACTGACGCAGTTCGGAGATCGTGATTGACCTTTTCTGCTTCGATCACCTTGGACTTCTCCACTTCTAGCTCCCGCTTCAACTCGATCATTTGCACCTGCAGCACTTGATTCTCCTGGGCGAGAGACCGGTACTTGACGCTGTCGTTCTCACGCTTCTCCTCTTCTTCGCATAGGGCGTCTTCCCACGCGTGTCGTTCACGCTCAATGGCCGACCGTGCGCTCTTCAATTCACTCGCCAAACTCCGATTGTGCTCCTCGCATAGACGCAATTTCTCCTCTAAAGCCGCCACCTGCTTGTCTTCACCTTTCGATCGCTCGTGCAAAATCTCGATCTGGTCGGTCAGGGACATGGCTGTGTGCTTCGCCGCCATCAAATGCGCCTCAAGCTCATGCTTCTCTTTCACTACAGAATCGTACGTCCTTCGAAGAAGACTCACTTGGTTATGCAAATTCCCGATATGAAGGGATCGCCATTGTCTCCAAGCTGTACTTAGAGCTCCTTGTTCGCGCTGGAGAGAGACCTGTTGGGCATGTTGTTTGCAGCGCTTTTTGTTAACAATTCGTCCTCGCCACCCGTGCAGGACACTACGAAGTAGGCGCCATTCCCGCCTCTTCTTAGCATGCGCGAGCATTCGTGCTCGTGCATTTTGTGCTCGAATGAGACGAATTCCAGTGCGAAAGGCATCGAAATGACGCTGAAGAATACCATACTTGTTGAGCTTGGCTTGCTGCAAGTTTGCGTGGGTACGTTGCTTCCACTTTCCCCAGGATGTACGCAGAAGCTTGATAAAATAGTGCTTCAGAGCTTTAGTCGAGTCTTGGGTGTATTTCCGCTTGGCCATCGAGAAGTACTTCCAGTGCATCCAAAGCTTCCGAAGCCGTCTTCGATTGACATACCGCTTTGCAAGATTCAGAGACCGCCTTGATGTCGCTTGCTCGGATGCGGTAGAATGCCAGGCAACAAAATAAATCTTCGCCACTGTGATCTTCTCTTTGTGCGCAGCATGTTTATCAGTCTCCACTCGTCGACGCCAGTCCACCCAGCGCCTCCACAAACGTCGGCGAAGCCTGAAGCTGTGCAACTTGTCGATCTGAATTAGTTTGCGCCACTCTCTTAAGTGAAGGCGGGTTTGTCGGCATTGCCCTCGATACTGAAGCTGAACTGATCGTTCTTGAATTGGTCGTGCCACTGAGTAGAGGAACAGCTTCCAGTTCCAGAAGGCAACTTGCTTGTTGAAGCGTTCTGATTCCTGCCAACGCAGGTCCTGCACCTTTGTTAGTGCTCTCTTGTGTCTTGTCGCGCGTTTCCATTCCTGAAAGCACAACCGCTGCATTCGATGTTCTCGCCCATTTTGCTGATCTAGTAGTATGTTTTGCTCTCGTCTTACCCGATTGACGCCTTCAATCCAACGATGGAGTATGTTCTTCAACAGCCGAGTTTCTTGTAGCATTCTAGAGCGCTTCGCGATCACACTTAGTCGGGTAATATTCACCCATTCCTGAAAATGAACTCTTCGTACGCGAAGTTGTTGTTTCTTCAAGCACGCTCTCAACTCCTGCTGCATCCACACTTTGCGTCTCCATTGCCAGAAATGATCATGTTGCACAACAAAGCACCGCTTCCTTCGAACGTGTTTGATCTGCTGCGACCAATTGTAGAATTGAATCCAACGGATGAAAAACCTCTTGAGAATCTTTGGCGTAGCCACCGCCATCGTGCGCTGAGCCACTTCTTCCTTTATCGCTTCACGTTCGTGCAATTGTTGCGCCAAAGTGCGCTGGTACGAGGCCAATTTCCGCTGAACACTAGACAGATTGTTCCTCAAATCCAATTCACGCTGCTCTGACTGCATCAAGGCCCGAATATACCTCTCTTCTCGTTGCTCGAGTTCTTGAAGACGACCGTCATTAGGCGTCGCTGTAGGTTTTGGTTGCTCAGGATTGGTTTGGAGTTCATTCCGGTCAGCGACAGTTGTTTGAGAATGCTGAGTGGCACGCAAAGGTGGAGGAGGTACCGGAGCTGGGCCTTCACTAAGCGGATTCGGTGGGCTCTTGGCAATTGGAACATACGCTTCTTCGTTTGCTCGCCGTGATCGCGGAGGTGATGAGGACGCGTGGCTTATTGCGCTGATACTTGTCATATCCAGGTCTTCACGCGTGAATGCGGACGAGACCCGACGTCGAGTATAGTTGAGATCCGTTGCGACGTCCGTGTCACGCTGACTTCTATTCATCTCGTCCTCGAATTCAGCTGAACTCGGACGGAGACGTTGCTCACGAGGACGTCTGTGAAACGGAGGACGTTGCTTTTCAACGAGTCCAGGGGGTAAGATAACATTATCTTGCCGTTGGGCGGTGTAAATAGTGTGGACTTGAGGGATTTTGGTTGGCAACGGAATCGCTGCCGATGGCTCGGCCCGTGGCACTGCCTGAGAATCTCGGAGTTTGAAGGTATGAATCGCTTCTCCAAGCGATTTGTTCGCGAAATCCCCACTGCGAAGATTTGCCGTACGATTCGTTATCGTTGTTTCTTGAGCTCGCGAGTGGCGAATTTCAGTAGCTTGGCTTTTGCTTCTCTCGCGTGGAGACAATGGGCCACCAAGCATGGGTGGCGGAGGGGGTAGGAAGCTTGGGTAGGAAATTTCCGCTTTTCTGTCCCTTGCATCAGGATCCTGTTGCTGCGGTGGAAGATGATGCTGGCTAGAGTGTGCATCAAAACTGTCGTGAGATCGCTGTCTCTCAACATAGCGAGACCCTGCCCACGATCTCCTCGGGCTTATAACTTGACGAGGTGGAGGCTTCATCTCCAGTTCATCTTTGTGCTGTTGGGCGCGTTGACCACCAACCAATTGATTTCGCTGTCTCGGGTCCATCGAGAGAAGATCCTTCAAAAACTCCACCATCTCTCTGCGGTTCTTCTCGCACAGTGCGTGTAAATTTGCGATCGTCTTCTGCTGCAGAGCAATCACGTTAGCATACGCTTCTTCCCACGACGCGCATCGCTGCTTAATGTCATTCGAGGCGCCATCCAGTCGCTGTCCTCGAGGCGAGGATCCATTTGCCAGCTTCAGCAAGTACTCCTTAGCCTTCACCTTCGGGTTCTCGGCCAATTTAGCGTGCGTTCGGATAATAATCGTAAGCATCTGCACCTTCAGCGCCTCCTGCTCCTGTTCACTCAGCGTATCCTCGTATCTCCACAACCGCAGCAACAACTTTACATTACACGCCACACCGTTCGGACTGGGCACACGATCAAACCTTCCACTCGCAACTCCTGCCATCACACGGCCGTAAAACTCCTTGTGCAGCGCAATCAACTTCGCAATTCGTTGCACCTTTTGGATATCGAAGTGGTTCTGCGTCGCCATCGTCCTCAGCGCGTCGTCCTGCGCTGCAACGGTCGGCGCAGCCTCTCTCTCCTTCTTGGTGATGTCCGTATTATCCAGCACCTGCAGCTTCTTGAGCGCCGCAACGACTCGCAGTCGATAGTTGGGCTGGTCACACAGCGGGTTCCCCATCAAGTTGAGATTCCGGAGTTGCGCGAGCTCATTCAGCCTCGCGACTTCCTTGTCGGACGCAATGAGGTTCCCACCTACAGACAGCAGCCTCACCGCCGCAAACTGCTCGATCCCTTCCAGCGACCGCAAGTTGTTCTGGCTCAGATACAGCGCCGTGACGGACGCGCACACTGTCGGTGGGACGCGGCCCAGCAGATGGACCCCTTTGCCCACTGCATTGAGTCTCGCGCCGTCGCACAGCCGCATCCCATGCTGCTTGAAGGCGTCCACCAGCGTCTTCTGCAACCGCGAAGAGGTCTTCTGTCCGCCGGAGGTAGCTGCATCCCTCAGTCTCCAAGGTGTCGGCAGCTTGTGAGACTTCTTGACGTTGAAGTTGTCGCCGAGAGGGGGTCGTTTAGCTGCTGCAGGCTGCCGCAGAGCGAATTGCCGGCTGTAGCTGGCTGTAGCAGGCGTATCCGCCATGCTTGACGCACTTGCAACAATTGCAATAAATGGAGCTTAGATACAAGTGCAACACGGGCCGTGCAAGGCTAGCTCCGCTCTGCGACTTGTGCGCACCAAGAGGCGTCATCCGGCGTAACGGCAGGACTCAGACTTCAATTACGTGGTCCACACCAAGTCGCTAAAAATACGCCTACAAAGTCGTCTAAAAACAGGCTGGCTATTTTGCAGCGGAGCTCGGGTGTGCTGCACTCAACTCACTTCTCGATTGGCATCGCAGCGCGACAAGCGACCAGCGACACCCAGCGTCCGCTACTCCCCTCCCTCTCTTCCCCCCACCACCATGGCCCGCCGTCTGACAAAAGTATGCGCTCAATGCACTGCGAGCCCCCTCCCGCACCCCTTCCTCTAACGAGCTCTTCGCTTCCTGGTAGGAGCTCGCTGAGTTTGAGAAGAACTCGCCCGAGTGGTGCACTGTCAGCGCCGTGGACGACGACCTCATGCACTGGAACGCCATGCTCGCAGGCCCCGTAAGTTGCAGACAGCAACGTTACTATGGTGCAGCAAACAAGGAGCTAACTGTGTAATTGGTGCTGTAGGAGGACTCGCCGTACTCCGGAGGCGTCTTCAACTTGGACCTGCAGTTCCCCAGCGAGTATCCGTTCAAGGCGCCCAAGGTGCGCTTCCTCACGCGCGTGTACCACCCCAACGTCAAGTCGCAGTCTGGCGAGATCTGCGCTGATATTATCAACGAGGTGGGTAGCAGATGGAGCTTGGAGCCCTTGGATCTCCCCGAGATGTATCCTAACTTTCATGTTGTGTGACAGAACTGGGGTCCGACGCTCAACGTGCTGCACTGCCTGACGGCCATCAAGCAGATCCTGGAGCAGCCCGACATGGACAACCCGCTGGAGCCCGAGATCGCCAAGCAGATGCACGAGAACAAGGCGGACTTCGAGAAGACGGCCCAGGAGTGGACCAAGCAGTACGCGTCCTAACGTAACAACTCGATAGACCAACAGCAAAAACAACAAAACGCAGTCATTCCCTACGCAATACGCAGCTAAACACAGCGCGAGCGCAGGAGATCAACTAACGGTAACGGTAGCAGCAACTATACCATCATCCTTAACGCGAAAGTTATCATGTTCAACTTGAAATTCTATTGCGAAATTTCGATTCTTATTGTCAGAATTGTATCATTACCCTCGAGATGAAGGTGGCGCTGCTCTTCCCCGCGCTCTGTGCGCTGCTAGCGACGCCTGCTGTGGCTTCAGGGCGTCATGCCTCCGTCTCCAGTGAGTCTGGACGTCCAGCCGTGCTCTGGTACGCCCCTTTCCTCAGCGGCGGCGGCTACTGCAGCGAAGCGCACTCGTACGTCGTGGCCGTGGACGCTGCACTGGGGGAGTCAACTGTATCTTCGTCGGATTCAGGCAGTCAAGAGGACTCAGAGGCCAGCCAAGACGATGAGAGCGAGGAGGCAATGGAACCCCCTTTTGAGCTGCTGATTACGCAGCACGGAGACTCGCTGAACCCGTCTTTCATCCGAGACCTGCCCGAGGACATGCGCTCCAAGCTGGAGCACCACTGGATCGAGGAGCGGGACTTCTACTGGCGGCTCAAGAACAGGAAGATCGCGCTGGCAATTTGTCACTCGGAGCCCGGCGCCTGGGAGCCCGCGCACTACATGACGTCCAGGTGTCCGCCGGAGAAGGCCCAGTACAAGGTCGGACGAACCATGTTCGAGACGGACCGAGTGCCCAAGGGCTGGCCCGAGAGGATGAACAAGATGGACGAGATCTGGGTGCCTACCAAGTTCCAGGAGAAGGTGTTTGTTGACGGCGGGGTCAGGCCTGAAGCCGTGAAGGTCGTACCGGAAGTCGTTGACGTGGACTTCTTCGACCCGGACAAGGTGGAGCAAGTGTACGATCTGGCGAGCGAGACGGCGTTCGAGATGACGGACAAGACCACCGTGTACTTGTCCATTTTCAAGTGGGAAGAGCGCAAGGCCTGGAAGGTGCTGCTCACTGCGTACTTTGAGGCGTTCTCGGTTGAGGATGAGGTGGTTCTTGTGCTGCTTACGAACGGTTACCACACTTCGTCGTCGTCGGCTGGGGACTTCCAGAGTCTTATCGAGAAGTTTGCTTCAGAAGCAGTGGACAAACCGCTGAGTGAGCTGCCGCACGTTCACGTGCTGCCCCCGCATATCTCTCAGGAGGCGATGCCATCGCTGTACAAGGCTGCTAATGCGTTTGTCCTCCCGTCGCGTGGAGAGGGATGGGGCCGGCCGCATGTCGAGGCCATGGCTATGGAGCGCCCCGTGATCGCTACGTTCTGGAGTGGCACTACGGAGTACATGACGGAGGAGAACTCGTACCCACTCCAGATTGATGGCCTTATCGAGGTAATGCTTCCGATTTATTGTTCCTGATGCTAAACCGTGTCATCTTACGATGTTTTTTTACTTGATCGTTTGAGCAGATCACTGAAGGCGCTTTCTGTGGCCACATGTGGGCTGACCCCTCCGTGAAGCACCTCAAGGAGCTGTTGATTCGCGTGAAGGAGCATCCGGAGGTAATGTGAACTTTCAAGCCACGCCGATTCTCCGCGACTTTTTCTTATAGTTTTTCTTTATTACAGGAAGCGGTTGCGAAGGGTAAACACGCGCGCGATGACATGGTGGCCAAGTATTCGCCGGAAATCATTGGAGAAATCGTTCTGGGTCATATTACGCGAATTTTGGAGCACGTTGCGGCCAAGGAAGAGGCCACTCAATCTGCAGGGGCGCATGAAGAGCTATAGAATATTCGTGAAACACGCTAAACAAAATGTGCGTGTTGCTACAAGCGGTGCTCTATTTCGACGATGCCGTTTGCTTGTAACTCGACTGTCCAGTCTACTTTTCCGCAGCACTGTCCGCGTCGTACTCTTCTTGTGTGAGCCAAGTACGATGCAACCACAGAGCTTTCGTAGGGGCAGATGGACCAGGCTGGACTTCACCTGCTAGTACCTGCTGCATTCGAGAAGGTGGCTGCGTGCCTTCACCAATTGGACGCAAAGTGCCAATGATCCGTCGTACCATGTGCCGGAGGAAGCCATTGGCAACGAGCTCAATGCAAACAAAGTGCACGGGTGCTCCTCCCTTGGCTTGCTCGATCTTCCGTTTCTTATGGTCTCCTGTGGCTACAGCCTTGGTGCCGTCCGAGTTGTGGATTTCTGCAGTAGCATTGCTTGGAGGGTCTTTGTACATATCCGCAACGTCAATGACCTCGCCACTACCGCACACTTGCGGATCCAGCGAGAAGTTCACGTTCCTATTCATAATGCATAGTTATAGTAACTTACGCACATGTTCGGAAGCGCAAACAAAAGACCCACCGTCGAACAACAACTTTTGCGGAAATAATGGTTCGCAACGTTGTTAGATCCTCAAACTTCGGCTTCAACAGCCCCTGAGAAAATGGACGGAAGTCGTGCGTGCCCTCCAAATACCTACAAAGGCACAAAACCAGTTAAAATTCATGCCAGGCGCAAACTAATTAACCACCGGTGCATCTTCAACTCACTTGAGTGCATCACGAATCCGCTGGATGTCCAGGCGTCTACCGAGGAACCACGAGTACTTGCCCAGCTCCAAGTCCGGGCGGTGTCCTTGCTGCAAGTAGTAAATGTACTTCTTGTACCGCGATCGAATCCGCGCCGGGCCCGTCGTCGGCACCGTCACACCAAGCACCACAATTCGGTCACTTCCCAGTCTGCATAGCAAGACAGCACGCGGTCACTCTACCACTGTAACGTAGCACTACAAGGTCGAGGACATTCTTTTTTGCTACTCACTTGGCATTGACTTGATCTTTCAGTTCCTCCAAGGACATCGGCAGCTCCGAGCCGAGTCGAATGAAACCATATTGCTACGAATGCACATTTTGCATACACCCTTTAGTAAAAACACCCCGACATTTCCCAGTTTGCTCTCAAAACTCACGTACATAGAGTGCGTGCGTGCCTGCATCCGTGCGGCTGACGCCCGTGACGTTGACTCGCTGCGAGGCCCCCAAAGTCTCCGTCACAGCCTTCTCTACCACCTCCTGCACACTGTCATGGCCCGAGCTGCTTTTCGCTGCCTGCTGCTGTCGTTGCCACCCCACGAAGCCCGTACCGTAGTAGGTAATGTGGAGACAGTAGCGCCAGCTCGTGGACGTCGCGGTCGGCGCGTCCGCATGGCCGTCGGCCATGGCTTCTGTCTGTTACGAACACCAATCAAGAGCGTGTATCGGATAAAGAAAATAACATAAGTATGGGTAAACTTTCAGAGAACTTCAAAAAGACAGTTACTGGTAATTTACAGGCGGAAAATTACAGTAAAATATTACAAGAATTGCCTCAAAAATGCTGCGAATTGAAAGATTTGCCTCACTTTCGAAAAGCGAAGCCGCAAGATGGCCGAGGAAGAAGGTTCTTTTGCTGCGCAGGTGGAGCAGCGCTGGGGATTTCTCTCTCCGTGGTGGGAGGCGCTGAAGTCCTGCATCAAGTACTACAACCAGTACAGCCCCGACGAGTACGTCTGGCAGCTTCCTGAAATCGTTGTTAAGGTCGCGATGCCAAGACGCGAAAGCTCCGACAGTGAGGATGAAGCGGCTTTCCGTAGACGTTTTCAGGAGGTGCGAGAGGCTTTAGCGCTGCTTGTGGCAGTTGAGCACGCCGTCTACGATGCTTACGACCACATATTTACTGAGAAATGCGAAGTCTACCATGGAAGGTATGGAGAAGAAATCAGCGAAGTGAGCATAGCAGTCAAGTTTATACTGGACGTGGATGAGGACGGACATGAAATTAACGCCGATGCTGCCGACAGTGTCGAGTATGATCTTGTCCACTTATGCGGGACTGATCAGCGTGAACAACCTAGCGAGGAATATCGGACCGCGTTGAGCCAGATTGCTGCTCTTGATGAAAACCTAAAGTCAGGGGAGGCTGGAGTGGACATACAAATTCCCGTGAGAGTGGATTTTCGGGAGAAACTACTGGGAGATACAATAAATGTCGACACACAGCTTAACTACGCAAAGACATTGAAGGAGATCGCAATTGCTGAGAAAGAGATCCACGCAAGCAATACCGGAGAAAAGGGCGTGGAGGCTGGAGCACTCCGTTGCACGTTTGTGTTGGAGCCAATGTCTGTAAATGCTGGTTTAATGCCTGAAAGTCTGGGGTTTGTGGATGCGCTAGGACAACTGGTAGTAGAAAACGTGTGGTTCTCTTCGATGGATGTCCCTGTGCCTATCTTGTTTGAGAATTCCAGTTATCCCGAGGCTATAAAAATCTTTGGACAGTTCTTTAGACGTGCACTGAACGGTACACGTCGTAATCAAGAGGACGCTACATTGGCTACTACTTCGACGCCGGTGCAACTCATCGAGGGTTGGTCGAAGAAAGCGGTTCTTCTCAACTGGCAGAGCTCAAGTTGGCATGCGACGCGACGATGCCACCCCGCGATATTGAAGCAATGTGCTCGGCGATGGCGCTGATCCAGACGACTGAGAAGCTCTCGCTTTTTTTGGAGTTAGAACCTTTGGATCGACAAAAACGTGAACACTACTGGAAGTGGTTGGCCTATGGACTGTTTTCGAAGCGTGCCCAAGCCTTCTCGTCAGTCAAAACGCTAACCCTCACGGGGATCCAGCAATTGAATGCCACCGATGTACAAGCATTCACTGCAATATTGGCGTCGGAGCACCCAGAAGAGATGCTGTTTGGCACTCCCCGAGGGCGAGTTGATGAGAGAGGTGCAACAATAACGAGTGGCACACCTATCCGATGGGAGTTTGATAGAGAAGGCCACCCCGTCGTGAACTCACGTTATCTCGCGTTGGAGGAAGAAATTCCGTCCGTAAGAACGTTTAGTGATGACGGAGAGAGAGAATGGGTTGATGTGCTGGTTCCTGGATTTGGACGTTGCCAGGAGCAACGCACGAACTTGAGTTTTGAGTGTGGTACGACATCAAGGACAAGTTCGAGTGCGATTACATCGCTGAGTGGTTCCGTTTATCAAATCGGTTGGATCCTCCTTGACCAATTTGGTGCTTGATGTGCTCATTTGCAAGACGTGGACGAGAACGCGATTATTCGAAGTTGCCCCAATTTGCAGGAGGTTACATTCTCAAGACGCTTGATCGACGTACAGCTCGACCTCAGCGAATACCGTGCAACGAACACGCCAATTCCCGATCTGACGTTTCAATGGAGCGACGTCACGGAATTTGCCAAGCAGCTACGTGACGACAGCAATCCGCTTACAAAATGTGTGCGCCGTCTGCGGTTTTCTTTGCTTTCCCGTTGGGTTCCAGAAGAAGTCCTCATGGCTGGGAATGCGCCAAATTTTGAATTCTACGTGAACGCGATTATCAAAATGCTGGAGGTGAACGAAAGGCTGGAATACCTGGAGGTGAGGTCGCCTTATTACAAATATGTCAAGGACTTCAAAAGTTTCACGTGAAACCGATTCACCGACAGCGCGAGCCGCTAGCAAGGAAGTGTATGCTCGCTTTCCTAAGTGTGCTCGCGTCAAGGACGCCGTCAACAACAGAGACAACCAAGAAGAGAAAGGTAGACGAGCCCAAAGCTGTCCCGGCGGAGATTGACGTGGCGAAGATCTTTTCTTTTGAGGCAGTCCCCGTCATTCGAGAGGTGTTTTATCACGCGTCACAGCGCCCCGTTCGCACCGTACAGCAAGCTCCTCAATCTCAGTGAATGCTACGACAATTAGGCGATAACTGTGATGAGGGATTCATTCTCAGCAACGGTGCATCCTGCACTCCTTTTTTTTTCTCAGTGAGGTCACTAAGGACCGCGACATGCTCAATGGAATACATGAAAAAACACCAATTGCAGCTCTCAACTCGTTTTTGCCGATCCAAAACTGTATCCAGTACAATATTATCCCCGCTAAGCTTATGAGACGTTCCATCATCTAGCGGCGCAATATTATAAGTACGTCCGAGGTGGCTGAGGTGCTGCTAGAGTATCATTCTCCAATCTACTTTCCAACTCTCAGCGTGCACCAAGCGTCGACAACCAACCATGCGAGTATACTTCGTACTGATTACTTCAGCATGCTGTCTACTTGCAAGCTCCAGCGCTGTCTCCGCGGAGGTTCCCTTCGTGAACTCGGCCAGCGCTGTCCAGGCTACTGCCACTAGACAGCTGAGGGGAGTGGCCGTTGATAGTGACGAAGGAAGTCTGGGCAGTGCCTCAGTGGACGAAGAGAGAGGTGGTGTAGTGGACGAGATACCCGAAAAGGCAGTGAGTACCTTCGCGAGGTTGGGGGGGAAGGCGGTGACAAGCTGGCCACTCTCAGCTTCTGGATAAGGGAATACGAGAGCAAATACAAACTCCACAAATCGTGGACCACGATACTCGTTCAAGTTCCTTGTTAATAAAATCCACGGTCGACCGAATGGCCTTCTGCGAGCATGTGCGCGATAACCCCGTTGCCGTGCCGTACAGCCAGGTCTAACGCGGTTGTACCTTCCTACAGTTTTAGTGCGGAAGTTTTGTGAGAGAAAAAAAATCGAGGATTTACTTACTGTAAGGAATCCGCACCGAATTGACGAAGGTCTTGTCAGCTCCGTGGCGCAAAAGTATCCGTGCAACATTGTCGTGGCCCCAGAATGCTGCTTCATGCAGAGCGCTGAAGCCATCGGACTAACAAATCAAACAAGGCTGAGATCTATACGCTGTACATCACTAACGAAAGGCATTATTGACGTACGTCACGTTGGTTCACATCGGCCCCCTCTTGCAGCAAGAATGCCACGCACTCATCTCGACCCTTTCTCGCTGCCACTTGTAGAGCTGCATACCCTTCTTTCTACCCAGTGTGGAACACATGCACACTGATCAAAGACCCTGTCGGTTTGCTTATCAATCAATACAGTCTTTACATCGGTGTCGTTGACCCGTGCGCCCTGCTCGATCAAATACGCCAGCTCCTTCACGTCACCATTACCCGCAGCTTCTGCCCATACCCCTCACGCCACGTTAGACCGGGCTGATGTTGTATGCTTGCCTAAAGTCTCTGTACCTGTGAAGAGGTCTTCAATCTTCACCACACTCATTTCGCGTTTATCCCTTCCCTACCCAGCCAACGACTGCAGAGTCGCCATTTCGGGAAAAGACGTCATCCCCAAAGATCCACGCCCACGGACGGCACTTGAGCACCAACGAGGCGCCGTCGCCATGAGCGTCATTGACCCCGTCTTCTTCGACAAGAAGTTCAGCGTGCCTCGCTACATGCTGCGGTATGTGGTGGGAGCGGCGACCGACGAATTTCGCGACCAGCAGCTTCAAAAGGTGCGCAAGTTCCGAGCCATGGCCGACGAGCAGATCGACGGCGTCATCGACCAGAGCTTCGTCAACTTCAACACGAGTCTCGCTCGCTTCACCACCATCTCAAACCAATTGCAAGGTCGGTACTGTCGTGGCCGAATTGGTTCTGTTCCTCGTGCTGTTTTAACACTTAGTGCTTACGTCTCCAGAAACGCGGGACAAAGTGCAGGAAGTCCGCAAGCGAGCTGCCGATGGTCGGACCATTCTGGGTTCCAAGACGAAAAACCTTCGCGAGCTGCTGCTCCAAAAGTACGAGGCCAAGAAAGTGATCGACATCATCAACGACATCGAGTGCATTGAGGCCGCACCGTCCAAGATTGAGGCGCTGCTGAACCAGCGCAAGTTTCTTGAAGCCGTCGACGCGTTCGCAGGCGCGTTGGACTTGGTTTTTAGCGAGCAGCTCGTAGCTTTCCACGCCACGACGGGGCTGCGCAACGACCTGATGGAGTGCAAACAAACGATCGAAGACAGATTGGTGCAAGAGCTGCAAAGAACGATCTACCTCAAAGGCGCGTTCGCCAACATCGCCTCGCGAACCAACCAGTATTCGCTAGCAGCTATTGAGAATGAACTCAGCAGCGGCGCACACTTCGACCAGGAATTTGAGAGACTGATGCTGCAGACTTCCACCTCCAAAGGAGACGCCTCTGATCACAACCGTGCAAGCATCGTTGGCGTTCCTGCTGCTCCCCTGCCAACAAACAACGTGCTTCAGACCGCAGTCAGCGCTGTCAAAAAGTGAGTGGTGCCAAAGTTCTCGCCTGATAATATGATCATTACTCTGACCTATTACTTGTCTGCAGACTCCATCGTGAACGAGAAGCCATTGGCACCATCAAAAGCTCGATCGAAGAAGAGCTGGATGCAGTAGTTGCGGAACTATCACGCCTCTGTCGAGGCATCTTCAATTCCAGCAGTAGTACATCGTTTGCCAACGCGTTCACAGAGGCAACGTTCGGCACCCACGACCACTCGAGCGAGTTTGGCACATTTCTGCGTCTGCTCTTCACCGTGCTCCGTCGTGTTGCTCAGCGCCACTACCTCGTCGCTGTATACTTCGAGGCCGACGGCGACAACTGGGACTACGGCATGTTCGAAGTCGTAACCAAAATTTCCGGAGTGCTTGAGGTAAGCTTTCTTGTCTTGAGGGGATCATTCCTGGAGGCGCTTGGGCTAAGCTTGTATATGCGCAGCGTGTGCTGGTAGAATACCTCGATGGTGTATCTTCGCTTCAGCCCACGGCACTCAATCCAGAGCTTTCTTCTGCTTCCGGCAACGGCGAGTTGTTCAAATTGAGTCGGAACAAGCCACTGACAAAGAATCAGTCGGGTGAAAGCAACCAGGTAACTGCAATACGCCGCCGCCTCGTGTGCGAACCGAGCGTGTTCCACTTGCCCGACGTTTACGAGGACTTGGAGCGCATCGGCAAAGATTTCCAGCAGCTTTTCCGGGCCAGTAGCTCCCGTTCTGGCGTGGCCTCACCTATGTCATCGTTGTCGGGTTTTGCATCATTCCTCAGCACCTTCATCACGCAGAAGTGGATTCCTAAGGTCAAAGCGAAGGCACAGCAGTTTCTGGCGCTAAAAGGACGGGGTCAGACGACGATCTGTCGGCTGCCCATTCCGTCTGACACAAGCTATCAGCCACCCAGCATCGACAGTTTGCTCCACGTAATCGAAAACCTCCGCGAGATGATGGCCAAGATGCCGACTCATGCTTCCGATTTGGCGAGCGTGCTGGAAGCCTCTGTCTTGAGCTGGCTGGAGGAATGCGCCGTCATTGTGCGGGATATCCGAGAGCAAACACTCAATCACCAGCAACTGCAGACCAAAAATGTCACGTACGCCGACTTGGCAGCAATTTTCCACGATTACGAAGGCTATCAGCGAGCCAAGCAAGGGAGCCCGATCCCGTATCACCACTCGAAGGTGCAGCCGACCGGATCCATGACTAGTGGTGCAGGTGCCCGAATCACTGCCGAGGAGGTCATAGCGGCAAGAGAACTTGGGCTCGAGAGCGAACTCTACGACCCGGATGCGTGGATGCACGGAGCAGACGGTTTACTGATGGATAACGCGCGGATCGGCATGCTCGGCTACGCCAACAGCGCATGCGACCTCATCGCTGTGTACCTTCAACGTGTTGCTGGAGGTTCCGAAGGGAAGTCCAACAATTGTCCGACTTCGCCTGTTACCTCGCCAGCCCTCACCATGGCGCTTCAAGCGGCGAGTTGGCAATGCAGCGCCCTGGCTGATGCGTGTCTTCTTTTCCTGCGCCGCGAAGTGAGGCTGCATTGCTGCTACTACCTCACGCAGCTCGTCTCGCAGCGATTTGACATAGAAGAAGGCCAGCCGACCATGGCTCAAGACAGCGTCCTCACGCTCAACCTCAACCTCTCTTCGATCGAAAACGCGCTCCAGCCATACCTGGCGAGCGACAAGATGACGCTTGTGTACAATGGCGTGGACGCGCTACTATCGCGGCTACTGATAGGCAACCTCGCACAGATGACCGACTGCACGTTTACTCGCGGAGGTGTCCAGCAAATGCTGCTCAACATCGGTGCTCTGCGTCAAGGACTCACAGGAACGCTCTACTCGTACCCACGCGATGGTCTGTCCTTGTCTTCGTCGGCTTCGATGCCTTCGTCCTGCTCGTCAGCCTCGCGATTGGAGCACGCCAAGCGGTACTACCAGCTCCTCAACTTGTCCGAGACGCAGCTTGAAATGTTTCTGCTGGCAAACCGCGGCGCGTACACGCATGAGGCTTTTCGAGCGCTCTGGCACATCAATGCCCCTCATCGCCCACTCGCCAAGGGGAGCGTCAACAAGCTCGACAGCCTACTGCGATAGATCGACGATAACTCATGATAGCACGATAGGACAGACCGGCGTATCAAACCCAATGCAAGTATTGCATTTCATCCCTCCCCCCTCTTTGTCTGCGTTCGAAGACCTCTCATCGTTGGAAAAAAGAGTCCGCCTCTTGTGCCTCCGTGTGCGTAGCCGGTAGATCAGTGAATGACGGGAACAACGCTCTGCTAGCGCTGCTGGAAGGCCGCGTCGAGCGCGCTGTAGTAGCCGCAGCTGCAGCTGTAGCTGGGTTGAATGCCTCTCTACTGTTGAGGAAATCGGGCAGCGGTGGAAGCGAGCGATGTGCTGGTGGGAGCACAATAGGCGTCCTTGGTGGTTGTTGTTGCTGCTGCTGAGGTACCATGGGCAGAGCGGCCAGCGGCTTACTCGGCAGCGGCAAACTCACGGACGGCATGATGGGGGTCGGATGCGGAGGCCTGGTCGCCGCCGCCGCCACTGCACTAGCCACAGTCGGCAATCCAGCCGACGTGGCACTTCCTGGTCCTCCACTTGTCGTCGCAAGTGGTCCCGGCATCGGGAACAGAGGCGGCGGTGTCGAGTGTAGCAGCGACGTGGTCGGCCTCGTCACCTGCTGCAGGTGCGGCAAGGAGGGGATCCGCTCGTGCGCAAAGGTCCGGACCATGTCCAGAGGCGCCGGCGGGGGCGGCAGCGTGAACTGCACGCCGCCGACAAACGGCAGCCTGCTCTGTATCTCTCTGTGTCTCTGCTGCTCCTGGTGCTGCCTCAGCGTCGGCAGCTCCGGCGCGAGTCTCAGCTGCGGCAGCCGCTCTCTCCCCAGACTTGGCGGCAGCTGAAGCTGGCGCGCGGAGGCAGGCAGCGCAGCCTCCGCCTGGTCCTGCTCCTCTTCCTGTTGCTGCTTGAGCTCACGCCGCCGCCGGCGGATGCGCAGCCGCTCACGCTCCCGCAGCTCCTCGCGCGCCTCATCGTCCAGCGTCTGGCGGCGCTCACGCTGCCGCTCGCGCTGCTTCTGGCGGATCTCCGCCTTGGCGCGGTCGCTCAGTCCCTGGCGGCGCTGCTGCTGCCGACGCCGGTTCTGCGCGCGCAGGCGTTCGCGCGCCTCGGCGTCCAGCTGCGAACGACGTTCGCGCTGCCGTCGCGTGTTCTGCAGGCGCTGGCGCTCAGCCACCGGGTCCGCTGCGTTTTGAGCCCGGAAGTGGCGGTACTTGGCTGCACGCCGGTTGGCCAGACGTCGCCGCCGCTGATCGGGCGACTCGCGTGGCGGACTCGCATACTGTCGGCGGATGCTCGGCGGCGTGTCGGGCGCGACCGCCATGTTTGAAGAGCACGGTTTGCCCAAAGTGTACCATAAGGATGGTACATACAGTCACACCTCTTTAAATGAGACGGCGGCAAACACCCGGTTACTAATCAACCTAGGTACGAATCGCGATTTAAGGGCATCATTGCATAGATCAGCGTCTCCTCTTTCTTATGAGCCCTCCCCAGGGAGGTCCCTGGCTTTCTAGAATTGAAATCCCATGAAGTTATGATCGTTTGAAAAAATTATCTCTTTTTCGAAGCCGAAAACTCAAAAAAATTTATTGGTGGTCTAAACGTAAAATTGCACGGGGGAGCCAATGGTGGCGTCGGATTGTTCAGATTCGACGTGGAACTAACCTAAAAGTTACCTTTTGTGTGTAATTTCAGAATAGTGACATTGGGTGACACTAAGTATCATTTTGATTAACACGAACAATATGTTTTGCCTAAGTCTGAGCAGAAAGCTAAGCGTCCGGAGAGTTGCAGGATGTCTTCTGCTTCTTAGCAGCTGTAGTGTCGCGTCCGCGACGGTCACAGTTTTCCTTTGCAGCCGCAGCCATAGCTGCCCGGTGTTCACGGCGCGCTTGCTTCGCCGTTTTTGCGTCTTCGCCTTGCTTCTTTGACGGGGCTGCATACATCACGTCCGACCTGAATTCCTCCGGCACGTATTTGCGAACGGTCTGGTTCATGGTGTACACCTTTTCCGGGTTGATAGGTGGTAGTGGCAACGCCTCCAGAAACTGCGTGAACATCCGCTCGACCTTGGTGCCTTCCGTCAACACACCGTCAATCTTTCTACGGAGATCTTGTTCCTCAGCGTCGCTGTCAGAATCCTTTTTGCATTGCACCAATCCCGGCTTGGACGCATCCATCGAGAAAATCTGAAACTGCTCAACACCGACTAGAGTCTTGTAGAGCTCAGAGACTAGTGGTTTGTAGCTGTAGAAGAAATCATCGCCTCGCGAGATGTGAACCGTAGCATTGGACGAGGCAGAGTCATTCACCGCGTCGACAATGCGACCCATTGTCCAGAGATCCTGTCGCGACACGTACTTGCGGATGTGTCCAAACCCTCTGTCGCAGGAGTTCTTTGTATGTCCTTTTACAAAGAACTTGAAGTCGATCCTCTCAAAGACACCCATGTGGACCTGGGCCAGCAGGACTTTGATCACGAGATTGTTCTTATTCTGGCCCGAACAATTGTCGGCGTACACGACAAGCCGCTTCTTCCCTGCTGGCACCAGGACCGTTCGGATGAAGTGATGAAGCATGGAGTTCACTTGGTCCGTGCCTTTGCCGCTGACGGTCTCGTCGTACACGTAGTTGGTCTGGACGCCGTCGTTCTCGTGAAATATGCCAAACACATTCACGTTTACTAGTGAACAGAAGTACCACTGCGAAGGCGTCGAGGACACCGACGGGACGGTCAAGTTCTGCGAGAAGTCCATCACCAGAACAGCGGTATCATTCTCCCTTCCACCGTTACGAGCTGCAGCCTTGTCAGCTTTGTACTCCAGTCTAAAAAATATCGAATATATCAAAAAGATATTAGTGTCCGGCGAGAAATCAAAATGTTACCAACATCCATTTGCACTCTTACCGCATTCGATGAGCTGATACAGTGTGCTGCCCGAGCTCTTCCGTCTCTTCCGCCGTCGGACCTCCACGCATTCTCGACTGGTAGATAGCACAGAGGTCGCAGACGTTGGATCGTGGCGATCGGATCCGAATAGCTGGGCAGTGAAGGCTGAGCAGCTTTCTCATGGTTGCAGGGGCAGGTTCCCGGACCCGTAGCGCTATCTGCTCTACGTAAGAGTGCATCTCGTCGTAGATTGCGCTCCACGTGAAATTCGCAGGCAGCAGCGTGTAGTTCTCGCGGCTGTAGTACTTTGTAATCTTGCCGTCGGCAGTCTTCTGTAGCCGGACACGTACAGGAACCACGTCACCTACTTCTGCGGCAAACTCTTGAAACCACTTCACCAGCCACACGACGTCGACCTTGGCGGCGTGCTTGTTCAGCTTGTTCCCGTGCGCCTTTGGCGCGATGTTACCACCCCGAACCCTTCCTTTATAGCGCTTAATAGTGAGCGGTGCCACATCAAGGCACTTTGCAAACGAGGGACGGCATACTTGCCCGATAAAGGGCAAGTAGTAGTGAAACTTTTCTCGCGCCCCGCCACCACGACGCCGCTCAACGGTGTCCGTCTGCATCAGCAGTGCCAACATCGTGTAGATACTGGGATACTGGTCATTTGCTCCGAGCGAGTCATCTGGGAGAGTGAGCACACCAACCACTCGATCTCACGCGCCTTTCCTTCGAGGCAACGGCGCTCGCACGCGTCTGCCTGGATCAACGCAGCAACCTTCTGCTGCAAATCGACCTCAATCAAATTGATACTTATGTCCTCTTCGTCCTCGCTGGCGCTTTCCACACTCTCGCCGGTCAATCGTTCGTCTTCATCGTCCTCTTCTGCACTCATCGCTTCCTCACTCCAGTCCTCATCCGCGCTGTTGTCGGGCTCGTCGCTCTCGGCCGCGCTGCTTTCCAGATCGCCTTCGCCGCTGCGACTTTGCTGGACTTGTTCAGTGTCTTGAGCAAGCTGAATGGGTTAATCAGGCGTCGCAGCGGTTGCAACCGCGCTAGGAGGAAGCGGCATCAACGTCAGGGAGCTCGACGGTGACTGCAGCAGGATGGAGGAGCCTCCTGCAGTGCTAGAAGGAGTAGGGCTTAGCGGCATGGCAGAGATCTTGACGGTGGTTGGCAAAGTCGATTGCGTGGGCGTCCCAGTTCGGTTTAGTGACGGTTCGAATTTTCAAAACACAAAATCCTCCGTTTCTCAAAACTTCATTTAAGTGCGAAAATCAGTCGCCCAACTTTGAAGGCGATTATCTCGATAACTCTAAAAGGTGGATTAGCAACATTATGTCAGCCGCTGTCTCAAATGACTCCCAGTTCGCTCGGTCTAATACGCTGTTTCAGTTAAAGAATAGATCAGATAAAGAAATGGCTACACTTCTAATGACTACATTTTCATTTGTTAGGTGCAACTACAAGGGCTTTCTTTACCTGGTACCCCTCCAGCATTTTCGTACTCTTGTTTTGTTTCGTCTTCACACAGACAGAACTTAACCAATAACGGTAGGCGCGGTATTGTCTGTTCCTACTCCTTCTTCTCATTGGTATTAGCAGAATCGCATCCCCTCAGGTTGTACGTGAGTTTCAATACAGTGAGGTTATGGGAATATTTGTTGTCCCGATATCCTGCCACCATGCCTGCAGTTTTATCTTTCGCTAGGTATCTACTGCATAGCCCCTAGTTGTCTCGACATCATAATATTTTAGTTTTTCGTAAATTCTATATGCACGCTGCGCTGATTGTAATATAACGTGGCTAGCTTATTTATCAGTATTTACAAGCTTGCAGTTACATGCACTGCAAATAGGCAACCCGGAGCGTTGCTCCGGGAGGGTACACAGGTCGCCGAATAGTTTCATGGACGATGATAATGGATAATAATTGAGTAAATCCTAAAGTTTTTTGTTTTTAATCCTTAAAAGCACTACCAGCCCAACTCTTTAGTTGACTCTAACGTGGGCATCTACTGCGCCTGCTTCGCAGCCGCAGCATCTGCCCGAGACTGCGTAATTGAACAAATAGTTGCGCACATCGAAGCGGAAATGATGTTTCAGCCAAAACCTTTGTGAGGCTGGTAACCAGCAAGCCCCGCTCTTCTTTATCGTGGTGGGTTCTCAGGAACCGAAAGTCACCAATTGAGGTTGCCTGGTCTGATGAGGCCATCGGTGACATAGCACCCTGGTCCAATGGCTGCGTTGGCGCCAGCAACGAGAGAGCTATTTCATTCATTTTGCAGGTAAGGTATACCGTGCTCATTTTCGAACTATGTTGTGTGCTAACGATCAGACGAGAGAGCTACAGTGTAGCGGGACGAAGTAGAGACGCATGGTGCGCTGATCTTGACCTTTTAACTTGAGGATGTTAGCTAAGTGACAATAATGATCCTCAATTCAAAAACAAAACAAACAAACAAACAAACTTTTAACTTGAGGGCTTGGGGGATAAATTGCGGAATGAGAAATACGCTAATGGGCCAATTCCTTGGAAGTGAGTGCTTCAACGGAGGGGGAAAAAGTCTTATTCAAACGAACGATGCTCGTATCACTGTCGAGTTGAGCTGATTGGTTTGGCGACAGACACGAGGTTGGGCATCTTCGGCTAAGAGTATTGGGTATTGAGCAAATTGACATGTAAAAAAATGCAACCTGCACTTAGACAAGTCATGTTGGTCATCTTCAGCTAAGCTTAGTCGATTATGGCGCAAATTGATACGCCTTCAGCGAAGCCATGAGGCTCTCATAGTGTACTGGAGCGTCCGTAAGTATTTGAATGCAGGTTTTGGTAAATAATAAACGATTAGTATCAACCTTTGGTAAATAATGTGCATAAATCTTAGCATTTATCGACGGGTACCCGATTCCGGCAAATATTAGCTTAAACATTACAATTAAGAAAGAGAGACCCGGTTTGGTACCCGGTTTTGGAAAGTTACAAGTTTTTTGCCGGGGCCAAGCACAGGTCTTCGACCTGTGAACTCTTTGTTCCAACTTAGCATCCCAAATAAAATTTCTCTCTTCGCTCGATTTGTTGTGGCGGGAGTAGTGGTAGCAATGGCATACGTGGGAGGAGGCAGGCAAGTGATTGAGAAAAATATATGAGTTTGGATCTATTACTACGGCGTCCATTTAGAGGGTTGAGGCGCCAACAATGGCGACCATTTAGAGAATAAAGAGGTTTTTGATCAGATATAGAGCACCTATAGTGAAATCCATATAATCCCGTTTGCAGTCGAGGAATACTAACCAGATAGGGAACACATTGTCAGTTGGAGGGGTTCATTTAGGGAGGTGTCACTGTAGTGCCCAGAATTGCAATTGTAAATTTCAAATTTTATTTAACATTAATTAAATTTGGAAAACCCAATTATTTTAACAATTAGGTCACAATTATAAAAATGTTTTATAAATTGTTATAAATAATAATCTACTTATTTTTAAGTTTAAAAAAAGAATCAATACTCAGAGAAACCTAAATTTCACTTAATTTAAAAAAGAATGAAACAAACTATCGAACTATACGAGGTCTTTTTGACTGTTGTTGCTGAAGCGTTGCATCAGCGACTTAGAGCTCTACCATTCATTATTGCTTAGGCCTAGACTGTTGGTATGGTTCTGCGACCACTTTTCTTGCGGGCAGCCTCAACAACGCTTGATTTTATTTGTGGCACCCCATAAGCTACCAAAATAACAGCAAATGAAATACGTAAGCTCCAAGCAACGAAATCAAACTTGATAGCGCAAAACAATAGGCAAGGCTTACCCGAATATCTCCGACTATACTCAACGTTGCCGCCCAGCACCCGGTCGAACGCACTCACCACACCCGTACACGGACGCTCCTCGCATGCGTTGACATTCGTACCAGAGACAACTCCGACTACCACCAAACACTCGCGCGGAATCGTAAACCAGTGCAACTTCGGGTGTACGAGAAACTCGCTGCCGTCCTCCTCCGTCAACCTCGAGATGCCGAACGCTCTCAGCGTGTTCACCTTGTAGTACAGGACGCCACCCTCGCACACGTACCCGGCCAGCGAGATCAACTTGGAGCGCGCCCCCAGCGTCGTATCCACAGAGCAGGGCTTCGTGAGCAGAGCGAGACCGCCGTACTTCCACCACACGAAACAGAGTGTCCCCGTCAACCGAGTGAGCACGATCACGAGCACGCAGCCTAGTGCGATGCAGCCGTGACCAACCAGACTCATGACGTAGTACGAGACGGCCTTGGCCTCCACCTCGGTATGCCGCAGACTCGACCGGTTGAGCGACGTCAGGTAGAACTGGATAAGCGCGGCCGTGAGCAGTTCTCCGACGAGGGCCGTCTCGTAGTTGAAGAGCAGCCGCTTGACGAAGCAGCGCGTCTTCTCCCTCATCCAGCCCATGGTCTCCACCATCTCGAACAGCGTGGACATGATGCCGGCCAGGTTGTATCCGAGCGAGATGGACTGTATGCGTCCCATGAATCCTTCCTGAGTGATCAGCTGGAAGAGGTCGCTCATGAGGCCCAGATCCAGCAGTGCGAACAGCAGCAGTAGTCGATGATAGTTTTTCGCGCCGTGGGCCGACAAGCGCAGACTCTCCTGCACGAAGACGAAGGCGTCCTGGAAGCTGATGCGCTCGTCCGCGGGGTTGCAACGCCTCACGAAGCGCTTGCACGACACGAAGCTGCGCCGGATCACCCAGAAGCGGTACGCGATCCACAGCGCGCCGGTGACTCCGTACCAGTATGATTTCCGGTAAAAACCATCTCCCTTGTCGTTGGCGAGGCGGGATCCGTTGATGTCGAAGGTGCCGACGGCTTTGACGATGTCGTAGGCTGTGCTGTCGAGCGCGCAGAGGGTGCCCTCGCCCTCGATGTAGAAGGAGTAATATCCGATGCTGCCGTGGTAGAAGTAGCTTTCGAAGGGGTAGCTGTCGTTGGCGCAGTTGGCTGGTGTGGTTTTGTAGGGCTCCGCCTTGTTGAACCCGAGAAAGTAGCTTCCGTGGACGTTATACTGGGGCATGACATAGTGGCATAGAAGTCCCTTTTCGACGTGAAAGTAGTGTATTGGGGAGATATTCCACCAGGCTCCAGCCATGTAGAGCTCTTTCACGGGGCATCGTTGGAGTAGGTCGCCAGTACTGGGAACGATGTCAGTCGGTGTGACCAGATGAAGAGAAATCTTGTGCGGGGTCATGAACTGGGTGTATCCTCGAATCTGTAGCATGAACGGTAGCAGCCCCACTGTCATCCAGACGAGGGTAATCACGCGCTTGGTCGAGAGAGGTGGAGCCTCCACTCTCCATGCACGAGCTCTCATCCACGCCATGTCGGTTGTCCTAGTATTACGTTATAAGCCGTGAGCCCCGCGTAAAAATACCGGCCTTCTCCGTTACGACCGTCCAGGCCGACAGTCAAGCTGTTGCGTCATTGCCAAGCATCGTTAGTTGCTTGACGCCGAACCTGACGCCATGGCAGGCAACCTAGCCTAGCTGATATACAGCGCGGAAACCTCACGAAGCAGTCCGATGGATATGAACAGTGTAAGAGGAAACACGAAGTTTTCTCTTCATCTGGTCACACCGACTGACATCGTTCCCAGTACTGGCGACCTACTCCAACGATGCCCCGTGAAAGAGCTCTACATGGCTGGAGCCTGGTGGAATATCTCCCCAATACACTACTTTCACGTCGAAAAGGGACTTCTATGCCACTATGTCATGCCCCAGTATAACGTCCACGGAAGCTACTTTCTCGGGTTCAACAAGGCGGAGCCCTACAAAACCACACCAGCCAACTGCGCCAACGACAGCTACCCCTTCGAAAGCTACTTCTACCACGGCAGCATCGGATATTACTCCTTCTACATCGAGGGCGAGGGCACCCTCTGCGCGCTCGACAGCACAGCCTACGACATCGTCAAAGCCGTCGGCACCTTCGACATCAACGGATCCCGCCTCGCCAACGACAAGGGAGATGGTTTTTACCGGAAATCATACTGGTACGGAGTCACCGGCGCGCTGTGGATCGCGTCCACCGCTTCTGGGTGATCCGGCGCAGCTTCGTGTCGTGCAAGCGCTTCGTGAGGCGTTGCAACCCCGCGGACGAGCGCATCAGCTTCCAGGACGCCTTCGTCTTCGTGCAGGAGAGTCTGCGCTTGTCGGCCCACGGCGCGAAAAACTATCATCGACTACTGCTGCTGTTCGCACTGCTGGATCTGGGCCTCATGAGCGACCTCTTCCAGCTGATCACTCAGGAAGGATTCATGGGACGCATACAGTCCATCTCGCTCGGATACAACCTGGCCGGCATCATGTCCACGCTGTTCGAGATGGTGGAGACCATGGGCTGGATGAGGGAGAAGACGCGCTGCTTCGTCAAGCGGCTGCTCTTCAACTACGAGACGGCCCTCGTCGGAGAACTGCTCACGGCCGCGCTTATCCAGTTCTACCTGACGTCGCTCAACCGGTCGAGTCTGCGGCATACCGAGGTGGAGGCCAAGGCCGTCTCGTACTACGTCATGAGTCTGGTTGGTCACGGCTGCATCGCACTAGGCTGCGTGCTCGTGATCGTGCTCACTCGGTTGACGGGGACACTCGTTTCGTGTGGTGGAAGTACGGCGGTCTCGCTCTGCTCACGAAGCCCTGCTCTGTGGATACGACGCTGGGGGCGCGCTCCAAGTTGATCTCGCTGGCCGGGTACGTGTGCGAGGGTGGCGTCCTGTACTACAAGGTGAACACGCTGAGAGCGTTCGGCATCTCGAGGTTGACGGAGGAGGACGGCAGCGAGTTTCTCGTACACCCGAAGTTGCATTGGTTTACAATTCCGCGCGAGAGTGTCTGGTCGTGATCGGCGCTGTCTCGGGCGCGAATGCGAGGAGCGTCCGTGTACGGGTGTAGTGAGTGCGTTCGACCGGGTGCTGGGCGGTGAAAAGAATATGGACACTTGGTCACTACAAGTAATAAAAGCTGCTACTGCTAGTGCCGACAACGGAGGCAGTAGGGTCTTACCTTCTGACTAGGGATTCTATCAACACTGACCGTTTGGGGATCAAAGAACCGAACATGCCTTTATCTTTTGTTACGTGTTTGTTGACTTGGTTTGTTTGTTGTGTGTTGTGTGAATTCACATTCGTTCTGTGAGTACAGTGGCCCAGATCTGGACGAAGCTGCGATCAGAGCTGGTGGCGATGCCATTCGCCTCCCTCGTGCACCAGTTCGCTGGTGGGCCAGTACTTCGGCTCAAGCTTGAGAGTGCTGAGGCGGTCCTTACCACTCAGATCCGTGTACTTGATGCGCACCGAGTCATTTCCTGACTTTGCAGTGACGACGCGCACGAAATCGTCGATACTTGTGATCTTGACGCCATCGATTTCCTTAATCCGACTCGTGGGTGGAGGGCCGTAGCGGGCAGCAGGTGAGCCCGAGTATCGGCAAGACACATAGATACCGTCCTCCAGTGAGATGCTGCGCTGCGCTGATACCGACAGAGGCGGTGCCTGAAGAAGCAAACCCTGCCAGAAGACAATGCGGTTGATCTCCGTGCGCTCCATGAAAAGAGTCTTCACATCCAACTGCATTTCGCGTCCATCTCGCACAATCGTAAGCTGAACTTCCGGCTTCTGCGTACAACGCTCCACTTCGCGGAAGCTTGTAACGATCTTGCCGTCCACAGCCACCAAGATGTCGCCATTCTTCAACACATCCTTCGCCTCCGTGCCACCCCACCGACGCGCAACACTCAAGATAGTTCGGCGGTCTGGCGCATCCTTCTCCAAAATCTCAGCTAGCGCCTGCCCAAGCCCAAGTTCCCGAGCCTTTGCCAAGCTCAAGTGCTCAAAATCCACCCCCAGATCGAAAATTCGGGGCGTCGCACCTCGCATGAGCGGTGCCGCGCTTTCCATAATCAGCTCCATCGGGATTCCGCGGTTAAACTGACTTTCCACCTTGGAGCTACGGCGCTGCTGCTGGAACGAGAACGAAGCCCAAAAAGCACTCACCTCGCCCTTATCACTGCATACAACTCCGCCTTCAGTTCCAACGACATCCTGCAAAGCCACCATTTCAAGATTGTGTTCCTGATACCGAGGTGGGTTGGGCATGGGCAACCCAATCCACTTGACGCCAGATACGATGGTCTCCCGGGATACGAGATCCGAGTGGCCGCTGCGCCCCACACTGCTCATGAGACCCACGAGCCACACCGGATCGGAGGGTACCAACGGCTTGGATGCCACTTGACAACTTTCAATAGGGGTTGACCCAATGAGCTTGGGGTCGTACTGTACAATGGCAAAGTTATGCACCGGATGCACGAAAACCACATGCGCTGGAACCATGATAGTGCTGGCGAAGGTTACCATAGCATCACCCATCGAGTCAGTGACGGTGTTGCGATCCACCACCACGAGTCCCTTTTCCGCATCGATCACAAGTCCTGTGCCACGGTAGTTCGATGTTGACAAGCTGTTCACGCTAAATGGGCGATCAAAGTCCACGGTTACTAGCGAGCGCGCTAGCTTGTTCTCCACCGGGTTCTTACCAGGCAGTGTCGTTGTCGATCCAATCGGTTCTTTTTCTCCAGAAGGCTTGGCATCTGTACCCGTGCTTTCAGCGGGCGGGGCGAAGTGCTCGCAATGCCACGTGCCGAGCTTATCATCGCGCACGTACTCGCAGAATGGGAACCACCTCCGATCCACATGCACGACCTCGACCTTCTCCGGCTTATCCGTCAGCTTCGAGAATTTGACCACGATGCGATCCCGGTCCTTGCACTGCTTCAAATAGTTCTTAAGCGTCTCGAGATCGGGTGTCTTAATCCCATTCACCGAGTGGATGATAGCGCCGCGGCCGATGCGAGAACGCTGCAGGAAGTAACCCGGGTCCGCCACGTACGGCGCTCCAGGGCTCATTGCATGATTTCGTGCTTGTTGATACGAAAGTGGGTTAATCACCGCACCGCCGATCTCAATAAAACGCGACGGAGTAACGGCGTGCAGGTCTTGCACTTGTAGCTTGTGCGTCACCAACTCGCCGGATCGCTCAATTTGAAGCTCGATCTACCCAAATTTCACTTGACCGGTTAGCCATGCTTTCAATCTCACAGGCCCTAAAATGAAAAAAAACGTACCTCTTCGCTGACGTTTTCGTCGAGAATGGCTTCCAACGGGACAAAGCGCGTGATCAGTTCACCGTTAACGCGAATCAGCACGTCGCCTGGCTGCAACTTGCTGCTCGATGGGCCGCCCGGGATCGTTTCAGCTACCGTCAACATACCTGTCGCCAACGGGAAGGAGGAGCGAACAAGTCTTTCGGTGGCGGGGTCTACGCCAAGTCGGCGCACCTCGTCGAAGGGTTTGTAGTTGAAGATCGTTTGGATGGTGCCTCGAGGCACGTCCTTACCCTCTCTGATTAAATCGAACGCTCTCTTTACACGATCTAGGGGCAGGTAGAAGGAAGCAGACGTGCCAATCTTCCCGCCCGCGTTAAGAGCGATAGCGTCACCGTCGTGGTTAAGCACCGGGGAACCAGAAGAACCTCCCGTGGTTCCTATCAGATGGATATTCACAATTGCAATCGTTAGAGCACTTTTCAACAGCACATTAGTTTTCCGCAATTCGTGGAGACATACCTGACGAAGCTTGGTAGTAAAACGTATTGAAGTCGTTGTAGTTGTTGTAGCCGTAATTGGGTGCATCGCGATCCAGTCGTGCCAACGTGCCGCTAGCAATCGCAAGCTTTTCAGCAGCGTCATTGCCGACCACGCGAATGTCCGTCCCAACGGTGGCCTTGTCCGGCTCCAGTCGCAGCGACGGCACCGACATGTGCTTCACATCCTGCACATCAAAAAAAGGATTTAAAGTTAAGAATATGGGATCGTGAACGCACGATGCAGCATCAACTTATTATACCGCTGGATTGAACTGGAAAAAGCCAAAGTCATGCACCGGATCGCGATAAATGGGAATGACTCGAACTTCCTCGTTGTTCTGGAATACAGCCTCAGCATCCTGCACAGCGCAATCCATAAACAACAGCTCGTCAGTAAAAAAAATATCCAGCCTCTTTTCCGGCTTCGCAAGATTAGAGCAGCATACAATGGGTCCTGGTCCTACGACGTGGCGGTTCGTGAGGATGATTCCCTTCTCGGCATCAACCACGAAGCCCGTCGCAGATCCGTTGCCTGGAGACTCCGTGTCGAAAAACTAAAAAAAAAAAAAAACAATTTGTCAGTGCACAAATTGCTGCTAGCCATCCACAACAAATAAAAACTGCATCACCTTGGGCGAATTGAGCTTGAGCGACACGATCGCCGGCACCACGCGCTCCAGCGTGGCCTTCCAGTCCAGTTTGTTCTGGTTGGCCTCGGCCGCCACGAGCTCGGCCGCCAGGCGATCGCTGAGCTTGCGCTCTCGCTGGATCTCCAGCTCGCGCTGCTGCTTCTCCTGGTCGCTCTGGCGCTCCGTGCTCACGAACAGGTAGCCGACGCCCGCAGCCGCCAGCGCGGCCACCGCCATCTGCGCGTTCTGCGTCGCTATTAAAACCCAATCACCCAGCGCAAAAAGACCCACAAATGTCAACTCCACTTCAATCACAACCCTACTACGACAATCACTCTTCGCTATCCCCCGAATACAAGACCCTCAATCCGCTACGTACTTGGAATCGACGAGGACGACGTGGAGAAGGGTCGCACGGCGCCTCCGAGCCCCGTGGACAGCGTCTGTAGTGCGCGCGGGCGCTGACAAAGCTGTTGGGGACGGGCGCCAAGCCGCCAGGACGCTGGCGAGCGCCGCAGCGGCGTCGCCGCGGCACGAGCTCCGGCCTTCCACATCCGAGGGACTTTTGGCGAATGGGAAGGTCGTTCAACTTTGATCCAAATAAGTTTTGAGCTCGGTGTCAAATCAAACTGGGTCCGATATCCTACCCATTTCGCTGGGTATCCGACCCATTTCGCTGGGTATCCGACCCATTTCTGCATTGGCACCATGTCGGCGACCATGCTGCGGCAGATGCTGGTGGACGCGGCAGCCTTCCTCAAGGCCGAGCGCTACCAGGAGGCGCAGGACGCGGGGAGGCGCGTGACGCAGTTCGACCCCAACAACTTCCAGGCCTTCATGTGCGTGGGGTTGGCCAGCTTCCACCTGCAGCAGGTGCGTCCGTCCACCTCGTCCCTCTCTCTCTCATTGTGCTTAGCGCTGTTATGTTGTGCTGCTGTAGTGGGAAGACTGTGAGGAGGCGTACCGGCGAGCGGCCGACATCAAACCGGACATGCCGGCGCCCTGGAAGGTGCCTAGACTTTTCTGTCCATGGCTGGTTCTTGTATAACTGGGAGACTGAGTGGAGCTTTCGGGTGGTCGCAGTATCTCGTGGATCTGTTTGAGGCGAGGAACGATGTCAAGAGCAAGTTGCAACCGCTGGAGAAGCTCGTGGAGATCAACTTGAGGTGCGGCGGCTGCGGTGGCGAGGTTGGTGGGATGGCAACTGATGCAGATGTGTCCTGGTGTGTTTGTGGACTGTTGGCGTTGCAGTGGCAAGAAACCGAAGCGCTGTCAGAAGTGGGTCGCGGAAGTGGCGGCCGCGGCGATGGAGCTGAAGATGCTGCCGAAGGTATGGCGTCTTGAATCAAGACTCTTAATGCTGTACAGCCGCCAGAATCTTTCGTAGTTTGCTTATGACTGTTATTTGTGATGATGTCGCGTAGGCTTTCGACTCGTGGTACACGCTTGTCGGGGAGCAGCCTGGAGATGCTGGACAGCTCTCGCTTGAAAAGACCCCGAACGAGGAGCTGCCGTCGCCGCTGAATATCTGGCTGGACTTGGTTGACTTGCTTCAGGTATTGTGTGGTAAATGCCGGGGGGTTGGTTGGCCTTTGATGCGTGTTCTGACGAAAAGGTGGTGTGTTGCTGAAGCGTCCTGGATTCACGCTATCGGATTGCTCGGTGAACTGTTCGACCGCCGAGTTCTCAAGCCAGTTTTTTGCCGTGACGTCTCGTACAGACTGGACAGCCCAGACCGAGGAGCTCGATGTGCTTCGGCCGCGAATGGACGGCGCCATCGCGTACTTCATGCGCTTTCACCTTGATGCATTGAAGACGTCAAAGAAAAAATCTTCTCTCCTCAAAACGGTGGATGCGCTCGCGACGTCAATCATTCAATGGTTCCCAGGATTAAAGATCCCAGCGGAATATTTGCTGCTGCGAGCTGAGGACCAGGACAGTCGTGAGTATTTGGTATGCCCATTATCTGCTGCCAATTATAGTCTGATGAGATTGTCGTGGTGCTTGTGGCTAAATGATAGCTATCACGTTGGATAAGGCTACCGAAATCGCGAAGGGGCTTTCAGCCACTCATTCCAAGAGCCCAATGGCTCTTGTTTATCAAGCACTCGAGTGTCTGCGTTCGGGAGACAGCAACCAGGCAAGCCTATATCCCCATACTTTCGCCGTTGTTATGCTTCCTTCTAACTATTTTACGTTGAACATACAGGCGCGAGAGCACTTCGCTGAAGCTCTTGCCGGGTACTCCTCCTCGTCATTTCAAGAATGCGCTCTTTGTATTCGCGTCCAGGTTGAGCTTGCTTCTATTGCACTCGCCGCACGCGATGTTGAGGGCTGCTTGAATCGCTTAGCTCTTGCGAAAAAGGTGGTGGCTGACAAGTCGAAATCACTTGGATCTGAAGGCCCATTCCCCTCTGTGTGAGTTAATATGCCTATTGCTAAAGTTTTATGCTGGACTTCTAACGTGGGCATACGTGATTCAGGTATTCGGAGGTTAAGGTGCTGTTCATGACAGCAACGGCGTGTGAGTTCTCCGGCGATGCGGACAAAGCGTTGGAGAGCTACCGTGGGGTCATGGAGAGCGGAGACGTTGATCTCGCGGTGAAAGCGGCGATTGCAGCCGCAGAACTGTTATCAGCAAAATCGCAGCCGAAGGAGGCTTTGGAAATTATCGACTCGGTTACGGCATCTACGCTAGAGGACGAAAACATGAGCGCGGCGTTATCGTGCACGCGCGGATGGCTTCAATTCCAGCTTGGTGATCTTCGACAGGCTCAGTCACTATTCGAGACAAATGTGAGCAAGATTCCGGTCACTGATGTTGTCGATAAGGGGCGGACTCTCAAGCGGCTGGCCATTGTGTACTGGCACCTCGGTGGCTCTCATCAAACAGCCAAGGCAGGGTGCTTCGGTCATCTCCTTCAAGCCGCCAAGCTGACTCCGTCGGATGCGGAAATCTTCTCCTGGCTCGGCAAATGGTATCAAGAAGTAGCGCAAGATATTCTGCGAGCCGAAAAGTGTTTCTTGAAGGCTCTTTCCATTTCTCCGACGAATGGGCTTGCGGGAATGGCTTTGAGCAGCCTGTATGATGTTCAAGGCAAGTATGACGCCAACGTCAAACTTTGGGAACGAGTGACTGAGGATCAAGAAACTGCTCCCACATGGGCACTCCTGCGGCTTGCTCAGCACTTGGTCGAACAAAACGACGAGAGTGCTGTGGGTAAGATGCACCTAGTGCTTCGTAACGATCCCATGAACGCCCAACACTGGGTCATTCTGGCTCACATCTACCAGAATTTCGACAAGCAAGTCTCCGCGCAGAGATCGTATTTGAAGGCCATTGAAGTAGGTGAAGAGAATTGGTGCGTTCGGTGCGAACTGGCACGGATTGAAGGATCATTGCTACTTTTCGACGATGCTTTGGAGCGTATTAAACCGGTTGTCACCGGCGACCTATCGGATGGTGATCCGGATGTAACCGTTGCATCAATGATTTACGCGGACCTGCTCTTCCAGCAAGCAAAATACCTGTGTGCTGAAGGGCTGTATGGCAATGCCGCGGCCAATTTGAAGGAGGCTTCAACTTTAATGAAGGGATTACCATCTACCTCGCCTCTATCTGGATCTGTGGAAGCGTGCAAATTGATCGGCGACATCCACTGTTTTGCGTTCTACCTGTCACCAGAAAACTTTTCGAGCGAGGGATCCAGTTGGGTTGAGTTCATAAGCACCGGAATGAAGGCGTACGAGGCTGCAGTGCTACTTTCCAGAAAGACCAAAAAGGAGGTTGTTGACGGACCTGACGCGGTGGCTGCAGAGAGATACTACGATATTGGTCTCAGTTGCTGGTACGAAGCGCAGGCTCAGAGCAATGTGCAAGGTGTCCACACTTCAGCTTTCGTGATCGACAAACTCCATTCCACCAGTGAAGCCAACACAACGGTTGCGATGTTGAAAGCAAAAGCAGCAACAAATTTCAAGCTGGCCCTTCAGGAAGATCCTTCGTGCTCACTGGCGTGGAACGGCCTGGCGCTGGTATCCGACAGTCTGCTGGTAAAGCAGTTTGCGTGGGCTCGTGCAATTCAAACTGGAAGCAGCAGTGATGCCACGTGGGCGAACCTGGGCATGTTCTACCTCAGCCAAGCCGATTCAGTACCGTCGACAGCCTCTTTGGCGCAAAAGTCATTCCTTCAGTTACAGAGCATGAATCCTAGCAACCCGTCGATGTGGAATGGGTATGCGATGCTCGCTCGCCGCCAAGCTAGCTCCACAATCCAGCAAAGGAAAACGATTGAAGCTTTCGATTGTGCGCTGCAGGTCGGGTTGGATTTGGACGCTTTGCTAGGCTTGAGCATGGCGTTGCTTGATTACGGAACAAGCGTTGGTGATTCGATAACTCAAGCACCGGAACACGGCAATGAACAGGTGATGTTCTATCTAAAGAAGTACCTGGAACGGGATCCATTCAACCCACGCGCATGGCACGCACTTGGTGTCGCACAACATCGGCTTGGTTTGTACACGGAAGCATTGTCGTCTTACACCCGTGCGGCTTCGTCGCCACAGGCGCCCAACGGTCTCGAATGGAACAAACTGGTGACAAAGCTGGGTGAGTTGTCCGCCACAACCCATGATGCAAACGTCGACGAGCTGGCACTCCTGGAACAAATTGCTGCTTCGGTTGAGGCGACACCCGGTTTTTCTGCATCGCTGCAAGCCATTGTGCAAGCCCAGATACTGTACCGGCAGTCGAAGGAGGGTGAGGCACTGAACTTGCTGCAGGTGTTGCTCTTACAAGAGGACTCGGAATCCGCGGAAAGCGAGGTTGTTGCCCTCGTCGGTTTATCGATGGCGAGCTTACTGATGAAAAAGTTTACTTCCCAGACCACTGATCTCGCGACAGTGTGTAAGGAGCACCTCTTGTCGTTGATTGACCAAGCGGAGTCGACTCTGACAACGCGCGACTATCTGAACCTGCGTTTGGTTGAGCTTCACGAACGGTTTGTTGGTGTTGAAGATTCTTACTTGTCGCGCTTGCAAGCGTTATCGCAAGCTAACGATGGTGCCAACTCGAGTACGTTGTGGATGCGACTGGCGCTTGCGACGATCGACTCGCAGAACCTTCAAGTGTCGAGTTGTCTTGCTGAGTACTTGCGTTCGGGCGCTAAGAATGTGCCTTCACCCGGCAATGAGACTGTGGACCGCAACTACTTGGACGCGTTGCTGGGACTGTTCAAGGCGGGTCCATCTGGGGCAAAAGGCTTGTGCTTGGACGCGCAGAAGCTGATCCGTGCTCAACCATGGAACACGCAGGCCTATTTGTTGGCTGGCGCAAGCATTCTCAAGCGCATTGGGCTCGAAGCACAGCAGGCCTCTCACGATGAGGTTCTTCGCCAGTTGCTACACCTATTGCAAACCGGTTTATCGCTGGCTGCTTCTGCTAGCAAAAACGAGTACGACGCAGCTCAGTTGGAGCTGCTGATGAGTTACAGCTACGTCAAGCTTGGCGAACGGGACCAGGCGACTGCTGTCTCGAATGAGGCACTGAAGCGTCTCGGAGCAGCTGAAGCGAGCGGTGTGCTGGCGCACTCTGTGGATGTTGAATTGCTGAAAGCGCGGCTGCTCTCGATTTCGAACTCGACTAAGGCCTTCGAAAAATATCTGGGCATAGTTGCTGATGTCTCGGCAACTGCTAGTGAGAGTTCGTCGAGCAGACTGGTGCCGATCCTCATTGAGCTCGGCGGGCTTTACGAAGAAGAACAGCTCCTGGATGCCGCTATCAACGTGTGGAAGCTTGTTGCCTCCTTAACTGCGACCAAGTCCCCTGGTACAGCTGAAGGCGATGACGATGTGAGCAGCACTACCACAGCGTTGAGCAGCAACAGCGATCTTGCCACGTGCTTCTTGGCGAACTTGCGGCTTGCGATTATCCACGGCAAAAAGAACAACGTCAAGCCGGCGCGCAAGCACATCAAGGTTGCTGTTACTCTCGCTGAAGCTGGAGGTGACTCCAACTCGTCCACCGTTGCTGCGTTCGTGGAGAACGTCCTCGCTAACTAGCTTTAGAGAGTACTGGCTGCAACAAAATATGCACAAGAAACGAGATGCGATGGTGCAACGTTCTATTCTATTGTTCCCGAGGTTCATGGGGATAACTCGCCTCTTACACCGTGGCGTCGTGCGGCCCGAGAGCCTGCAGCAGGAAGTACTCATCGTTTGGCAGAATGAGCAGGGTATAGTTGTTGCTGCCGTTCCCTAGGTAACCATGCTCTCGTCGTTGCAGCTCATTCTTTCCCTTGCTGCTCTTCGTTTTGGTTGGCTGCATCCACGACACAAAGACATCCGGGAAGCCCCAAACCGTGACTGCACCCCACGGCACTTCACCGTTCTTGACAGCACGCTGCACCTTTTCCACAATAGTGGAGCAAAACGGAGCAGCCAGCAGGCCACGCCATCGCACCGTGGTCACTTCACTGTCCGGTTCGCACTCGAACGAGTCGGGGAAGCCCGTGAAAGTCGACACGTACTCCTCCAGTTTCTGTCTTTGCAAGAGGTCGGTGAGTCGGCATGCCACCAGACCCAGCCAGTCGTAGGCCTCCTGCAGCGACGTCCTCAGTTTATTTCCATCGTCCTCATTACGCTCCTCCTTCCCACCAAGCTGCGCGTAAAACGCGTCAAACTTGGGCAGAAACACCTCGCTGAGCGTCGTCATCTGCGCGTTCAGCTCAATGCGCTGACGCGGCACCGTGTCATCGTCCCCGAACAATATAGTCCTCGCCGCTCCGCGCTGACTGTACGCGCACATGAGCATCTCCAGATCCTCCAGTTTCGAGCTCAACGCCCGTCTCACTCGATCTCTAAAGGCGTTGTCTCCTTCCTCTGCGAACGTCGACGACGTCAAGTCCAGCGTAATGACGTACTTCTGTCCGCGCGTCGACCTGCAGGTGGCTGGCACCGCCTTGCCGTACTTCTCACCCACAATACCCAACTGCTGGTACGTGTGCGTGTCCACCAGTAGCAGTAGTTGGTCCGACGGCAGCAACATCGCCGACTGCGACGCGTCCACCGCCGCGTTCTTGGCCACCATGAACACGGCGCCGCCGTCCGCCAGGTACTCGCGGATGAAGGCCGGCGACAGAAACATGTCGACCGAGGCCTTGACCTCGTAGTAAAAGCCCGTCTCCCATTGTAGCGACTGCGCTGCGGCCTTCCCGGCCTTGCCAGGCAGATACACCTCCATCTGCTGGTTCAAGGCGTGACCCGAGACGACGCTGTCATGGCGAGAAGCTTCGTGCGAGAAGCGCGAGTGCCACACCAGCAGGCGCGAGGACGGGTACGCACTGTCCGGGCCGCTCTGCAGCAGTGCGTTTGCCCCCTGCAGTCGCGCGCGCCGCTGCGCCGCGCCGCGTCGAGGAGCCTTGCCACCACTCACCATGCGACTGGATTGCAATTATTGTGCACACCAAGTGTGCACCATACCATGACGGTGCCGACAGCGGCCGACAGTGGCCGACAGCGTCGTGATTGGTAGAAATAAGCATTTAGTTGAGCGGTTAATCTATTGGTCAAATCATTTGACTCAAATGTCAATTCCAAGATCCGCAAGGACGGCGGGTGGGTCATCAAGGATGGCGGCGAGCCGAAGGACGTCGGCGAAAAGGGGGGGGGGCTGCATAGTTCCGCCTGCCAAGATGTGGGTGGTGTCTGGGAGGACGGCGGTAGGCTGCACGACGGCGGGCGAGTGGTCCGCGGTGGAGGCTAGGAAGATGGCGCGCAGCACGACGATGACGGTTACCTGAAGCACGGCGGTGGGCACCAGGATGGCGGCGCAGGACAAGACGGCCGCGGTGTGGAGGATAGATGGCGGGAAGGAGGAGGAGGAGAACCGGAGCGAACGGCAAGAGGCGGCGGACCGGAAGTGGGGCGATGGGGAGGGTAGCCGCCAAGGCGAGGGCGGTAAGGGCATCGAGCGGAGGGAAACGAGCGCAAGGGCGCAGCGACCTGCTGGGAGGCGACGAGCATAGGGAAGCGTGCAGCTGGAGGAGGGCGTGGCTGCTGTGGCTTGCTGTGGCTTGCGTGCTGGTGTTGGCACCAACAACACGACGCTGGTGGGGTGCTGCTGCTGCTGTGTGGACTGGCACTGTTGGTGGGGTATCGCTGCAGGTGGAATGCTCCGCAGTCACACCCCACCACTAGCGTCTAGTACTCTTGAGTAGGAATAAGTTATTGATAATAAATGGAATAAATTAATGGTTTTCTTGTATATTCTGCATTGGATCCTAGTGCTTCGCTCGTGTGGTATGCAGCAAGCTCCGCCTGAGCGACACTCCTGAATGAGCAGCTCTCACTGAGTGCTACTTGTTCATGTTATGGGTAGGTCGATAGGCGTGCCCAGGAAACTCGATTGAGTTCGTGATAATGGTTGAAACGCTATTGCAAACGGCTCAAATCAGCTCGTCAAAGGCAATACAGAAGCTAAGTAACTTGTCGGCAGCAGAACAGATATGGCCGTCATGGCCCAATCAAATGTCCATGAACTTGTATAATATACAAGTTTTGCTTCGAGTCTACAGCAGGCACTCAAACCACTTCACCGGCTTCCTCGAATCCCCAAACAGTCCGTCGCCGTTCAAGAACACCATGTCGGCATGGTTCAACTTCGCTGTATAGAATGTATCCTTGTAAGTATTGCCGAAACCTTTAGTCTTAATCCCCCTCGCGCAGCTTTGATACTCCACCAAGCCGTCGTTTTCTGAAGACTTGTGTGGAACAAACTTCCCGGCCGCGATCATGATCGGCCGGTACACGGAAAAGAGGCCCACGTAGCTGTCACTGCACATCGCAGCACTGACATTCCCTCTGTATGCTTCCTGAGCAGCAGCATACGCCGCATTCAACTTCTTGGTCGCGTACTTCCCGTTCTCATACATCAGCGATCGTCTAGAAACTGGCATCGGACATTGGCCAATGGCGTCCAGCAATTCCGTCGCAATGGCACTGATCTCGTCGTTGCAGAAGTCCTGAAAGTAGTCGACAGCCATGGTCCCCGTCATTGGAGAGCTGATAGCAACCCACGACGAGCCTTCCCCGAAGCTGCACTTGCCCGTTGCAAGAGCCATCGACATCACGAGTCCAGCCATCGAGTGGGTCACGACCACCGTGTCTTCGATAATCCCCGACTCTGCGTCGCTGGTTTCGCTCAATCTGAGGGCGCGATCGCAGAATTTCTGCTGCAGCGAGTCGCTCGTCCAGCTGTAGTCCATCGTGTTCAGGACGGCGTACTTGACCGTGGTGCAGCACGGCGCGTGGTCGTTCATATTCCCCATTCTACCGCTGGTGTTCTTAGGAGTATCTTGCAGCTCTTCCATTTCGTGGTAGTTGCCAATTCCGTGAAAGAAGACGCACGGTCGAGGCTTCGACTTGCACTTGCATGTCGATGCCTCCATTGCCATGTGCTCTGTGATCTTGAGATTCCTCGAGCTGGTAGGCGGAAAAGCATTACCAGTAAGCAACGCTGCGGCAGTCGGTGTCATAACGATAGAATTCGCTTCAGTAGGACAAGTCAAAATCGTCCGATTCAACGCTGGTGCGGAGAGGTTATTGAGGTACTTCACTTGGATGGTGAAGTCGCTGCTGTAAGCGGTGGGGCCCGAAGATCCCAAGCCGCACACTGCGACGCGAGCGCCAGAGAATGTCGTCTTGAACAGTCTTCCACTCCCGCACTCGATAGATTCGTCGCCTATTGATGCGCTGGGAATTGCTACGAGTTCATTCAGCGCTGGGAGGATGGTGTGGAATGGCAACGCGCTCGGAGGGATGCACCGAACTGTTTCCGAGTTGGTAAGCTTAGCTGTGTCGTTGGTCATTACGTAGCCCGCTCCATTCACAAACAAGTACGTATAGGCAGCACCCTCGTCGATAAACGTCGAATATCCGTCGTACAGCACTCTGGAACCGTCCTTCGACACGATAGGCTTGGCGAAGACGTCGAACTCGGACTGACCGTGAATCCTCGAGGACTTGTGCTTGAGTGTAACATGGAGTTTCAGTGGTGGAGCGCCAGTCAGAGAAGGGATTGGATCTTGATCGGCGTTGGCCGCCGCAAACAGCATCAGAGCGACGACGGCGGCCACTAGGGTCATCGTGCCTTAGTCTGGAGTATCCAAGCGTGCACTGAGCGGGGTGCCCGGAAACTTTCGCTCAAACTGCTGTCTGGATGGGAATGGTCCCTTCTCTCACTCGTCAATCTGCGGAGGACCAATCAGCGGGCTGTGCGGCGATAGAGCCAGCTGACCCAGCGGTCCGGCCAATCAGAGCGCGCCGGTGAGCATCGAGAGCGCTCTGATTGGCCACGACTGGACGATGGCGACTCCCTTGTGGAGCCAGTCGTCCTGGCGACCGGAGCTCCAGCGAAAGGCATGCACCTGGCCGGCGTGCTTGCACGCCACGGCTGGGCAGCTCGGGGGTAAAGCCGCGGACCAAGCTGGATTTCTGCGTCGCTGCGTGCGGCGGCGTATTGCGGCGGTCTTTTGACCGTCAGCCGGAAGGCGGGGCCTGTGGGGGGTCCACGGTGGTCTACATGTAGCCCATCACACATATTATGTGTCGGCACCGTCACGATATTTATCCATACCGTCAAAATTCCAACGGGGTTGGACTGCTTCCAACCAAAACCGGTCTAGCAACGGTATTAGGGTTTTTGTTCAGCTGATATTTAACCTCACGACCGCCGATTGGATTCTCGGCCAACAGTCCAGAAGCTTCCAGGTTAGTGCAGCGAGTCGTGCAACGCTGCTTGTGCTACCTGTGCTGACTGTGCTGCTGTTGTCTGTGCGTGTACACAGGCGCTGCTGGCCGCTGGGCCGTGTGTGCTGCTGGACCGCTTGCTGCTGGGCTGCGTGTGCTGCTGGGCTGTCTGTGCTGCTCGGCCGTGTGTGCTGCTGGGACGTGTGTGCTGCTGGGCCCTGTGTGCTACTGGGCCGTGTGTGGCTGCTGACGCCGGGCCACTTGCTGCTGGGCTATGTGCGCTGCTGGGACGTGTATTGGGTTGCGCCTGTGCGCTCTCGTGGCGTGTGGCTCAAGTGGCCGAGGATTTGGACGAGTATGGTGCTGTTGATGGATGCGACTTACCCGCGCCCATGGAGCTCGTGAGGTTGAGCGCCAGGCCTTCGGGCCTGGAGGATCGGGTTCAAACCCCGACATGGGCATCAAGTATTATGTGTTTTTGCTTTCTTTTTGGACAGGTCGGCTAAGAAAGTGCGTGCTACTCCTGTTGTACGTATTGTGTATCTTATTGACTGTTTAGTGTGCTGCGTGTGCATTTAGGTGAAGCGCAGGAGTGGCGGAAGGGCGGAATTGGGTGTCGGGTCGACGACTTCGCCTTCGTAGTAGCGCTCGCGAAACTGGTCAAGGAGGACGGAAAGGTGGCCTGCTTTGTGACGCGCACGCATGGCTTTGACGACCGAGCCAACGGCTACAGCCTGTGAGCCTTGTGCAGCCAAGTATTCAAGCGTCTTTATCTCGGCTTCGACTCCAACAGCGTGGACCTCCGCCTTGTACACTGGCGAGGCCGGGTCCAGCTTGAACCCAGAAGGTAAGCAGAGCATCATGAATGCAACTGCGTGTCGTAACTCGTGAAGGATGGCTTTCCTAACTGTTGTTGATCCGTACATGCGTGGTACAGCAGTGAACCACTCGAACCACACTGTCGATAGCGATTTGGAGGCACGTTTGCGCGCGCACTTTGGCTGCGACTGCTCAACGTCTTCGTGCTGCTGCTCGGTAGTGTTTGTTTTCTTGTCAATAGATTATGCGTTCGCCCCCAAAACAGCCAGCCTTTCCTCTACGCGTGTTTGGCGGAGCAATAGCTCGTCGAGCTGCTGCGACAGCTTTTCGAGAACGCGGATCATGTTTTGAGAGGACTCGGCCACTGTTTCTTGTTTCTCTTCTGCAGGTGGATTGAATGCAGCTCGGAGGGTGATCGACCATGCCAACAGCTCGGAGGCCTGTATGTTGAGGACACCAAGGGCTTCATGAATGCAACGGACGTACGGGCTATCCAAACGATAGCGTTCCATCTCGGGGAAGTGAAGGATCAAGGTCGCCATCAACACTTCGAGCACCTAAGGATCCAAGTTCCAAGACACTGTCGGGAAACCAGTGACAGCAGCGAAGAGGAGATCCTGCAGCTTCTCCACGCGCGCTCGGACGACTCCGTCCAAGGCGGTAAGGTCTGGAAGTCGGGCGCCCGCTTGCGGGTTCCACCCGCTCAATTGGCGCGCAACTTGTTGATCATCGTGTGTTGTGTTTAGCATGTAGGAAAACGCCTTGCTCACGCGCGACATATTCCAGCCCCCGCGTTCAACAACCCGGTTCGGGCTAATGCGACTGTCGGCGTTGGCGTGCATGGCCCCACCTCTTCTGAAGGAGTGCGAGGTAAGTCCCTTCGTGAGTCCACTCTCCTTTGCTGCTGGCAGTCCACTAACCGTGACTAATAGTCTATTGATATAAGCTTGGGCACCAGGGGCCGAGTTGGCTCGACATGGCTGTGGAGTCTTGCATGTAGGTGCTTCCGCAAGCTCGCGGTCTAGCTGCGCAATCAGCCCCAGCTCGCCATCGTCGTCTTGGTCGTCGGACGCGGACAGTGCAGGTACGGCAGCAAATTGCGGGAAGATGCGAGTTCCTGGAGCGGGTTGAAGGGCAAGAGCGACCGCTAGCACGTGTAACGGGCACGTGTAACGGGCACGTGAAGGGATCGTTAGGATCCTTAAACAGGGAAGTTCCCTGTTGTGAAGCAGTCTTCACACGCTAAAAGCGGAGAAATATCATACCGCCTAGCATATACGCACAGAATTGTCAGCATAATTCGTGGGGTTAATTAATACAAAATTTCAAAATCCTGCACGATTCCTACCGGGGTATACACACAGCTGGGCTTTCTCCAATTGCTCAGTCTCAGAACCACGACCGTAGAGGTACCACATCAACGCCACTAGCGCCGCATCCAGGTAGTCGGAGTTGGCGGAAGCGTGCATGTAGAGAGCCGAGATGATAGTCTTTATATATTTTTTAGTGCATGGTGGCGCTTGTTTTGTGACACCTTGCTCCGGCCTCTTTTCACAGTACCGATCTAGCGTTGATAGCATCTTTTGCAGCTTCTTAGCTACACATTGGCTCTGTTGCGGGTACAGATCCGCTAGCCAGTTCTTAACATTGCCAAAATAAGATAGCACAGTGTTCTTGGACAGAGCTACTCCTTGTCTTCTTACTTTTTTTCACTAAGAACCACCCATACTTATCCAGGATGACAAACAAACTCTTACCTGTGCTGTCCTTAGAAATACGATCATGCACTTCTGTGAGCGTCACCTCCTTATTTGCAAGGAAGTCTTCGAAGGACTTCACAGCCGTCACTCCGCTTCTCTGGCTGTTCGCAGGAACTAGCGATGCCACCGACATGCCTGTGTGCGTCGGAACGCAGAATGGAGTCGGAGATGAGCTGGCAGGGGTTGGAAACCTATGAATATTTATTCTATTTGTAGTTCACTTGATATTTGTATGGCATGCTCGATAATATCGATTTGGTTGGAATGTTCAGATCAGCGGTTGGCAGTCATTCCCTCGATTTAATTGGTCGAAATTTTAAGCAACGGTAGTGTCTATTGGCTGTAAATGCTAAGAATCGCAGACGACACACTCCTATTGGCCGGAAGCACCATACAAACTTTAAGGTATTTTTCAGGGGTTAGAATTGCAGCGATATGCCACCATATCATTTTTAGTTGGTGTACCAAAAGCGTGGTACCGTACGTGCGTCAGTGTTCATCCGCTTCAGCCTCGATGAAGCAAGAGCCGCGGGTTGGGGAGTCCAGTAAACCCCAGCATGCTGCTGCATGTTGAGTGGGGCTGGTGGTCATCCGCCCGGACGGCTGCAGCGAGGCGCAGCACTGTCCAGGGGGTGTGGCGTCTGAAGAGTCATATGGAGGCCATCGGAGCCCGTGAAAGCCCGCGAGAGACCAGGCCATGTGTCCGGCGTGTGCTGGGCTGCAGACCATCGTGGCCAGTGCGCGGGTGACTCTGACGCAGGACTCGGAGGAGCGTTGGCGCACCTCAAGAGGTGCCAATAAGCATAACGGCTCGCTTTGGAACCCCCACAACTCGATCTCTTCAGTCGCCGTCTGTCGCCGAACAACAGCAGCTGGCTGCGCTCAAAATTCTAACAGTCGATACCCCTCCGGAAAGCGAACATGGCTACACGCCGTTGCCCACATTGAAGACACCTGCCACCTTGCACTCGTCCGCTCGCCTCCTTCACCTCATCCAGCGCCTTGGTGCCAGTACCGTCAACGGCTCCCTCCCTAGTTTTAACGCCTCCATTCGTGGCACGGTAGTCAGTCACGGCCATTCCCGCGTCGTCAAGCAGAAAATCCCAGCTGCTCGTCTGGCCACAACGCTTCTGCCTCTTGGCCACAACCACTTGTGCTGCTGTTACTGCGAGCGCGCGAGCAAGCGTCCGACGGTTTTCGCATCATTCCTTCTCCCTCTCTCGCCTCGTTCGCAGCGTCTCGGGTGGTCGAGGTCATTTTCGCGTGGGGGCAACCGGACTCCCACTCTACCGCGCGCGCGCGGATTTACTTACCAGCAGCTCATTTGCCGACGCGATGCAGCCGTGGGCACCTCCGGCGGGCGGCCGCCGCCAGCGCGAGCGCTCGTCCAGCGTGGTGCTGCTCGGCAAGATTTCGGCCATCGTGCGGCGCGGCAGCCTGTTCCAGGCCAACCCGGAGGACGCACGCGGCAGCAGCAGCAGTAGCAGCGGCAGCTACGAGGACAAGGAGGACGACGCGATGGCGGCGGCGCAGGCCGCGCGCCACGCGCGACGCAGCAGTATCGCTGGGACGCCCACGCAGTCGGGCATGACGATGTGGGATCCGAGAGCTAGCGGGAGCGGCGTGCGCGCGCAGCGGTTCCAGTTCTACCCGACGCGGACGCTGGTGGCGGCGGCGTTGGCTCGCCCTCTGAGTCCGGAGGAGATCTCGAGGAGAGGAGAACTTGAAGCGCAGATCGGGGACTTTGCTGCCATGCACGCGGGCTTTGCACCGGCACCTCCGCTGCCGGATGAACAGGAGGAGAAGGAGGAAGTGGAGGAGAGGGAGGAGGAGGAGGAGGTGATGATGGCGGAACGAGACCAAGAGCCGCAGGAGGAAGAAATGGACAACAACGAGCAGGAGACCCTTGAGGAGGAGGAACGGCGAGCTACTATTGACGTTGAGGAGGAGGAGGTTGCACAAGTTGGGGCTGGCAGGAGAAGCGGAGTGTTTGGAGATGACGAGGCATTGCTGGACTTTGACCACGTGAGCATGCCCGCAAGCGTGCGCACGCTGATGAGCCGGATAGAGAGCGCGAGTCTGCTGACCGAGGCGGAGGCGGCTGTCGTGTCGAACCAAGACGAGGAAGATGGCGACGACTCGGACGATGAAGACGAGGACGAAGATGTTAACCAGATCGACGACGTCGAGCAGCTCCATCTGGACAACAACGACGAAGATGAAAGATCCAGCGCCGCGGAAGAAGAGACGATTGCCCATGTCGCGCAGCAACTGGTGCAGGAGCTAAGTCCGGCGGAGCACCGATTGCTGCAGCGACGACGCACCCGCCTTCTGAGCTGTGCAGCCGAGCGAGCCGCCCAGTCAGCGCAAGACCAGCTGACTTCAAGCGTGCGGCGGTTAGTGATCGAGCTGAAGGATGACTCTGACCAGATGCGCCAACCGCTAGCTCAATCTTACGGAATCCGCCCCAAGTCCAGAGAGACCCCGACGCGGAGGAGAGCAGGGTCATGCCCGAACGCATACGACCTGGGGCTGGAGGGTTTCATGCCGCCTCAAGATGTCTCGCCGATGCCCACACCACCAGCAGTACGACCTGCGCTCATTCCACAAGACTTTCATCCTGGCAAGAAGCAGAAGAAGAGCGCGTTCTCAAGACTTGGTCCACGCGTGCTGGAGACACTTCACTTACGGAAGAAGCGGAAGACATACCTGTTCACGGACGAAGAGCTGGAGACCATTGAAGGTGCGCGGTGGAAGATCGTTGAGTTGGCTTTCCGATTCGGCGGCAAGCACCGCTCGTATCTGGTGCAGGCTATCAACATGTTTTTCCCTCTTCTCAAGTATGGGCGACGTGGTGGCGCTCACGCCACCAGACTTCACTGCAACTGCTGTGGAACACTGCAGTGGCAGCACAAGCGCGGAGGATTGAGTGAAGCCGTCGACTTGGCTGAGGTATTGCAAGTGCTGGATGGCAGACAGACGGCTGTGTTTCGCAAGTATGCATCCAGCCGTATTCTGGAGGCTTGCTCGTTTTCGGTGGTCTTTCGAGGACGCACGCTAGATCTCGAGACTCAAAGCTCAAGTCACCGCGACTGGCTTGTCAGTGCTTTACGCACTCTCGTAGCCTACGCACGACGGCAACGGCGCATTGAGCAACAGGCCATTGCGGAACGTGGAATCCTGCCGCTGGACGACGAACCGAGGCCTGAACTAGCTTCACCCACACAGACGTCGCCGCGAAGGGCTCAGACCACTCGACGACTCGATGACAGTCGCGTGATGGCGGCCATTCCTCCGAACTATAAGATCCGTAATGTGTACTAGGCCACCGTGTACGATAAACGCTAAAACGCTACCATAGTACGATAGATAACAATGACAAACGCATGCAGTATACAACGACATCGCACACTCATTCATTCACACATTACGAAACGCGTCGGCAGCATCGATAGCCTTCTTGATCTCGTTCAGTTGCACTACAGCCTCAACACGGCTCGGTATCGCGTCTCTCGATAGACGCAGGTACTTCTTAAGAACATCGACTGACGCCAAGATCTCATCATGTCGTGGGCAGATTTCCTCCGCCACATCATCGAAGGTCTCGTATGATCCAGCCCCGTGACTATCATCGTCGAGCTTCTTTGTTGACAAGTATCCATGCTTCTGGAGCACGCCGCGGATGATCTGCACCTCATCGATCCCTGGGTCGGTCACAGAGGCGTTGCCTTCCATCTCCACAAATGACTGCGCATTGGTCGGGTCACTCACACCAATCCAGCGCAGAAAGTCGGGGGCGTGCTGGGCGATTTTCGTCAGCTGCCGTTGTAAGTCTCGGTATAACAGCGCTGCGGTCGGCAAACCGCCTTGTAAGCCAGTCAGCCCGGCCGGACCAGCACCAGTTACCGTTTCGTGAGATGCTACTCCGTTGACGTCACTGCCATTCGCATTGCCAGTGCCACTTTCGCTGCCGCTACCATGGGAATTGTTCGGAGACGGGTTAGCGGGGGTGCTCAGAATGGCACGTAAACTGAGCGAGGCGATGGCCTGGGTGGGCAACAGACCACTATGTACCCAGCACGTCTGAATGAGATGTTTGTCGAGACTGTGGAGAGCAACGTATAGCCAATGGAAGACGTTGCGAGTGTGCAAGTGGCGCTGTGGGTGGAATCCGCGCGGGTCCTGGCTTATCACGCTTTGTCGGTAATTGCTGAACAACGTCTCCAGCATCTCGCAGCGATAACGGGCCTTGAAAGCTTGAATCACTCCAAGGTGACACGGGTGGAAGCGGGAAGCCTTGAAGTTGGGCGGCAGGAAGTAGATCTGAAGATGGTCGTACACGAAGAACGTGCGCTGGTCTCCCTGCGAGTCCAAGATCATGGCAGCCTTGACGTGCGGTACAGCCGAGTCCAAAATCACGCGAAACGTGCGTTTGCGCCCTCGAGCGCGTGCGTTCAGCGACTTGAGCATGCTCACAGTCGTCTGCGCCACTTGCCAGCCCGTCTTCGAGTAGCCGTACTGAATGTTGTACGTCTCCCTGGTGTCCACCCCTTCCAGCAGCAGCGGGTTGCGATCCGTGCCAATCACTTGCATATCAAACTTCTCCCCCGCTGCGCTCACGAACAGCGACACCGTGTATCTGCCATTGCCTGCAGCTCCACTACCATTCGCCCCCACCGGTTCGGGTACCGGTGCCTTGTACATCAATGCAAACTCCCCGCCCGTCCAAATGTCCTCCAGATCCACGCCTCTCAAGCTGTGGTGCAGCTCCCTCAGCCGCGTCTGGACGTCCACGCTCTTGATAACGTTCTGGTCAGCTCCGCCCGGCAGCTGCTTGCTGCTGAAGGAGCCAAACCTCGTCCTGTAGCCGTCCAGCCAGCCGTTGGAGCCCGTGAACTTCTGCAGCGCCTGCTTGACCTTGTCGGGCAGCGCCGCGTAGGGCTCCTGCACGATCTTGCAGGCCAGCTCCATGGCCTTGTGCTGCAGCACCGTGCCCGTGAGCTTGGTGTCCGGACTCGAGACCTTGATCTCCATGCGCCACTTGTGCAGACACTCGTCCAGCACGCGCAGGTCGTACGTGCACTTGGTGGTCTTGCGCTTCTTCTTGGTGGCGTCGGCCGAGTCCGTCTCCGTGCGGATGAGGTCCTCCTGCCGGCAGATGTTGGTGATGGTGGTGCGCCCCACGCGGAACTTCTCGGCCAGCTCGCGGTGCGTGAACTTCTTGCTGGCGGCCAGGTCCACCACCTCGCGCTTCTGGCCGAGCGTCAGGCGCATGCGGCGGCCCGCCGGCAGCCCCGACGGCGTGGCGGCGGGCGTCTGCTGCTGGTCGGAGGAGGAGGAGGAGGAGAAGGGCGGCAGGCCTGAGGCCTCCATGAACTGCTGCTGCGGTGCAGCCGCGCGCGGGTGCGTGCGGCCGGCGACGCTGCCGTCCGCCATGCCGCTCAAGTCCTCGGCCATGTTACAGTAGCGTACTTGCGATTGACTGAGAACCACAAAAGCCAGTGGTGGCTCCCTCGCTATATGTACTTGACGTTTGTATTCAGGATACGAAAATCAAGTACAAGCATAAATGCTGCGGTCTTTTGCGTACAATTTGTGTGCGCCTTGTGTCGCTGATACCTCGACGTCAGTGAACCACCAGCGCTCATGAGTGGCAAGCCGAGTGCGACCGTGCAGGCGGCCTTCGGGCTCTTCGACGACGACAGCAGCGACGAGGAGGTGGCTGCGCCCGTCGTGCAGCCGCACGAGGTCGTGCACATCGTGTCCGCATCCGCTGCGGCTTCTTCCAGCGCGAAGGAGGCGGAGGACGAGAAGACGCAAGTCTCGCGCAGTCTGTACGCGCCTTGGGACGACGTCAAGCCCCTGGCGGTGGGGCCCATCGACCTGGCCACCAGCTTCAATGGCGTCGGAGGATCGCGAGGCTACGTGGCCACGCGCGACCTGCAGCCGGGCACGCAGGTGCTGGTGGAGCAGGTGTATGTGCCCTGGCCCAGCGATGTGGACACTTCGGACCCGGAGTTCTTCCTGGCCACGATGGAGTCGGTGCTGTCCAGACCCGACTACGCGGACATCATGGGCCACATGAGCCACCTGTACCCGGAGAAGCTGAGCGAACTGCCCGAGGAGCTGTTGGCGGCGGGCAGGGAGAAGTACGGCCCGCAGGTGGACGAGCTCTGCAGGAACTTCAGCGAGCTGGCGCTGGTGCACGACCAGGTGCTGCAGAACGTGTTCGCTATGCAGTGCAACGCCTTCGACAGCGGAGTTTTCCTGTACAACGCCATGTTCAACCACGACTGCAACCCGAACTGTGTCAAGTTCACGCCCGAGGACGCTGGAGCGGAAGGAGGAGTGTCGGAGGTGCGCGTAGCCAGACCCATCGCCAAGGGCGAACAGCTCACGATATCGTACTTGTACCCGCGCGAGCAGAGTCGTGAGAACCGCCAGAAGAATCTGTGGGAGCAGTTCGGCTTCGAGTGCAGCTGCGAGCTCTGCAAGCGAGGTGACAGCGTGCTGCCGCCGCCGGCGTCTGCGGCGGATGATAATGACGGCTCCAAGCTTGGGATGCAAGACCTGGAAAAGGTGCTGGTCGGTGCTGAGGAGATTATCAAGACCAACCCCGAGAGCGCTGCTGCGGCTCTGTCGGTAGCGCTTGAGACTCTGTCGGACGCACTCGAAATCGTGGCCCACGACCACTTGGTATTTATGCGCATCCACAAGCTGGTAGCGGACTCGTGCGACCTGTTGCTGCGAGCGAAAACCGAGCGGGTGTGTGAGTACTCGATCCTGTTCCTGCGTAGCAGCTATGAGCTGCTCGAGCTGCAGCGAACGTACCTCAACGCAGACCACATTGACCTGGCGCGAACGCTGAATGACGTGAGCCAGGGCATCCAGTTGCTGCTCTCGTACGACCCGAAGGTGCTGCTCACAGAGTTTCCGGAGTGGAAAGACTTTCGTCAGGCCTCGGTGGTGGAGAACCAGTATCGCCAAGAGTATAGACGGCTAAAGCGGATGTACGAATAGAGGTGTCGTTGCGCTTGTTATAGTACGAAAGAAGCGAGTGGGAAGGTAAGAGGAGGATACACAGCAATCGACAGAAAGGTTGAAATGCCTGGCTTCGTCATCTTGTAGTGCCTTCTAGCATCGGCTCGTTTTAGCAGTGTCGCAATTGGTCACCTTCAACTGCTGCTCTCGAGTCTAGGGTTCAGTTGTTGAGCCTTTGAGGTGCCGGCAAACCTTCTTTTACAGATGCAGCTTGCTCATTTCGACGTTCAAACTTCCCAGCTTCCACAGGACAACGCGACCGTCCAGAGCTGAAGGTATGACCACCGCAGCAGCATGATGCACATGTTAGATATGTAAGTTCCATACGAGTTTCAATTGTATCGTACCCGAAGTGGAGAATTCCGTGACGCCTCCGGAGGCGGAGCGTGCGTACGGTTGAATGCATGTGATGTTGCTCTCGTGTTTCCTGCATCGAACGGAGAACACGTATCAGTAAAACGGCCATCGTATCTACATGTAGATGGATCGCAACGTACATCCACAGCATATTCTTATCATGTTGAGTGGCATCAGAGGACTGGCCGCGCGTCACCTTACTCTCGAACAGGCTTCGGGCTAGGAGGTAGAGAAAATACAGCGCATAAAGATCGTTTAGCAACGAATCCAACTCCAGCAGCACAAAGTGACATTTTTCTTACCAGCGCTGAAGCCGCCCGAGTTTCTCTTCACAGCGCTCTCGGATGGCTTCTTGTCCACAAATTCGGAGAACGACCTAGATTGAGTCGCTCACGTTAGCCGCAGCACCTTTTTTAGAATGAAATTATTCATTGAGATCCTTACCAGAAGTTGTTGGCGTCCTGGGAGAACAGAAGAGGGTTGAAGTCGTAGCCGACGCCAACAATCACCGAGTTCGATAGGAACATGATGCGCATCAGCGGCAGGTGCGAGAACCGGATAGACTGTATCAATGCATGCCATGTATGCACGTGCAAAACAACCCATTATCATCAGCATACAAAAACCACGCCCCAATCGCGCATTCTAGTCCAAACAGCAGTACTTACCTGGATCGTCGGGTACTCGCCCGGAGCACCGAAGTGAACGATGTGAATGGACGAACCCTGGCCGGCGAACGCCAGGCGGTCGCCCTTGGGGGACCACGCGACAGCGTTCACCCAGGCGCTGGCATTGTCGAACTCAGCCAGCGGCTCACCGAAAGGTGGCATGGCCTCGAACGGACCGGCATCGGGCGGCCCATCGACGCCGCTGATGTGCGCTGAGAGCACGCGGCACTTGAGATCCGTGCTGCCCGTCACGAGGAGCTGGCTGTTCGGGTGCCAGTCCAAGTCCGTCACCCTGCATTCAAAACAATAAAATTCCATCAGCTTCTTCACTCCCTCTTAAAAGATCCAACCAAGTTGAAGCTGCACGAATGAACGTACGTGGACTTGTGCTTCTTGATGATCTTACTGAGCCACCAGTTCTCCGCCGCCTGGTAGTAGCACACGGACACGCACTTGGCGCCGCTGCTCACCGCGAACTTGTTGCCTGCGTCCAATACAAAACAAATTAATAAATTATTGCAATGCGAGTCCCCTCTCTCCGCTAGCTACGCACCGTCGGGGCTCCACTTGACGTTGGTCGCGGCGCGCGAGATGCGCAGCACCACGAGCAGCGGCTTCCACTGGCGGTAGGCGGCCTCGTACTTCCACACGAAGGCGCTGCGGTCGTGCGAGCAGGACACGAGCTGGTCGTGCACGGGCGACCAGTCCAGCCCGCTCACGAGCATGTCGTGCTCCGAGAGCACGGCCTCGCGACGCCACTGCGTCGGGTCCGGCGCGTGGCAGCCCGAGTAGATCCAGATCTCGTTGCTGTTGGGGCAGATGGCCAGCTTGGAGCGGTCCTTGTTCCACGCGTGGCACGAGATGCCGTCCGCCAGCTGGAACAGATTCGCGTCGCCCCCCGCTACCATGATGCTAGTGTGTGTCTTGCGCTTTGTATCGACTGACTCCCTTTGCGGATTGATCTGCTTCGAGGAGGAAGGCAAAAAGAGGGATTATGGACTTGTAGAGGGAGAAGTGTCTCCGATCTCCCTCTGCAAGCACAGCTTCAACTACGCGTGGACCACATGGAATTAAGAGTGTGTGTAATGTGCCGCAAATAACATTTTTTTGAATCGCTTCAAAAGCGCGGGGAGCGATAGATTACACTTGCGCTCTTGGAGTGGCCTGGCGACGCGCGGGCGCATGCAGTCTCCAGAGCGCGCAACGGACCGCGTCGGCGGGCCGTACCCGGAGGAGATCCTTCTGGAGGCGTACAACTTGGAAGTACGTTTCTCTGGCATCTAGAACGTGAGATATCCCGATTCAAAGCTGACACATCGCTTCTCGTGCTGTGTACATATAGTGGGAGTCCATCGAGCTGCGCCGCCAGCGACTGCAGAAGACATGGCAGCAGTTCCTGCTGATGGAGGAGATGGAGCTGGAGGAGCGCCGATACCAGCGCCAGGTGCGCCGGCTAAAGCGCCAGGAGCAGGAGAAGCAGGAGAAGGAGAAACTGGAGCGAGAGCAAGCGGAGCGACAGCGGCAGCGGGAACGGGAACGTGAGGAGGCAGAAGCAAAGGCAGAGGAAGTGTCTCTGCGTCGCCAACGGGAGAAGGAAGCAGCTTGTCAGAGGGAAAAGCTCGAGTTGGAGAAGCAAAAGAAGGAGAAGGAGAGGTTGGAGATTGAGGAGCAAAAGAAAGAGAAGGAGAGGATGGAATTGGAGAAGCAGAAGGAAAAGAAGAAGGCGAAGAAGAAGGCCAAGCAGGTGCAAGAGAGCGACATGCAGACGGATGAGGAGGAGCCACAGCAGCCCAAGATGCCCGTCAAGGCCGTGAAGGGGAAGGCAAAGCCACAGGTGCAGAAGGCCAAGTCGGAGTCTAAGCAGGCGAAGAAGACAAAAACAGCAGTTCCAAAGAGAATCACTCCTACTGTCTTGCCGCCAGCGCAGCCGAAAGATGATGCAGCGTCGAAGTCAGAGGAGAACCAGGTTGAGGTGGGTGGATATGACAGCCCGCCACCGGAGTTGCCGGATGATGGGCTGCTCAATATCCTTGATAAGAGCAGTGACTCTGATAATGACGATGAACCGTCAGTGGCGAGCTTGATTTTGACTGCAACTCCGAGCGCGACGAAGGCGCATCCATCGCCTATCAAGAAGAAGACGCTGACTCCTCAGAAGCGGTTCGCGAAGAAGAAAGGAGCCCTACCACTGGATTTCAACTTCTCCAACGCGGAAGCGAAGAGGCAGGCAAAGGTTGCGGAGGTCGCTGCCGGCGCTGAAGAGGGTGAAAGTGATCAAGCAGACTCGGAACCTGAACCGATGCCTGTACCATTAACACCAACTCCAAAGAAGCGCTTAAAGCGCCGGAAGGATTTGTCGAAGGGACAAAACGCAACTGGCGCTGCCACATCGACTGGAGGGATAAACTTGATGGCGGCTATGGCGAACACTGCTGTTGCAGTCAAACCTAAGAAGAACGCTGTAGCTAACAGAGCCAAACCAGCAACGACAGCGAGTAACGGTGCCCGGAAAAATGCCACGGGGGCCAGCAGTACAAACGCTACCAAGGGTGCGCAGTTCAAGGCGAAACTCCAGGTATCTGAAGCTGTATCGAACCAGGAAGAGGAAATCACTTCAGCACCGGCGCCAAAGAAGAAAGTTGGTGGTAAAGCCGAAACCATGTCGATCAAGCAGCGTCTAGCAAATGCAGAGTTGCTCGCGCGGATGAACAAGATGCAAGATATCAGCACACCGAAAATGTTAGGCAAGAAAACGAAGAAAACGCAGAACAAGGGTGCAGCGAAAACGTTAGCGGCGAAGCGGGCGGATTTCCGGAAGGTGCTACAAAGTGATACCGCAGACGTTGAGGTACCTCCTCAACGTGAGCAGGTCGTCGAGGAGAGAGACCTGAACATCAGTTTAAACAGCAGTGGCCTGATTAGCGACAATGACTCACCTGAAAATCTACGTGCTCCGTCCCGAAAGCGGCCGCGAGGAGCGGCTGATGAAGATGTGACACCAACGAAGAAGCTGCAGTTCTTTGAGATCACGAAGCGACTTGCGAAATCACCGATGCCACGGTTTCTGCGAACCCCGACACCTCTCATGTTCCCTGTGGTAGGCTCGGCTCTGGTAAAGCCAAGAGCTGCATCGCCTGCCCCCCGTGCCGCAAGTGCTCGCAGCACAGCCGCGAAAGATTACTCAGCACGTCGAATGAACTCAGCCCCAGTTCGTCCGAAGAAAACTACCAACGCGAATCGGTTCGGCCTTCCTGCAGGTGGTGCTGGCACAGGTGCAAGTGGTGGAGGGTTTTCCATGTTCGACGCCTTCGTGAACAGTGGCAATAGTAGCGCAATTCCTCGGCTGAAAACAAAGACTCGGGGAGATGTTTCGCCGTCAGTGTAGCTTGCTGTAGGTGTTCATAGTGTAAGATACTAACCGTGGCGCGATGTTGCCGGTCAATGAACCTCAGAATTGCAGTCCGAACATTCACAGTGATCTGATTGCGTCTATTACATTGGAGTGAGGTGCCCATTCGAAGACGGTAAAACAATGATCAAACTCCTATCCTACGCTAATCGAACTGATCGCGCGAGCTCATCACATCACGTGAGCGGCCACTTTAGTTCTCGAGCGTCTCGGCGTGGAGCTGGTTGATAACATCAACCGAGTCAATGTAGTGGTCAGGCACGTGGTGAACGTTTTCGATGCTGCCCAGCTCCGACCCGTGCGTGACTCCAGTCAGCACCAGCAACGTGTTCAGGCCACCGGCGTTGCCGAACTCGATGTCCGTGGAGAGGCGGTCACCAACCTGAGTACAGTACCAACAAATTCCAGTCAGTCGAAGTTTTCTACAACTTGTTTAGTTGTCGAGTTCGTTCGTACCATGCACGTGCGTGAGGGGTCCAGGTTGTACGTGGCAAGAATAGTCTGCAGCAGGTCCTGCGAAGGCTTGCCACACACGGCCTCAGGGGGGCTACAGGCAACAAAGAATGGTACAGAAATTAGCACGAGCGCTTCAATAGGCATCACTTCACACGAAACAGAGAGATTGACACGTACTGGCCGATGGCGCACTCCAGCATGTGCACAAGGGAGCCACCACCAGGGATGATAGCACCGTCCGTCGGGAACGTCTGGTCACTGGAGGATACCGAGCATACATCAGCAAGTTAGAAATGAGAAATCCACGGAGAATAGCGCTTCAACCAAAGGGAGTCACTCACGGGTTGGTGCCAATGAAGTGGCAGCCCGGGATCTGACGGACGCAGGCCGTGGCGTAGGCCATCTTGTAGTACGAGAAGTACCTGCAGAAAAGAATAAGGCAATGAGCGCAAACGCACTAGAGAAAGCATTGCCTACTCCTGCTACCATACCGGTCCAGGCCGCAGACAACCGCATTGGTCTCCATGTCGATTTCCGGCACGTGCGGCAGGCCCTTGATGTCGCTGTGCTCCATGCCGCTGACCTGGTAGCCCTCCAGCTCCAGCTCCGTCTGGAGACCGGCCTCGCCCACCATGTAGACCTTGCCCTCGATCTTGTGTTGCTTCATGTACTGCACGGTCGCCCACGCCGAGCTGCAAAGCAACACGGTAAACAAACATACCATCAGCTGATTGCTATCCAAAACCTTGTATGAACTCAGTGCACACAACGTACGTGACGATGTCGGCCTCAACAGCGGTGATGCCCTGCGAAGCTAGAGCACACCAAACAACACTCTAAATAAGCCACTGCGACCTGAGTCAAGGTAGAAACGGCAGCAACGTACCAAGCTTCTTGACGTAGGTGGCACGGCTGTTGGTGGCGTTGTTGGTCTACACGCAGAGTATCATCAGTCTCCTTCCCCACATGATCCATAGGCTCAACAGCTCCAGCTCACCACAAACACCACGCGCTTGTTGAGCGAGCGCAGGAGGCTGATCATGTTGGCAGCGCCCTCGATCGGGGCGGCTCCACGCCACAGCACTGCATAAATCAGCACCGTTAGTCCAAGTCTCCATTTGCGCCAGTTGAGCTCACACAAGCAGCGCACCTCCATCGCAGTCGAAGAGGAAGGCGTCGAGGCCCTGGAGCCACTGCTTGAAGCTCTCGCGGGTCAGTCTCTGCGTGATCTTCTTCGAGGTCGCCATAGCTAAAGGAGGAGGGGGGATGGTGGTCGTCGTGCGCAGCTCCTGGGGAATGCTAAGTGAGCCCTTGGCGGCATGGACAGGCATGGTACCCGACGGCTGAAGTCATACAAAAAGCAAGATAAACCAAACCAATGACGTACTCGGTTCATGTCGCAGAATGGTACTACCGTGCCGTCTCCATTTTAGACCAAGTCTATTCACCTATTGCGGCGATACACGCAAGCTCGACCTGTGGCACTCTAGCATCGCCTACAAAATGGCCGAGCCCTTTCTAAGTTGTAGTTGTGTACTTTTGTCTCTACTGAGGCACCGCCCAGCTGCCAAACTGGCCCAGACGAGCGTCGATGCGGGCAACCACTTCCGGGTCGAAGCCCTCGACGCCGTCCTTGTCCAGCTTGGCCAGCTCCTTGGTCGTAAGGTACACCACGTTGTCCGGGTGCAGCGGTCGGTCCGTCCGCCAGCGCGCCAGGTAGAGGCGGTCGTGGCCGCCGTTTCTTGCTCCACTCACGGAGCTGCGACCCCGCCAGATTTCCTGGTAGACGAACTCGATCTCGTCCTTCTCCAGCTCAATCTTGTGGCCTTCGTGGAACAGCACGTGCTCGCGCTGCTGCAGCTTCTGGTACAGCTTGTTGCGCTGGTCACGCGACAGCCGCGCCACCGCTTCCGGGTTAATCTTCTTGCCAGCCAGGTCGCACAGCACGTACGCCGCCATCGACTGGCCGAAGAGCGCAGGCATCGTGCCCAGCACGGGGATCACGCGGATGCGGAAGTTCTCCACGTTGCCGAACTCCTCGGGGTTCTGCGCCTGCTCGGCACCCAAAGGCAGCAGCTTGCATACGCTTTTCTCGCTCGAGAAGATGGTCGTGATCTCCGACGACGAGATGCCCTTCTTCTTCAAGAAGTACCGGATCTTGGTCGCCAGCGGGTCACCTTCACAACGGCAACAACAACATCGTCAGCATCTTTTTAACTACGAAGAACTGCTCTACATCACGTACGGACAGCATCCTTGAGCGACCCGATCTGCAGACGCGTCGGGTCGGCCTTGGCGCCCGCCCCCGTGGCCGTGATGACCTTGAGGTTCTTGCGCGTCACGCTCTCCAGCAGCGCGCACTTGGTCTTGACGTCATCGATGCAGTCCAGCACGTACGTCGGGTTGCCTGTTCCACCACCACTGCGTCAGTCGATGTTTCAACCTCTCCACCTTTGTGTAAAGGTCGCTAGTTCACCTTCCAGCAGCTCGTCGGCGCTGCCCGCCTCGAACATGACGGCCATGTCCTCGATCTCGCAGTCCGGCACGATCTCGTGCAGGTGGCGCTTCATGGCCGCCACCTTGGACAGACCCACGTCGGCGCGCGTGGCCACCGCGTGGCGGTTCAGCGACGACAGCGTCACGTTGTCGAAGTCCACGAGCCGCAGCTTGCCCACGCCCGAGCGCGCCAGCATGTGCGCAGCGTGGGAGCCCACACCGCCCAGCCCCACGACCACCACGAACGCGTCCTTGACCTTGGCGAAGCCCTCGGGTCCGAAGAAGGCGGCGATGCGGGACAGCTGCTCCTCCAGGAGCTCCTGCGCGGCGGCGGCAGTGCCGCGGGGGGCCGCCACAGTGGATTTTGACACGCGCGCGTTGGCTGCTTGACGCTTGAGAGCGACCTGGTACACGTACTGAGCTGCGATGGCAGCCGCCACGCCCACGCCGAAGGCCGCTACGAGCTGGCCGCCGCCCACCGTCTTGACCATCGTTTTGCTGTTGACCACGAAAAAATAATCAGCTTGAAAAATGGTGGTCTGCAGGGTACTGACTATTGACTGGATGTATGTATGAAGCATATTAACATTCATGGCTGTCAATGCAAGTTGACTACAAACACTGAAATGAAGTCCTCTGCCCACCCACAGCTCGATATGCACGAAGTTACTCGAGGAATACTCCGTAGAGGTACTCACCGGTCTGCAGCGTGAACGTAGCGCACAACGGGTTCGCCGCAGCAGTCTCGTTGTACACGTCGCAGTCCGTCTCCGGCTTGATCGCGATCACGTAGTCCGTGTCCTCCGCCACCTGCTTGAAACCCTCGCCGATCTGGGGCTTGTACACGCTCCAGTCGTCCGCCGTCAGCGTGAAGTTCACCGTCTGCGACGCACCGGCCTCCAGGCTGATCTTGGAGAACTTCTTGAGCTGCTTCACCTCCGGCACCGAGATGGAGCGGTACGGCTGCGTCAGGAACAGCATCACCGTCTCCTTGCCGGCCATGCTGCCAGAGTTCGTCACGACCACCGACACGTCGATGGAGTCGGAGCTGGACGTGACGTTCGTCTTGCTGAGCGTCAGGTCGGAGTAGGTGAAGTCGGTGTAGCTGAGGCCGGTGCCGAAGTCCCATTGCATCTCGCAATACTCCGAGTCGGCGCACTGCGTCGAGACGCGGTGGTTGTACGGGATCAGAATGTTGCCGGCATCCTTCGGGTAGGTGATCGGCATGCGTCCGCTGGGGTTGACTTGGCCGTAGATGATCTCCGCCATCGCCTTGCCGCCCTGTTCGCAAGCGAGCAGACCATTGACAACGGCGTGCACGTTCTCCGGCAGGTCTCCAAGAAGTCGCGGACGACCCTCGAAGAGGACAACAATGACCTTGGTACCGGTGGACGCGAGTTCTTTGACGTACTCGATCTGGCCAGCAGGGAGAGCGAGGTCGTCCAAGTCGCCGGTCTTCTCAGCGTACGGGTGCTCACCAATGACAGCGATGGTGTACTCGGCCTGGCTGGCGTACTGCTTGGCGGTGGTCATGTTGGCTTCCGAGTAGTTTCCGTCCGAATCCAGGCCATTGAAGTAGGTGACCTTGTCACTTCCGGCAATGGCCTCCATGCCCTCCTTGACGGAGATGCCGTTCGGGAAGTTGTCATTGCCTGAGCACCCGTGCCACCAGATAGAGACTCCGCCACATTGGTTGCCAATGTTGTGGGCCGAGTGGCCAGTCAGGAACACTGAAGCCGAGGTTGAAATAGGCAGCGTGCTGTCATTGTTCTGCAGCAACACGATCGATTCCCGAGCGAGCTCCAACGCTGTGGCAATGTCCTCTTCGCTGTGCACCTTTGCGACGTCGTCGGCACCAGGTACCGGGTTGTCGTACAGTCCGAGCTTGAGCTTCATCTTGATCACGCGCTTGGCAGTCTCCTTCATACGATCGAGATATTCGGGGCTCTCTTCAACGAGAACGGTGGTTCCGTTGAGGTACGCGGTGTCGGACCCCATGGCCATGTCGATTCCGGTGTGCGTGTAGGAGAACCGGACAGCCTCGTTGGTGTCCCGAGCAACTCGGTGGAAGGTATTCATCATGCCAATCTCGCCAAAGTCACTGAGCGCCACGCCGTCGAACCCGATGTCTTCACGCAACAAGACCTGGAGAATCCTGTTGTTCGCGATCGTTGGGACTCCGTTGACCGAGATGTAGTTCTCCATGGTCGACAGAGCCCCTGCCTCCATAGAGCGCTTGAACGGCGGGAGGAAGTAGTTGAGCAAGTCGTAATCGGAAATGGCGACTCCGTCCTGGTCGTGCCCGGTAGGCGTTTTCGAGTACGCTACGAAGTGCTTGAGGCACGCAGCCGTCTCGTTGGAGCTCTGCAAACCCCTCGTGATAGTTTCAGCCATGACCGTGACAAGGTACGGGTCTTCACCGAACGTCTCGAAGGTTCTCGGCCACAGCGGGTTGTGCGAGATCTCGAGAACAGGCCCCATGATCCAGGAAATACCTGCCGCACGCGTGTCCTGACCAGTGATCACGCCTTGCTTGTACACGAGGTCAGGGTTGAAAGAGGCGCCGGCGTTGATCTGAGCACCAAACATGGTCGTATTCATGACGTGGTTGGCTCCGCGGACCGAGTCGAGCGCGTATATCATCGGGACGCCGTCGTTCTCCTCCATGGCGATCTCTTGGATGCGGGTTATCACCTTTCTCCACTCCGGTGCAGTCCAGCCGTATTCACCGGTGACGTCGTTGGTTGCATCGTTGAAGGGGATCAAGTTATACGAGCCGATCTTGAGCTTGGCGTAGTTGCGGAACAACGTCTCGTTGAGCGTGTTGTCGGCGTTCATGAAACTGTAGATCGGGATCTGCGCCATTTGGCCGAGAACTTGCTCCGTCGTGAAGCTGGCCACGATGGCTTCAGCTTGAGCGTCAAAATCGTCGGCCATGGCTTCTGCTACAAGCCCAAGGGCGGTGCAGCACAGCGCCGACAGCCACATCTTGAACATCTTGCGAGCTTTTGCGATCGCAGTCACAGCCGTGTTGCCTGGAGCTAGGTCGCGAGTGAGTTGAAAAGTGAGCTGCTGGACAGGGAGCTCTCGGGGTCTTTTGGTAGCACAGAAGCCTCACACAGCCCAACATGATAGGCGAGGACCGTACCAGGCAACTTCAACGACGCTGTCCTATGTGCAAGGGGGGGGGGGCTTTGACTTTGACGCTCAAGCCGAAGCCATCGTGGCCAGTTGATAACATTTCTGAAGCACGACTAAGCGTTGTACACCAGCCACAATCAGCCGATGTACATGTATACTCCGCGCTGCTCAATCGTCCATCATATCTTACTTCAGTTTGATGCGCATGCTCCCTTACTGTTTCCTTACTCATCCCCAGGGTGAATGTCCGATTCTGGAGGCAACTCACATCAACTTGACCATCCTTGTGTCGTATCTTTTTTGTAGAGCTTGCAACGGATTGCGTCGGGCTCGGGGGTTGCCTGCACAAACAGTGGGCAAAATGGAGGTCATTTCAACATAAAGCACTCAGCACTCAGCAGTTCCGGTGCTTGTTTCCGTTGTTTGCCTGAACGGGCTGCAACCACAGCGATCGGATTTCGCCCCTCACGTCTAGGCCCCTCCGCTGATTCGACGATTCACAATGCTCGATCCTCGAGTAGATCAGTGAACAGAGGCCCCTGCGCTCCAGCAGTCCGACCCAGGTATGAGATCGCAATGCATTCATTGATCTCGATGCGGTTATCCTCTCCTCGGCAGAATTGCTACGGCTTACCACTATCAGACGGCGAGTATGTCTTCATTGGCTACTGCTGAAGGCTGCACCGCCATTAGTTCTTCGACGCTCTTTTCCAGATATTGCTGCGTAGTATAGGATGATTCGACCAGTGAGTAACTACAAATTTCCTTTCGTCATTCAACTTGTAGATTCTATGATTCGTACCAAATCCTTCACACGCCCTAACAACTCCAACTCCAAGTATTCGAGCTACCACAACGACCAGCATATAATCGATTGGTATAATAAATAACATTCGAGGGATGCAGTTAGCATAGACTCACCAGCTCCGATATGCATTTACACATCATCGGGTCGGGTTCCGTTGGGTCGGTCACAACAGCCACCACTTTTGGCTTCGCTTGCCGGTCGTTCTTCTTTGCTATCAGTCGAGAGGTGGAACCACGCAGTGGCATGGTCGCTTTGGAAGGCTCTACCCGAATACTGTCCATGCATCCTTCAAGTTTGGCTAGAGCAGCTTTCGCTCCCAATGTGCTGCGGAATGAATGGCTTCGGATAAATAAAATACGCACAAAACAGCGTTAGAGATACTGGTGGCAGTTTATCACGAATCATCACAAATTCCTTCACCGTACCGAATAACGCGTAAAGCAGGATCCATTCCATCGAGTTCTTCGCCCCCATCTGGAGCTAAAACTCCATCTTCTTCCTCGCTAACCTCGGCTGAAGTTGGTTGTTCGGCTGAGCTTGATGCATCTTCGAATTCTTCTGTACCCGGTGCAAAAGCCCCAATGTAAAGTTCACATGGAGCCTTCATAGAGTTCTAGGAGAAAGTTAGACCCCCTCGTTTCAGGCACTTACAGGTGAGGAAGAAGAATCAGCACGTACCGAATACTTCGGGATCAGGTTGGTGTTGGTTGTGTTGCTCTTTGCCTGGGAGAACGACTGCCTCAAGGCCTCTTGACGACGCTCAAAGCCATGGTAGGAACGAACGGCGTCCGGGCAGGTCTTATGGGCGTAGTCATGAACCCAGTGCAGAAACTCGAAATGCTCCTGAAAAACACCTTGGATAAGCTTTCGAATGGGGATTTCCTGCTTGCAAGGCAACACTCACTCAAGTTAGGCTGGTGCATAACAACCTGGTAAACTACAGTAGAGTTGGAACCTTTTTGATCTCGCACAGGTGGAATGTGCGTCGAAGCACCCTCAAATTTCGCTCGAACTCCATTTCGGTTCTAGCATGAAAGTTCAACTTCTGCAGGTTGACTTTGCCCGGGTACAAGGCATCGAAAATTTGGCAGTAAGCGATCCCGTCTGCGAGATGCTCAATCTGTACAAGCAACGAAGTTGTTAATCAAATCTTGGTGTCAATATTGTGTCGGTTGCTTGGCTTACCTTGGTGTAATCGGTCTCTAAGAAGTCATTGATCCATGCAAGTAATTCTAGGCGGCCGATGCCTCGCCACTTCAGCTTCCGCAGACTCATTTCGACAGACCAGCAGGAGTGGAGCACACTGCATCCAGTCTACCGCTATTTCCGTCTTACTATTTCGAACATCATCCATTCATCGTCAAAAATATATAGATCCCGATTGTATGTTCTTCAAACGATTCACTAAATGAAACTGCGAGTTTTACATTGAAAACGCCACCATGGCTTATATTCCTACCTAAGACAGCAGAAAGCCGTACGGATAGTCACCGGTCTGCAGCGTGAACGTAGCGCACAACGGGTTCGCCGCAGCAGTCTCGTTGTACACGTCGCAGTCCGTCTCCGGCTTGATCGCGATCACGTAGTCCGTGTCCTCCGCCACCTGCTTGAAACCCTCGCCGATCTGGGGCTTGTACACGCTCCAGTCGTCCGCCGTCAGCGTGAAGTTCACCGTCTGCGACGCACCGGCCTCCAGGCTGATCTTGGAGAACTTCTTGAGCTGCTTCACCTCCGGCACCGAGATGGAGCGGTACGGCTGCGTCAGGAACAGCATCACCGTCTCCTTGCCGGCCATGCTGCCAGAGTTCGTCACGACCACCGACACGTCGATGGAGTCGGAGCTGGACGTGACGTTCGTCTTGCTGAGCGTCAGGTCGGAGTAGGTGAAGTCGGTGTAGCTGAGGCCGGTGCCGAAGTCCCATTGCATCTCGCAATACTCCGAGTCGGCGCACTGCGTCGAGACGCGGTGGTTGTACGGGATCAGAATGTTGCCGGCATCCTTCGGGTAGGTGATCGGCATGCGTCCGCTGGGGTTGACTTGGCCGTAGATGATCTCCGCCATCGCCTTGCCGCCCTGTTCGCAAGCGAGCAGACCATTGACAACGGCGTGCACGTTCTCCGGCAGGTCTCCAAGAAGTCGCGGACGACCCTCGAAGAGGACAACAATGACCTTGGTTCCGGTCGACGCGAGCTCGTTAACGTATTTAATTTGTCCAGCGGGGAGAGCGAGGTCATCGATATCACCAGCCTTCTCGGAGTAAGACGCCTCACCGATGGCAACGACGGTGTAGTCAGCCTGGGTGGCGAGTTGCTTGGCAGTGGTCATGTTGGCCTCCGAGTAGTTCCCGCTCACGTCGAGGCCATTGAAGTAAGTCACCTTGTCTCCACCAATCGCTTCGAGGCCCTCCTTGACCGAGATGCCATTCGGAAAGTACTCGTTGCCCGAGTAACCGGGCCACGAGATGGAGAACCCACCGCACTGGTTACCGATGTCGTGGGCGTTGAAGCCGGTGAGGAACACTGACGAAGAGCTCGAGATCGGAAGAGTGCTGTCATTGTTCTGCAGCAGCACGATCGATTCGCGGGCGAGTTCCAACGCAGTGGCGACATCGTTGTCGTTGCGAACCTTCACGACATCGTTGGCGCCAGGCACGGGCTTGTCGAAAAGCCCGAGCTTGAGCTTCATCTTGATGATACGCTTGGCGGACTCTTTCATGCGGTCAAGGTACTCGGGGTTTTCGTCGATGAGGAGCGTGGTTCCGTTGAGGTACGTCGTGTCATAGCCCATAGCCATGTCAATTCCCGTTCGTGTGTAGGAGAACCGAACAGCTTCGTTGGCGTCACGGGCGACGCGGTGGAAGCTGTTCATCGAGCCAATCTCGCCGAAGTCGCTCACAGCCAGACCGTCGTAGCCCATGTCTTCACGCAGCAAGACTTGGAGGATCTTGTGGTTGGCGATGGTCGGAACACCGTTGATGGAGATGTAGTTCTCCATCGTGGACATGGCCCCAGCGTCCATCGCAGCCTTGAACGGCGGCAAGAAGTAGTTGAGCAAGTCGTAGTCGGATATGGTCACCCCATCCTGGTCATGGCCCGTGGGGTTCTTGGAGTACGCGACAAAGTGCTTCATGCACGCTGCCGTCTGGTTCTCGCTTTGCAGTCCCCTAGTGATGGCGTCGGCCATGACCGTGACAAGGTACGGGTCCTCGCCGAACGTCTCGAAGGTTCGCGCCCACAGCGGGTTCTGAGAGACCTCCAAAATGGGGCCAAACACCCAGGGAATACCGGCCGCGCGCGTGTCCTGAGCACTAATGCGTCCTTGCTCGTACACCAGGTCGGGGTTGAACGAGGCGCCGCCATTGATCTGGGCGCCAAACATCGTCGCGTTCAGCACGTAGTTGGCTCCGTGGACGGAGTCGAGGCCGTAGACCATGGGGATACCGTCGTTCTCCTCCATGGCGATCTTCTGGACACGGGTCACGATCTTTCTCCACTCTGGAACAGTCCAGCCGTAGGCGCCCGTGATTGCATTGGGGGAGTTCTGGAAAGCCATCGTGAGGTAGGATCCGATTTTGAGCTTGGCGTAGTCGCGAGCCAGGGTCTCGTTGAGAGTCGCGTCGTCGTTCAGAAGCGCCGGGATGGCGATCTGGGCCAGTTGACCGAGCACTTGCTCCGTCGTGAAGTTGGCCACGATGGCCTCCGCTCGGGCATCGAAGTCGTCTGCGGTGGCTCCTGCTGCGAGCCCCAGGGCAGCACAGCAGAGTGCTGGAAGCCACGTCTTGAACATCTTGAGTGGAGTGTTCTCACTAGTATCGGATACTCGGGAGCTTTGCTCGGTCGGAGGAAGATTGGAAAGTGAGTGAGCCTTACGGCTACGAGCGATAACACTGGCCAGTGGTCACGGAGGGCTCCAGGCTAGAGGTCTCAACTAAAACAGCGGTGCATGTCAAGTGCAAGTGGGACCGGCTGTTTTAGTCAACTTCAACCAACGAGTTGATAGATTTTAGTCTGCAAAAACTGAAGTTCAGTTTTGGCCCTCAACGAGGAGTGTCTGATTCAGACACAATGTACCATACAGTCTGAGTGCGTTGACTCCTCTGGCTTGACTTGCCAAAACAACGCACAGATCTCTAAAGACTGTGAGGTCTGTGGCAGTAGTTTGCAGGTCGAACATGCCCGGTGCTACCAGATCTCATGGCTAAAGCATTCTTGCTAACACTTTCTGAAGTTTGTCTGGTGCTTCAAGCATCAACAGGTCCACAAATGCACTATTTATGGTCATTTCGTCGATTTATGGGATGTTTTTGCTACTTGAAGTAAAAACATAAACTTTGTTGTTTGTGCTTTTTACTTCAACCATCAGCGACACTTGATTCAGCAGCACCATGAGGTCATGGATGACCCCTGCTTGCTTGTGCATCAAGCTACATACATCAACAAGAGCGCTTCCATTTCCACTTCTACAAAGGGAACTACTAAACTACTGACGGTAGTTTATTGAGAGTACTATCATTCTTTCCCATTAAATTCAAAGAAACCAGCACAACCATCACGGTAACGCCTGCACATACTACACTAAGACGACGCCGGCAGTGAGCCCGTTGACGTATAAGCGTCAACACTAACGACTGGTGAGTACACAACCTATATGGCTTCTTGAGTAACCTACTTGAAAACACCGTGGCATTTGCTTTCATCTAACATTGAAATAATTTTTCTTACGCAACCTCAATACATTTAAGGCCTTTCTAAACAGGGTGCTTACTCCAGAAGCGAGCCATAGGGGTACTCACCGGTCTGCAGCGTGAACGTAGCGCACAACGGGTTCGCCGCAGCAGTCTCGTTGTACACGTCGCAGTCCGTCTCCGGCTTGATCGCGATCACGTAGTCCGTGTCCTCCGCCACCTGCTTGAAACCCTCGCCGATCTGGGGCTTGTACACGCTCCAGTCGTCCGCCGTCAGCGTGAAGTTCACCGTCTGCGACGCACCGGCCTCCAGGCTGATCTTGGAGAACTTCTTGAGCTGCTTCACCTCCGGCACCGAGATGGAGCGGTACGGCTGCGTCAGGAACAGCATCACCGTCTCCTTGCCGGCCATGCTGCCAGAGTTCGTCACGACCACCGACACGTCGATGGAGTCGGAGCTGGACGTGACGTTCGTCTTGCTGAGCGTCAGGTCGGAGTAGGTGAAGTCGGTGTAGCTGAGGCCGGTGCCGAAGTCCCATTGCATCTCGCAATACTCCGAGTCGGCGCACTGCGTCGAGACGCGGTGGTTGTACGGGATCAGAATGTTGCCGGCATCCTTCGGGTAGGTGATCGGCATGCGTCCGCTGGGGTTGACTTGGCCGTAGATGATCTCCGCCATCGCCTTGCCGCCCTGTTCGCAAGCGAGAAGACCATTGACAACGGCGTGCACGTTCTCCGGCAGGTCTCCAAGAAGTCGCGGACGACCCTCGAAGAGGACAACAATGACCTTGGTACCGGTGGACGCGAGCTCGTTAACGTACTCGATCTGGCCAGCAGGAAGAGCGAGGTCGTCCAAGTCGCCGGTCTTCTCAGCGTACGGGTGCTCACCAATGACAGCGATGGTGTACTCGGCCTGGCTGGCGTACTGCTTGGCGGTGGTCATGTTGGCTTCCGAGTAGTTTCCGTCCGAATCCAGGCCATTGAAGTAGGTGACCTTGTCTCCAGCGATGGCCTCCATGCCCTCCTTGACGGAGATGCCGTTAGGAAAGAGGTCGTTGCCTGTGTAACCAGGCCAGCTGACGCTCCAGCCACCGCACTGGTTGCCAATGTTGTTTGCAGAATGGCCAGTAAGGAACACGGAAGCCGAGCTCGAGATAGGCAGCGTGCTGTCGTTGTTCTGAAGCAGCACAATCGACTCACGAGCCATGTCGAGCGACTTCTGGACATTGTCGTCGTTGCGGACCAGAGCGGCGTCGTCAGCACCAGGTACCGGGTTGTCGTACAGATCGAGCTGGAGCTTCAGCTTGATAATGCGACGAGCAGAGTCTTTGAGGCGGTTCAAGTACTCGGGGCTCTCCTCGATGAGGAGCTTCGTACCGTTCAGGTACGTGGAGTCGTAGCCCATGCTCATATCGATGCCCGTGTTAGTGTACGAGAATCGAACAGCCTCGTTGGCGTCGCGGGCGACACGGTGGAAGTTGTTCATCGAGCCGATCTCTCCGAAATCGCTCACAGCCATTCCGTCGTATGCGAGGTCATCGCGCAGAAGAACCTCCAGGATCTTGTGGTTGCCGGTGACTGGCACACCGTTGATGGAGATGTAGTTCTCCATCGTCGTCAGCGCGCCGGCATCAATGGCGGCCTTGAACGGCCGAACGAAGTAGTTCAACAGGTCGAAATCCGAGATGGTCACTCCGTCCTGGTCGTGGCCAGTGGGGGTCTTGGAGTACGCGACAAAGTGCTTCATGCAGGCCGCCGTCTGGTTGTCGCTCTGAAGTCCGCGCACCACGGCGTCGGCCATCACCGATACAAAGTGCGGGTCCTCGCCGAAAGTCTCGTAGGTGCGTGGCCACAGCGGGTTGCTTGCAATCTCAAGGATGGGGCCAAACACCCAGGGAATGCCGGCAGCGCGGGTGTCTTGGGCTCCAATCCGTCCCATCTCGTAGACGAGGTCGGGGTTGAACGATGCAGCTCCGTTGAGTTGGGCTCCGAACATGGTCGAGTTGAGAATGAAGCCTGCGCCGTGCACGGTGTCGATACCGTAGACCATCGGGATGCCGTCGTTCTCCTCCATGGAGATTTCTTGGATTCTTGTGATGATGTCCCAACATCCCAGCCAACCTCACCAGTCACATCGTTGGGGCCATTGGTGAAGGGCGTGGTCAGGTACGAGCCAATCTTGAGCTTGGCGTAGTCGCGCACGAGCGTCTCGTTCAGCGAGTAGTCTTCATTCAGCATCGAGCTGATGGCGACCTGAGCAAGCTGGCCGAGCACCTGTTCCGTGGAGAGGTTGTCGACGATCGCTCTCGCCTGGTCGTCGTACTCGTCGATAGAGCGAGCAGCGGTGAGGCCCAGCGCGGCGCAACAGAGCGCTCCGAGCCACGTTTTCAGCATCTTCGAAAGCTTGGGTGAAGTAGCGCTTGAAGGTGAATTCAGAAGTGAGCTCTTGCAGCAGCGCCCTGCTCACACTCGACTTGACATGCCTCCTTCGGAAGGACCTTCCCGTCCCAGAAAACACTTCCGGAAGGTCCGTGTCCATGTCAAAGTGCAACTTCGAGGAAGCCCCCGGCACAAAGTGCAACTCCGACTGTAGAGATCCACACGATTCTGCTGCTTCGGGTCATGAACGCAAAAACATGAATTCAGATTGTTGCGCGAAATAGGCGTGGCAACAGTAGAGTCAAAGCAAGATTCATCTCCACGATCATCACCACGTGAATGTATCAAACAAATTGTCAGGGCTACACTTTTGCTACGCTCTAGTACATGTACTACATGCCGTACGTTACTAGAACATATTTTTGATGCACAATTCCGTGGTGGAGTGAAAATGACACCTCGGTTGATTCACGTTCCCGTGCCTGGCACATCTTGAAGCTGCCTTGATAATGAACATGCTATATCCCATTCATAAGCTGAAGTTCAATGTGCCGGTACCGGCACACACAATCGGTCGTCGATCTGGAGCCCAGCGTCTTTTTCAGTGTAAGGCGCCCATAAGGCTAGGAACTCCTACATGTATAACCTCTGAATTTATTTTGGCTACAAGTCTCCTCTCTCCAGCGCAATACTGTACGTGGAGGTGCATGAACATTGTCCATTATACGAAAAAGTAACGCCGTATGAGTTCTACCCCACCGTTTTGGGGACTCCCCACCGTGGGAAAGTGGATTGTGGTCGATGTGAATAATCCGCGAGCTGATGATGATGTCCACCTCCGCGCTGCACTTGATCTCTCGTGGAATTCAACCACGCCATCACGCTCATTACCGTCATCGACGTAGAACTCATACGGCGTTACAGGCGTCCCCGGCCTATTCGCCACAGTGGTACTTATGATGTTTGCGAATCAACAAGATTCACGCGGTCTGAACATAAATGAGTATGTACTGACTTACTACAAGCTTAGCTCAAGAATCCGGTGGAGGTATTCCCGCAACGTGCCACTTGTCGCAGTAGGTATCGCTGTACACTCATCTAAATCAATATGTTTGCAGAAGTAGCGCGCAAATCTTGAGAGCTTGTTGTACTTCCTGTGCAAGGTACATTAAAATATACAGCCGGGACTAGCCCGGGGACGCCTGTACTTTGGCACTTGCTACTTAGAGCATCTCCAGCGGTTGGTCCCAAACACGGTTTTATCCTAAAAGTAACGCAGTTAAGACTTGGCCGAGACTTAAGGCTCCCACCAGAAGGTCCTATTGCAGGTTTTAACTTCACCGGGTCCTATAGATTGGCTTTCGAGTCTTAAAATAAGACCCCAATCTTAATGTCACCTATACAAAACTGAAGAGTCGCCGTATTTAAAATATTGCACCAAAACTGAATGCAATTTTCACATGCGGGAATGGACTTATAAGACTCGCTTTAGAACTCACCGCTGGAAGTAAGTCGGCTGCGCGGATCTCAACTATAAAATTGTGGTCTCAAAGACCCTGTTACGTCTTAAAATAACCGCTGGAGATGCTCTTAAGTACTTATATTATTTTCGTCCCAAAATACGAACCAAACCCCGTATTATTAATAACCCTTACTGGTTTGACTATAGAGTCCAACCAAAAGTCACTGGGCGGAAAACTTCACATAAACTTTTGCTTGTTTAGAGCTTGTTTAGATCATGCATCAACGATAGCATTCACTTCTGACTACAGTACTTATCCAAGGAATACACCATAGGGATACTCCCCAGTCTGCAGCGTGAACGTTGCGCACAACGGGTTCGCCGCAGCAGTCTCGTTGTACACGTCGCAGTCCGTCTCCGGCTTGATCGCGATCACGTAGTCCGTGTCCTCCGCCACCTGCTTGAAACCCTCGCCGATCTGGGGCTTGTACACGCTCCAGTCGTCCGCCGTCAGCGTGAAGTTCACCGTCTGCGACGCACCGGCCTCCAGGCTGATCTTGGAGAACTTCTTGAGCTGCTTCACCTCCGGCACCGAGATGGAGCGGTACGGCTGCGTCAGGAACAGCATCACCGTCTCCTTGCCGGCCATGCTGCCAGAGTTCGTCACGACCACCGACACGTCGATGGAGTCGGAGCTGGACGTGACGTTCGTCTTGCTGAGCGTCAGGTCGGAGTAGGTGAAGTCGGTGTAGCTGAGGCCGGTGCCGAAGTCCCATTGCATCTCGCAATACTCCGAGTCGGCGCACTGCGTCGAGACGCGGTGGTTGTACGGGATCAGAATGTTGCCGGCATCCTTCGGGTAGGTGATCGGCATGCGTCCGCTGGGGTTGACTTGGCCGTAGATGATCTCCGCCATCGCCTTGCCGCCCTGTTCGCAAGCGAGAAGACCATTGACAACGGCGTGCACGTTCTCCGGCAGGTCTCCAAGAAGTCGCGGACGACCCTCGAAGAGGACAACAATGACCTTGGTTCCGGTCGACGCGAGCTCGTTAACGTACTCGATCTGGCCAGCAGGAAGAGCGAGGTCGTCCAAGTCGCCGGTCTTCTCAGCGTACGGGTGCTCACCAATGACAGCGATGGTGTACTCGGCCTGGCTGGCGTACTGCTTGGCGGTGGTCATGTTGGCTTCCGAGTAGTTTCCGTCCGAATCCAGGCCATTGAAGTAGGTGACCTTGTCTCCAGCGATGGCCTCCATGCCCTCCTTGACGGAGATGCCGTTAGGAAAGAGGTCGTTGCCTGTGTAACCAGGCCAGCTGACGCTCCAGCCACCGCACTGGTTGCCAATGTTGTTTGCAGAATGGCCAGTAAGGAACACGGAAGCCGAGCTCGAGATAGGCAGCGTGCTGTCGTTGTTTTGGAGTAGAACAATGGACTCGCGGGCCATCTCCAAAGACTTTTCAACGTCCACCTCGTTGCGAACCTTCGCGATGTCATCAGCTCCAGGGACGGGGGTGTCGAAGAGACCCAGCTTCAGCTTGGTCTTGATGATGCGCTTTGCGGATACCTTGAGGCGATCGAAGTACTCGGGGCTTTCTCCCAGCAGGAGCTTGGTACTGTTCAAGTAGACGTCGGCGACTCCCATGCTCATGTCGATGCCCGTGTGCACGTACGACATACGGACAGCTTCGTCGACGGTGCGTGCGATGCGGTGGAACGAGTTGAGCGATCCCATCTCGCCGAAATCGGTCACCGCCAGCCCCTCGAAGGCGAGGTCTTCACGAAGGAGTTGCTGAAGGATCTTGTGGTTGCCAATAGTGGGGACGCCGTTGATGGAGATGTAGTTCTCCATCGTTGTCATGACGCCGGCGTCGATAGCAGCCTTGAATGGCGGAACGAAGTAGTTGAGCAAGTCGAAGTCGCTGATCTGCACGGCGTCCTTGTCATGTCCAGTTGGTGTCTTGGAATACCCGACAAAGTGCTTCATGCAGGCAGCCGTCTGGTTGTTGCTCTGGAGACCGCGAATGACAGCGTCAGCCATGACAGACACGAGGTGCGGGTCCTCGCCGAACGTCTCGTAGGTCCGTGGCCAGAGCGGGTTGCTCGCAATCTCGAGGATGGGTCCAAAGACCCACGGGATTCCAGCAGCCTGCGTGTCTTGGCCGGTTACTCGACCCATTTCGTAGACCAGGTCGGGGTTGAACGACGCTGCCCCGTTGATTTGAGCGCCGAAAAGAGTCGTGTTCAGGATGAAGCCAGCGCCGTGGACCGAGTCGATGCCGTAGATCATCGGAATACCGTCGTTCTCTTCCAGCACGATTTCTTGGATGCGCGTAATAATGTCACGCCACTGGGCAACGTCCCAACCGACGGCACCAGTAATCGCGTTGGGGCCATTCGTGAACGGCGTTGTCAAGAAGGACCCGACATGGAGCTTGGCGTAGTACCGCACCAACTCTTCGTTCAGCGAGTAGTCTTCGTTCAGTACGGAGAAAATGGCGACCTGCGCGAGCTGACCGACGATTTGTTCGGGGGTGAAGTTGTCGACGATGGAGCTGGCGCGTGTGTCCAGGTCGTCGGAGGTCGCCGCTGTGAACCCCACGGCAGCGCAGCACACTGCGAGGAGCCACTTCTTGAGCATCGATAACTTGGTTGGTCGTTTGTGTTTGCTTGCTCTCTTGGTGGCGAGTTCGGAAGTGAGCTCTGGGACCAGCTAACCAAGCAGCCAAGCAGCGGCTCCAAGGGAGCCTCCCTACATTCGAGGAGGGGGGGGGGGGCTAGACCACGCAGCATTGCGTCCTTCCAGCTACAGCTTGCTTCAACTTCACAGCGCTATGCACAGACCGCGACTAGAACACTCGCGCCACGATTGCGCCAGTACGGACAGCAGGAAGTGCCAGGAATTAGTTGATGTCCAGGATGGCCATCGATAGAGTCCACATCACTACAGTGCAAACGCCAACGCACTGTATGCAGTTCTGATAATAGGGTTACGACAAGAAATGTGTTCGCGCTGATTTCGCCGATAAGTATGCAAAAACCAAAATTAATTAATCTTTGATGAGCAAGATCTCCTAGCTATGCGCGTCCAAACACTGAAATTCAACACAGATGGCGGAGCTCTCGGCTTTGATCAGGGATTTCCTGATCAGACACTGACAGGATGGCAAACGACGCGGTCGCCACCCCTGGGCTTTCCTGTAAGCTGCTCTCGCCTACGATTAGAAAAGTGTCCACGACTTGAATTCTTGGCCAGATTCAACCACGCTATCCTCGACCGTGCGCAGGTATCACGGCAAAAGTCGTGCGCCCACGTGGCTGGGGCAGTACATGTAGTAATCGCGTCAATTCTCCGTCGGATTAAGTTTTCTTCGTGTCGATGCATTTCCCTATCTGTACATGCACTTGACGCATACTGTACCTACCTACGTGCTTGCATCAGGCGTGCCCACGTGCAGGTGCTTGCTGTTGCCTAGCTTTGCGACGAGCGCGATTCACACTCGCACACTTCCACTGCAGAAACGACCTGAGTAGCAGGAACTGCATGTTTCTCTTGCTCAGCTCTTTCGTGGTGGCGCTGAGCGATCGCTCCTTCTCCTTTAACTGGAGCTGAAGGTTGCGCTGCTTCTGCATTGCGCCTTTCAATGACCCCACAGCGTCTTCCAGCAACTCGATGTTGGAGTCGTTCAGTCTCTTTCGAGACTTTTCCGAGGCTGTCATTGAGAGCGATGAGCTGCTTGTGCTGGTCATACCCGGAGCTGCACTTGTCGACAAGAAGTTCACTTTCTTGGACGACTCCGTCTTGCCACCCGAAGCGTGACGAGTAATTCCAACCGTCTGGCTCAGTTTATTCACTGAGCGAGGTAGACCCAGTGAGTTGAGGCCCTCCACAATACCCCTGGAGGCTGAGAGGAAGTCTCGCGACTGGAATACTTGGGCCCTCGCAGACGGTGACAGGGCCTTGTACGCCGTTGCGAAGTCCCATGCTGCTTCCACGACATTCTGTTGGCCTGCAGACCGGCGCTCCATTTCTTCGATCAGGCGCTGGTTCAGCCCCACGAGGTCTTTCAACTCGGCACACCTCCTCTGCACAGACTTGAGCTGGTTATTTCGCTCGGCGTACTCCGCGATTTTGCGATCCACAGCAACTTTCCAGCTCGCAACTTTGGTGTTGATCTCGACTAAGTAACCCGCCAGTTCATCTGCTCCGTACGCGCGAGGGGGCTTCGTACGCTCCTTGTCAGTTTTCCGGGCCGGCTCACAGAATCTGCGAACGAGTTGGATGCAATTAGCCAAAGCCATTGTCGTTGTGGGCGAGAACGACGGCCGGAGAGGATCATTCGTGCTAGCTCGTAGCTTGGCCTCGTAGCTCTGTACTTGAGCTTGATACTTCCAGCTAGCAAAGCACTGAGTCTGCTTGCTCTGCTGGAGACCCCTCGATAGCCGTTGAGCTAACACAACTCCAAGACGGTTCAGCTTGAGCAGCTGACGGTTCTCCACCTTCGCCTTCAGTCTGTGCCACATGGAAGTCTGGACAGCTTTCTTCAGTTGGTCGTTGACTGTTGCCAACTCGTTCAACTGGGAAATGAGAGCACCATTCTCGTTTTTGCTGGAGTGTGCAACCAAGCACCCGATGAAGTATTTCCACTTCCAGTGGTTTAATTGTTTTCCCAGTGCCGCGATCCTCATCGCTGTCTCTTCGTCACATTGTCGCTGTGATGACGCCGTCTTGCAGCAGCTATCCGCGTCCAAAGGTGCGATGGCTTCGAGCCACGCTGGCTGCGATGTCGAGAGACCGAAGTGAGAACTGCTACTGCTTAAGAAGTCATCTTCCTGGACGACAATTTGGGCCGAAGGTGGCTTGGGGGCGACTGGACATTCACTTTCATCCGATGACGAGTCTTCGTCTTGTTTCACGTTGTCAATCGGCTTGTGCCTTGCCATGTGCGACTTTAGAGTCCGGTATCGATCCTCGACTACGTTTAACTTCTGGAACGTAGCTGTCACTCTTTCAGAAAGCTGGCAGAATGTGCGCTCTGTTCCTCGCTGGCACGTCAGTAGCATTTCACGGAACGCTCGCTGCTGCAGCTCCGGTCGCGCTTGCAGCGTCTGTACCAGTTGGGCAAGCGCTTTCTTCTCTTGATCCAAGACACGGCGCTCGCGCTCCATCGCTCGGTGCTGCTCGGTTAGAGAACCTATTTCCTTTCTGAGCTCCATTTCGCATTCGGCCTTAGATTGTTGTGCCAGAGTAGCTGCTTCACGCTCGGCTTGAAGTTCCTCAATCATTCGCTGTAGACTGTACTGCTCTTCCGCCATCGCTTGCACATCATTCTCCAGCTTCTGTTTGTCTTCGCAGACTGCGTTGTATTTGTTCATCCACATGAGCATTGCTGTCTTTGACTCTGCCAGCTCCTGAGAAAGGTCGTTAATCCGCTCGCAGTTTTCTCGCTTCGCTGTCTCGAGTGCACTCTGATCCACTTGCAAGGCCTTAACCTGCTTTTCAAGAGCCAAGCACTTTTGCTTCATAGCATCCAATTCGTCTTGCATCCGACCCATGTCCGCTTTGTGTTGATTGCGAACGCAATCACTGGCTTTAGATGCCTCTGACAGCTCTTCCTCCACTCGAGTGCATTCGCTTTGTGTCGACTTGAGCTCAAGCTTCAACGACTCAAGTTGCTCTCGTGTCTGCTTCAGCTCATTCAGCTGCAGAGCGGACGCTCCTCTCTCCACTTGCTGCAAACTTGCAAGGAGCTCCTTCCCCTGCTTCAGCTCCTCAAGGCCCTTCTCGAGGCGTTGGTTCTTGCGTTTGCACTCATCCAGCGTCTGCAGCAGACGCTCGTTCTCGCCTGCAGCTCTCTTTTTCTCCACTTTGAGGCTGTCCATACTAACTTTCAGGCTTGAGAGTTGGGCTCGGAGCTCAGCAACGAGCTTTTCCTTCTCCTGTAACGCGGCAGCTTGTGATTGTTCATTGCTCTCCATCGAGTTCAGCTGAGCTTGCAGGTCTCTCAGCGTCAACTCCCTTTCCTCCACTACTTTCTCGCATCTCCGTGCATCATCATCCAGCCTATTGATCAGCTCTTGCAGCTCAGTGGTAGACTGGGAGAGCTTACCGTGCGTATCCTGCAACTCAGCGAGCTGCTTTGACAGCGCACGTTTCTCGACGACTTCAGCGTCGTATTTACCGACGAGGTCGTCGAACTTTTGCTTTTGATGCGCCTTTTGCTCCTCCAAGGCGTCAAGCTGCTCCTTCAGAACTCGAATACTGCGTTCCGACGTGCGCTGCTCCGAGTCGCCCAAATTCTGCAGTTGATGCTTCTCCTCCGTCAGGTCTAGAATCGTCTGGCGCAGCTCCTCCTGCTTCTGCTTGGCTGACAATAGCGCCGTGGACAGAGCTGAGTTCTCTCGTTGGAGGAGTCCGCGGTCCTTTTCAGCTTGTAGTAGGGATTCTCCGTCCGCTGACGCATGTGCTCGAAGCTGCTTCACCTCCGACCGCAGCGCTAGAAGAGACGCCGAGTTCTTGCGGCACTCGTCGCACTTCTTCCTCGGAATCTGCGTCCGTGAAAAGTCCGTCCCGATAGTACTGCGAGAAAGAAGCGATGATGGTGCCCAGTCTTCTCTCTCACTGCTCCGACTGGAGTCGAAGGTCGACTTGGAGCCATCCCAAGCCCGTCGCGACCTCCTCGAAGAAGCTGTTGCAGCTTGCAGAACCTTCTCCAGTCGTTGGATGTGGTCGTGAAGGATATCCAAGTTCTTGTCGTGGTGGGAGGATAGCTGCGATCGCAGCAGATTGATCACCTTGGTGGGCTCATCGTCAAAGAACGACGCTCGAAGAGCCGACGCCGCGTCCGAGCTGCTGTCCAGACGCTTTAGCTCCTCGTTCTCGGCTCGCAGTCGGATAATCTCCTTCTTCTGGTCGTCTATCGTCTCCCAGGCGAACTGCAGAGAGGCCTCATTGCTCGCCGCCGAGTCAGCTTGCTGCTGCTTCTGAGGACTCGCCGCGCCAGCCACCTCCTCCAAGAAATCTGTCCTCAGCATCAACTGCAGTTCTTCCAACTGCTGCTCGTCGCCTGCTCCGACGCACACCTTGTTGCGAACCTGCGAGCAATTTCAACCCGTCAGCCGCAACAACATTCAGACACCAGCACTCTAACAGTAGCCAGTCAACGTACCATCTCCTCGTCCTTCTGCAGATGCACGTGCAGTTGGCGCATGATCTCGACATTCTCCACCTCGTCCATCACGAGCATCTCCTTCTCCTTCATCCTCAGCTCCATCAGACTCACCAGCAACTCCTGCACTATAGCTTCAGCCACCAACGTCCGTGGCGACTGCTCCTCCTGATCGCGTCCAGCATAGTCCCCCGAGCTCTGCATACACGCAAAGCACAGCACCGTAAGGTCAATTGGATCTTGTAAGGTCGCAATGCATCTGCACCCTCGTACCGGTCGCTTGAGCCGGCGCATTCGCTGCTCACAGACTTGGATGACCACCTCGAACAGGTTGTTGCTGCTCTCGGATCGCCTTCGACTGCGGCTCCTCCTCCACTCCTTGGACGCGGCGACGCGCGTGCTCATCATCTCCTTGCGCGCCAGGAACTCAATGATCTGCTGCAGCAGTCGGCGCAGAATCTCACGTCCGCGGTCTTCAGGCGACGCCGAGGAGCTCTTCGAGGCGGACAGCGCAGACGCGTCTTCCAGTGGGCGCTGGTTGTCGGCAACGCGCGAGGAGCGCAGCCGCGCACCAGAACGCGCGAACGATCGGTCCATCGCTGCGGGGTCTTTGACTGACTGACTTGCTGCTTGGCTGGAAGTTTTGCGACTGGGAGCCCCTGGAACGGACGAGCGGCGCTGTAACGAATTAGCGCGTCCGTTGGTGATCTATCTGTCGGCACTTCAAACACGCACGTCAATGGCGAGATGTGGTGGTGAGAGCGCAGTGAGACGGATTGGCTCGGGACGCAGAGGCCACTTGGACGGAGCTGCTCGTGATGCGGAGCTTAATCGCCCGTTTGGAGTCTGCGCACTCCGAGATGGGGTGCTAGCGTTCACGGATGCGCATGTACGTCCGTGAACGACTAGGAATCGTTGGGTGCTGCGCATTCTAACGCTGTGCTCGGGTAGAATAATGCGGTTCGCTTTGTTATTCCAGCAGCTACGGGTGGTGGTTGTGGTTTAGTGCGGCGAAGGTGCCACGTGAAGAGTGTGGAGAGCTCGGGGCTGCTCGCTCCGAAAGGGATCGCAGCTTCAGCGGACGGGCGACATCTCTTCGTGTGTGACACGGGTCACCACAAGATCAAGTTCGCTGCGCTGCCCAGCAGAAGCGCGCTTGCAGACGTCGATGCAGTCACGGACGATGTCGAGATGTTTGCGTTCGCTGGCAGTGGCAAGAAGGGGTGGCGGGATGGTCTTGCTCTTGAGGCGAACTTCAACTCGCCCTCGGGTGTCTGCGAGTATGCAGACGGCTCAATTATCGTGGCTGACACAGGGAATCACTGCATCCGCCAGATTCGACGTGGTGCCAATGGCAAATTGGTCGTCAAGACGATCGCTGGGGCGTACGCAAGCTTTGAGACGAAGAGGGTTGGCGTTCAAGGTGCAGGGATAAAGGACCAACGAACTGCTGGTTACCGAGATGGAGAGCGGTCTCTCTTCCGAAGTCCTTCCACCGTCCTTGCGGGGCCTAGTGGAGAGCTCTTGGTGGCAGACACTATGAACAATTGCATTCGAGGACTTCTTCCACCTCCCGATGGGACTTCTCCCTGGAGAGTGAAAACGGTATGTGGGCAAACCAGACCAGGCCACGCTGACGGGAACTGCGAAGTCGCTCTGTTCGACCAGCCCCTGAGCTTGTGCTGGGGTGAGGACAGCAACACCTTCTTTGTGGCAGACCGAGGCAATGCCTGTATTCGCCAAGTTGGCCGCAGTTATGGGAATGGTCTGTCGTACACGTGGGTGCGCACAGTTGAAGTGGGAGGCGTTCCACGTGCGCTACGATCGCTATATCAATGCACCAACCCCCTTGGGATGGTTTGTATCCCATGTCAGCCCACAGAGGACGGCTACATTGCGAGTCAGTTGGTAGTGTGCGATGGTGGAGACAACGTCATAAAGCTGCTACCACTTGAAGAGCTCATGAACGTCAAAGAGCGCTGTGATACCCCAGAAACTACAGCAATGCGGAGCACATTTCCTCACTCTGAAAGCGAACCCCGAAGCCGCGAAGAATCAGTGGCGTCTCTATCGTACGTGTTTGCCTGACAATTGCCTAAACAACTAGCTCCGAGCTAACATGAAATGTGCCTTTCAGACCAAGAACGAACTACACAGATTCCGAGGACTTGGGCGAGGAGAACCAGGTTGGAAACGACTGCGGCAATTGCCCATGCGATGCGTCTCGAGCGCTAGAAGAAGCTTTGAGAGCAAACGCCGCTTTACAAGCGGAAAATCTGCGGCTGCGAGAGCTTTTGCAATGCACATTCGACGAGGTATACAACCAAGCCCCCAAATTTCTGTTGTTTCGTCTGCTGCGCTCTCACCTATGTATTCGTTTGCCACACAGATCGAGCTCGCTGACAAGCGCTTCTCCGAGAGCTACCAGTCACAAGTCGACGAAATCGACGAAACCAGCAAATTATCCCCAACGCAGCAAAGTAAAGCTGCCCTACCTACCAAGTAAAATTCGTACGCTACACAGAGCATAACATGGATCAACTGGATTGAGAGAACGATCCTTCTGGTAGATTAAAGCTTAGACGGTAATGCGGTTCACACGCTCGGTCTTCTTGGCGTTTTCGATGATGCGGATCTGCTCGATCACCTCTTCTGGGTGCACGAGCAGCTCCTCCTCGCCGCGAATAGCTGCCGCGATGTTCTTGTAGTACACCTGGTACGAGCCGAGCTTGCTGGGGATGACGCGGGTTTCGCCCGTCACGGCGTCCGTGAACTTGCCGAAGGAGCTCTCGGGCTCCTGGCCCCATCCGTCGTCGCCCGGGCGCTTGCCAGCACGCAGCGCGTCCTCCTGTCCGTCCTCGCCGAACTTCTCGAGCGTGCCCTTGGTGCCCACGACTGTGTACTTGGGGCCGGGGTTCTTGACCAGCATGCTGGCGCTCAGGATCACCTCGCGCTCGGGGAACTGCTTGTACTTGAACTCGAGTCGGAAGAAGTCGTCGTTCTCGGCCCCTTCGCGCTGGATCTGCACGTCGGCGTCGACCGAGTCGGGCTGGCCGAAGAGCTGCAGCGCCTGGTCCGTGACGTGCGCGCCCAGGTCGTAGAGCACGCCGCCGCAGAGGCCGGCCTTCTCCTTCCAGTAGCCCTTCATGTTGGGGCGGTAGCGGTCGTAGTGCGCCTCGAACCTGTGCACGTCTCCGAGCGTGCCGTCCTCGATGAGCGCGCGCACCGTGAGGAAGTCGCTGTCGAAGCGGCGGTTGTGGAACACGGAGAAGAGCACGCCGTTGGCCTTGGCGATGGCGCACAGGTCCTCGGCCTGCTGCGCCGTGACGCACAGCGGCTTGTCCACCACCACGTGGCGCTTGGCCTCCATGACCTGCTTGGCCTGCTCGAAGTGCACGGTCGTGGGCGTCGAGATGACCACGAGCTGCACGTCCGTGGCCAGCAGCTCGTCCATGGAGCGCACGACCGTCGGCGCCGGGCTCAGCACCGCGCTCTTGTTGGTGGAGCGCTCCAGCACGTGCGTGAGCTCGAACTGGCCGGAGCTCAGCAGCAGCGGCGCGTGGAAGACGCTCGAGCCCGTGCCGAAGCCCACGAAGCCCACGCGGATCTTGGGGTTGGTCATGGTGGCGATTAAAGTGTTGATACCGTCAGATGAGGGGGTGGGGGGGATGCTGCTTGGTGCGGGGTACAGCAAATTCGGAAGTGAGCTCGTTGCGCCTGCTCCAGACTCATAAGGGTACACGTACGTCAGCTGATCGATGCACGGGATTTGATTGCTGTCGGTGCCATACGAGAGGCAAGACATCGGCAAAGGAGCTCATGTGAGACGGTTCGTAATACATGTAATGTTGGGGAGATCAGCGCAATGCAGGACTTGAGTGGTGGTCATCTTCATCATCACCAGCTTTTCGCAGTTCCACATAAACTTCCAAGCGTGGAGAAAGCTCGTGGCGGCTAGCCAAAACGTGGCGACAAACATGGCGGCACGCACGTCGACATCTTTGTTGTGGGGCCGGTCAGGGCTCGTAGGTGAGCTCAGCCTACCGGTACTGAGTCAGTACTACTGACGATACGCTTGCAGCGCCCACCATTCATACTGAGCTCTAATGTTTCCGTCATGGTGACAAAGACAACATGGTTGTTGTAAGCTTAAATCGCACAAGGAAAACGACAACCCTATCCATACATGACCCTGCAGCATAAGTATCAGGATTCGTGAGATCCTTCTTCCGCATCACTGGCCCTTGTCCGCCGAATCTCTTCATCATCACCGCCAACTCGGGTATCCTACGTACCAATACTTTAACGCAGATTCCTCGTCCGCACTCGTACAGACGCGATCTTCTCAAAAACTCAGCCCTCCAACACGACCGCAGCTTGTAACTGTAGTAAGAACTACAAGCTGCGGATTCTCCTATTCACCTCGTAGAACTTGCCACAAATGTGGTGCCGCCAAGTTGACTGAAGGAGTTGTCGGCATCAAAAAAACATATCCACATTGACCTTCATCTCTTAACTCGAACATCCGCATAGGATACTGCAGCACTTCAACCCTCGTTCCTCGACCCAAATGTACCCCGCTTAAGTACGATCCATTATCGCCGAGCAACCACAGCAACTTGGTTTGCCTGGCCCCGCCGTCTCCAGTGTTGGCAAAAACCCACATTCCGGTGGATGGGTAATTAAGTTTTTACGGGTGGGTTGGTAAAAAGGGGTGGGTATTCCATTTCAAGTGAAAATCCCAATGGATGGTTCACTCTACCTTACTTGCTACAGCGAGCGTAGCGAATACGGTTGTATTCACGATTGACGCAGCATCCATTCGAAGCTGCAGGCTTCTGGGAGCCTGCGGAGCATTTCGCTCCGCAGATCCTCCGCGACTTCGAGCTTCGGTATGTAGGGTCCATTTGAGACTACATGACGACGCGTGGGCGCCGCCGCGTGCTCCGGCGTGAGTATCCCGAGCGCACTAGTGGACGTCTTCGAGGTAAACTACACGGCCTAACTGTTTTTTACATTATCACTGCTAACACGTACTATTGTGCAGCTCGCCGGGTAAACAGCAATTCCTGCAGCCTTAAGCTTTAATACATTTTTACTGGGAGGACAGCTTTAGCTGGTTGAACAGCCTAACCAATTTTATTTCAGCGGCCGGGAGGCTAAATGTCGCAGTCCACAGATTATGGCTACCTTAACATACAAGGTATGTACATTTCGTGGCTGGTTGTTCCCAGAATGTCGACTGTATCCGTAGTGTGAACCACACACTGAAGTGAGCAGTTCTTGAATTTAGGAAATTTATTTGGAAAATCAAAACTAGGATAGCTGTATTTTCTCTTGTAAGCTAAAATTTACTCAAAATCAATGAAATAGCAACTGACGGATTGCTCTCTTTTTCCTGTGTCTGTTCGCGCCAATGGCTGTGGCTTCGTTTTGGGCCCGCTCTAAATTGACTAAACCCCATGAATCCTTCTTGTGTAAATTTGTATAGCTGGAATGCATGACCGCGCCTTTAACTTCTTTCGTTTCTTTTGCACGGCAACTTCGCCATTTTTTAATAGGCGCTACACCCACCAATTTTCATGTTACATTATTCTTGCCTACCCCACGTTTGCACACAAATGAAGTCTACACTGTCCTCCCAGACCAAAGCTTTGCCTCTAGTTATATAAAACCCTTCCTTTTTTGTGTTGGGTGGGTGGGTATCCCCAAAATTCCATTAACCCATTAACCCAAAGTACCGTCTCCTCCACCCGCGCGCCGCCCTGCCCCGGTCCATGGGCCGGAAGAAGGGCAAGAAGAGAGGTACACTGCTGCTGCTGCGTCTGCGTCTCCCGCTGCTCGCCAGCTAAATTTCCCGCTCGCTTTGCTGCCCTGTAGACGCCCAGGACGCGCCGCCCGCCGCCGCCTATGACGCCGCCACGCTAGCCGAGGCGCGCGAGCTGCAGGCGCAGGAGCTGGAGGTGCTGCAGGCCATCTACGACCAGGACCTCGAGACGCACAGCTCCACGCCGCTCTACACGTACATCTTCGCCATCCGCCTGCTGTGCGAGGCCACGCCGGGCTCGGCCACGACCGCCGAGGTGCTGCTGCACTTCGACCTGACGCGCGCGTACCCGCTCAAGCAGCCGCCCAACATCACGGTGGAGCCCAAGCACGGGCTATCGGACACGGAGACGCAGAAGCTGCAGCGCGGCATGGAGCAGCTCGCGCTCGAGAAACTGGGGGACGCCGTCGTGTACGACCTCGTGGTGTTCGCGACGGACTTCATCCAGGACCACCTCAAGGACCAGTCGTCGTTCTTCGACCAGATGATGACCCGGCAGCAGGACCGGGAGACGAGGGAGAAGCAGGCGGAGGACGCGCTGCTGCAGCAGCAGGAGGAGCAGGCCAAGGCCAAGAACGAGGAGATTCTGGCGCTGATCGACGCCGAGAGGAAGAAGCGGGAGACGATGAAGAAGACGCGGCGGAGACGCAGGAGGAGGCACCGGTCCAGCATTGACGGAGAGTTTAGCGGCAGCGAGGACGAGAGTCGAGACGACATGGAGAGCTTGTCCAGTATCTACGAGCAGCAAACAGAGGCCAGCTCCAAGCGGGGAGGGACGTCGTCGAATCCGTCGGATTCCGACTCAGACACGTCGGATCTGGACGCGGTTGCAGCTTCGGAACGGTATCATTCGAGGTATCACGGCGACTTCAAAGAGCTCGGGCTGCTCGGGCGCGGAGGAGGAGGTGAAGTGGTCAAGGTACGGAATCGGCTCGATCGACAGCTCTACGCGGTGAAGAAGGTTAAACTGGACCCGGATGACAAGACGATGAAGAAGAAGATCTTGCGCGAGGTCAAGACCATTTCGCGGATGCAGCACCGTCATATTGTGCGGTACTTCCAGGCGTGGATTGAAGGAGAGAGTGGAATGTCCAGCGATGATGAAGAGGACTCGAGTATTGAGGACAGTGATTTAAGGGATGAGGAGAGATCGTTGAGCGGGGATGAAGTCGGTGGCAAGGAAGACATGTACGGGGATGCCAGCCTTTCGTCTGGTGTTGACGATGGATTGGGCCCGATGACGTCTACAGACGAGGACGAAGATGACTGGCTAGGCACGATGGGCAGCAGTACAGGACTATGGTCGACGTCCCGCCACGAGAATCGTAGCCTACGTAGCAACAGCCATTCATTCCAGCTGTCCTCACATCGTTTTGCTACGGAGAGCTATCCGGATGATGGTTTTGACTGGGAGGCGCTGGAGGAAGTACCAATGGAGGACTCAAGCGATGATGAAGACAGCGGATACCACCGGAAGACTCTGCGTCACAAAAGTGCTGTGCCCGAAAAGAAGCGGAAGTTTGAAAAATTGTATATTCAGATGGAGTTTTGCGAGGGCAACGCTCTTCGAGAGGTTATTGACAAGGGTGCACTATGGAAAGACCCCGATAAGATCTGGACAATGTTCCGCCAGATCCTGGAAGCGCTTGTGTATATCCACCGCCAAGAAATTATCCATCGCGATATCAAGCCGCCCAATGTTTTCTTGGACTCCGAAGGAACTGTGAAGCTCGGCGATTTCGGACTTGCTGTGCGTCCCCCCAAGGTCATAGAAGATGACAGCAGCAACGATGACTCGTCCCCACCTGGAGAGACGGTAACTGGCGTGATATTATCTGAGTCAACAGGTTCATCAGCTGCTGAGTTGTACGGCCGGCTGAAGCTGGAGAACCTCGAGAGCACGCGTGTTGTCGGCCGATCAAGCGTGCAGCACCATAGCAATCTGATGACAACAATATCAGCTGATGTGGGTGACGGTAGTATCACAGCTGGAGTCGGCACGGCCTTTTATCGAGCACCTGAACAGGAACGAGAGGGCCAGCGCTACAATCAGAAAGCGGATCTGTTCTCGCTTGGAATCATGTTCTTTGAGATGTGGTTGCCGCCATTCACAACTTTGATGGAGCGTGCACAGGCACTCACCGGGCTAAGAGAAAGACACGAGCTGCCAGCAGCTTTCAGTGCTTCTGATGACGTCAAAAAAATCATTTTGTGGCTATGTGAACGTGATCCGTCGAAAAGGCCCAACGCGAAGGAGCTCCTGACAAGCCCGCTTCTGCCCGCCAAGATCGAAGTAGAGGGTTCTTACCTTCGTGAGGCGCTGGATACCCTAGCAAACCCACAGGGTAAGTTTTTCGGACAGCTTATCGACGCACTGGTCTCCCAAGAGCCTCTTAACCATGTCGACTACACCTACGATCACTTGGAGTCGGTTAAAATGCGCAGCTACGAGGTTCAGTTGCGCACGAAAACGTATGTCAGGAACGTCTTACAGGTACGAGCTTTTATAGAGCTCCGAGGTGAAGTGTTTAGTGTGAGTCTGAAGGATGTATCTTCTTGTGTTGCTTACAGAAAGTGTTTGAGCGCCATGGGGCGGTTGAGATGTCCACCCCGCTGTTGATGCCGCGATTGTCGGAGCAGACTTTCAACGGAATCACTCTTAATGCGCCACCCAACGCATCGATGATGCTGGATGGCAACGGTGTTTCAGTATCGCTTCCGTTTGATCTGACCGAGAGGCTTGCTCGCTTCGTAGCACGACACAACGTTTCGCGGCTGAAGTGCTTTCAATTTGACCGAGTGTACCGGAAGAGTGTTGGTGGCGGCCATCCACGCGAGTTCACGGAGTCAGATTTCGACATTATCTGGGATGATGGTGGTTCTTTCCGTTTCTTGGAGCTGGAAGGCCTAGAGGTGGTGTCTGGAGTGATCAAAGCGCTGCCGAGCTGTTTGGGCTCTTATTATCTACGCTTCAACGACGCCCGGATGACACGCGGTATTCTTGATCTATGCCGCGTTCCAAGCAGTGCCCGTCGTGAGGTGCTGCGGCTTCTTTCGAATGAAGTTTCCTTCTACGTGCACGCTGGTCCGCCGTCCACGCAAGCTCCAAGCCTGAAACCTGGACGCTGGAAGTTTGTCGCGAAGCGAATGAAACACTATGGCGCACCAGCAAGCGCCATCGACGCGTTAAAACCATTTTTCCTATTGCCGGAGGACTGCCTCACATCGCTGGATTTGATCGAGCTAGAGGTGCAGAAGTTATTTGCGAAAAATCGGGCTCTTTCGAGCCGCGACGCACTGCCGGATGGCGATACCGGCGCTGTGTCTTCTTCAGCGGACCGGAAACAGATTCAAAAGCGAGACGCGCAGCTTCGGCGCATTGTCAAGGATGTAAACGAGGGCATCACGTCCTTGCGATTGCTTCTGCAAGGCATGCAATTCCTCCAGCTATCGGGCCCAGTGTGCACACGATTGGATTTAGGGCTCAGCCCACGTCCTGAGCGGTACACGTCAGGTTTCATCTTCCAGGCTATTTTGTTGGATGAACCCTCGTATGGTGGCAATAACGCCGATAAATCCGCTTCACTGCTGGTCGCTGCGACGGACAACCAGATCATTATCGCGGAGGGTGGACGCTATGATGCACTGATATCGCGCTTCAAGCTCACGACAGCGTACGCGAAAGCCTCGTCAGTCGCTGCGATGGGTGTGCGCTTTGCCATCGACAAGATCGTATCCTTGCTTGCGGAGTGCATGTGCCCGACTCTTCTGGAATTCAAGTCCCCGGCCTCAGAGGTGCTGACGGGCGGCCGCAAGGTCTTGATTTGCTCAGCAGGCAAGGCGTCCGACACGATGCTGTTTCGAATGCAGATCGCAACGCTGTTGTGGGGACAGGGCATCGGAGCTGACTATCTGCACCCAGAGCCGCTGCACCTGGAAGACCTGGAGGACTACTGCGCACAGCAAAATGCACACTGGATGGTGATCGTGCAAAAGCACATGATGCGAGAGAAGCAACAGGTGAAGATCCGTGCGGTGAAGAGCCATTCCGAAGCCGATGTGGTGACGAACGTGACCGCTCTACCGGAATACATCAGCGGGCTGTTGGAAAATTTCGGCAAGAACTCACATGGTGATACTGCAACCGGTGGTGGGCGAGGCAACAACCATTTCGGAGACAGCGGGGGCAACAACAGCAATGGCGGTGGTGGCGGCAACTCGTCATCTGGCAGTACGTTGCAGCCTATCTTCGACGTAAGGGTGGTTGATGCGAAGTACCAATCCAGGGACAGAAACTACCGCAACTATCAGTTCGACACGCAGAAAGTCACGCGTCGCGTGTCCAAGTGGATCTCGTCGAGCTTCTCGTCGCGGGGGGACGAGGCCATGAAGGTGCTGTCCGTGGATCTCCCGTTCACGTTGGTACGCGAGATGTCGTCAGCCCTGATGGAAGAGGGTCGTGCCGGCATCGACACGGTGTGCGCCAACAACCCCCGGTATCGGAAGCAGCTCAAGTACACGATGGAGGAGGTCCTGGCACTCACCCCCGAGGCCAACTCACGCAGCGTTGGACGCGAGCGATACATTCTCCTGCACAGTATGGTGGATGACCGGTACGACATGATGTCTCTCGCACCACCGTCGAAATCAAGCCGCAAGAGGAACTAAACGCCGCCTCGAACACGATAGAGCAGGAGACCAGCGCGACTGAGACGCCACCATACAGTACTAAGCAAAATACAACCAACAAGGGCCCACCCTGTGAATATTTTTGGGCAGCTTGGCAAAAAAACTATAAACTGTTGTTACATGTAGTGATCGCCCCATTGATACTTCATCGTAGTTTTTGTATTATATTAGTACCAGTTCTTTACCGGTATATCGATAATACACTTTTTGAAACGGGATTTCTAATCATAAATTGTATTAATATACGCAAGAACAAAATTCAGTAGATTTTATCGTTGGTTGTGTGTACCAGAATATACATGTAATCGGTATACCGATAATTGTTTGCGTTTTGAACCGAGCTTACTAAAATACGTTTTAACGTGCTTTATGTCAATCCAAACTCCAAATATCCCCAAAGTTGATCAAAGTATCCCGAGCTCGAAAGCAACGCGAAATGAGCACGGACGACGAGAGCAAGTCGCAGCCGCCGCCGGCGTTCGACCTGGCGCTGCATGTGCGGTACCTGGTGGGGCTCAAGAACAAGAAGGAGGACTTCGAGTCCTGCATGACGGAGCACATGCGCGTGAGTGGCCTCTACTGGGGTGTGGGGGCCATGGCGTTGCTCGGTCGTGAGGAGGCCATGGACCCCGCCGAGATCGTGGAGTGGGTGCTGCAGTGCGAGCATCCAGATGGAGGCTTCTCGGGCAACATTGGGCAGGACCGTCACCTGCTCTACACGCTGCACGCGTTGCTGGTGCTGGCCATGCTGGGCGCGCTGGACCACATCAAGCGCGAGGAATGCGCGCAGTACGTGGCGTCGCTGCAGCAGCCCGACGGCTCATTCGCCGGCGACGAGTGGAAGGAGATCGACACCAAGTTCACGTACTGCGCGCTGTCAGCGCTTAAGATCCTGGACAAGCTCGACCTGGTGGACGTTGAGGGCGCCATGGCCTACATCGACACGTGCCGCAACTTCGACGGCGGCTTCGGTAACATCCCGGGCTGCGAGTCGCACGGCGGACACATCTTCACGGCGGTGGGGGCGTTGTCGCTCGGATTCGCACTGGAGCAATACGTGGACGACGAGCTGCTCGGATGGTGGCTCTGTGAACGACAGTGTGACTCGGGAGGACTCAACGGCCGACCCGAGAAGCAGGCGGATGTGTGCTACAGTTGGTGGAACATCTCGTCGCTCATCATGATCGGCAAGCTCGACTGGATCAGCAAGGAGAAGCTCATCCAGTTCATTTTGGCGTGTCAGGACCCGGAAGACGGAGGAATTGCCGACCGTCCTGGAAACGTGGCAGATGTGTTCCACACGTTCTTCGGCATCGCCGGACTGTGCATGCTCGGCTACTTCAAGCGTGAGAAAGAGGCTCACCCAGAGTATGAAGGGATTCGACAGATTCACCCGACGTTCGCTATCCCAACGGACATTGTAGAGAAGCTGCAGCTGACTGCAGACATTATCATGCCTGAGGTGGAGGAGGACTGAGCGTTCGTGAGCTTGAACATATCGGAGCTTTAGCGTTAGTTGGAGTAGGGTGGACACGTAGCTGACCTGCAACCAGGGCGGAACGCTGCTAAACTTGTTTGCCAGGAATCAATCAGGTGCATTATTCTTTTGCAATTAGCCATTTCGGCCGCATATCGCGTCGAAATGCCAGTCAAGCAACAGCCTGCGTCTACAGTTCCATGGGCGTGGCCTCCTCGACAACAATGTTGGCAGGGAATAGCTCTGTCTTAGAGCTCAGCACACCTAAAGACAGCAAAAAATTATATCGAAAATGAGCACCTTCATCGTCTTCGCGATAAAATTTAGAAAACACGTACGAGTAGCTCCGCGCGGGATGTGCGTGACGATGTCCCGGTTGATCTGCGAGCGCAGCTCGGACACCTCGTTGGGCTTGATACAGTTAAACTCCTTGATCACTTCCACCTTGCCGTTGACCTTCTTGATGGTCGTCACGTCCACGTTGCTGCCCGAGCCCAGGTCGTTGAAAATACCGGCCAGAATGGCCTCCTGAACCAGCTTCTTGGCGTCGTCCTCCTGAACTCCAGACGAACACATTCAGATCAGCATACATGCTGTTCACATCAACAAAAGTGCAGCACTACGGTACTCGTACCGTCATGTCGTCCTTGTAGCCGTGCTCGAAGACCGACATGGCCGCCAGACTACCCGAGCCCATAGTCACGAAAGGCAGCTTATCCGTACTGCGCACAAACAACACACCGGAGCGACATCAATAACTTTGTCCAGAGATTTTTTTCCATCAACCTGGCCCCAAGGCGAACCTTCCGTGCGGGTGGATCGTGTAGAGGTGCGGGCCCGTGACATCGACGCCGCCGAGAACCAGCGCCGCCGAGATGTAGCCCTGGTACTGGAACAGCATGCGCTTCAGCAGCGTCATGGCCGTGACCACGCGCGACTGCGTGTCCGTGTTCTGCAGAGCACAATTAAAGCGAAGCCGTTAGATCGCTCCACTTCAACCAAATAAAGCATCTAGATCTTTCTGCAACTGCAACAACGACATACGAGGCGGTGCAGCTCCAGCTGCGACGAGATGAGTGCTGTGGTGTTCTCCGTGTCGGCGGCCGTGCCGGCGCCGCAGCAGTAAATGTTGGGCGCGATGTAGTGGATCTTCTCGCAGTTCTTGTCCATCACGATGGAGCCGCCCGTCGAGCGCGTGTCGGCGCCCAGCACCACGCCATCCTATAACAATAAAATCATTGGCAACATAATAAATACTTAGCAACGATCCATTTAATGCATTGGGATTGTCGCCGCGGGCCTGCCTTGTAGACGACGCCGACGATGGTGGTGCCGGTCTTGGTGGCCTTCAGCTTCTGCTTGCCGCCCGACTGGCTCAGCAGCAGCTCGTTGCGGCGGCAGTTGTCGAAGCTGAAGCCTCCGTGCAGCTGCTCGTCGGTCGGGAAGGCGTCCCCGAAGGTGTTCTGCGTGCGGCGGAAGTCGCTCATGTCGTCCTTAGTCGCCCTGGAGCTTCGCGGAAATCTTTGGGGCGAAGAGGGGGGATCTTGCTGTCGCTTCCAATAGAGGGCGCAGGAGGCTTGTATTCGAGTAGTACCTGTGATACCTATTTCCAGCATGCAGAGGATATCAAAACGCAAAGGTTTCACGCAAGTGGTTGAAAATACGGGGTCTAAGCTCGTCGATTGGGTAAAACTCAACCGAGCATTTTTACTGGCTGCGCTCGACGCCGAGTCCCGACTGCCAGTCATTTGCAAGGCCATAGTGAACTCAAGTGACCATCGGCTTTGAGCCAGCCAGCCACGCCCTTGGGAGCCCAAAGCCTTCCACTTTGTTCCCACCGCCAGAAGCAAAAGCATTCGTTAACCATGGTAAGTGTCCCGCTCCTAGCCGAGGAGGCGCCTGATCACACGGAGGAGCCACAGAGGGAGGCAGCCAGGCAGGCAATATGGGCAAGCACGCGAGCGCACAGGCAGGAAAGCTAGCAACGCGGCGCAGCGCAGCAGAACTTCCAGCATCAGCGCAGAAGTAGCAGGGACAACTTCTCCTCCAGCATTAGGCACAGATTATCGCGACGCTTGTCTCGCCCACAACGCCGCCCGCACCTCCCTCTCTACGCGACCCTGTTGACAGGATCAACGATCGAATGCAGCACGTCGGCACAGAAGTCGCTAACTGGATCGTGTTGTGTCATTCAGTCGCTTGTCATCGGACCGGACTTCCAGCACATTCTGCGTATTCTCAACACCAACATTGATGGTCGCCGCAAGGTGTGGGTCGCTCTGACCGCCATCCAGGGTGTGGGCCGCCGTTTCTCCATCATGGTCTGCAAGAAGGCCGAGGTGGACATCACCAAGCGTGCCGGTGAGCTGACCAACGACGAGATCGAGCGCGTCGTGGCCATCATCCAGAACCCGCTGCAGTTCAAGATCCCCGTGTGGTTCCTGAACAGACAGAAGGACTTCAAGACGGGCAAGCACTCGCAGGTCGTGGCCAACAACCTGCAGGGCAAGTGGCGCGAGGACTACGAGCGCCTCAAGAAGATCTACGCTCACCGTGGTCTGCGTCACTGGTGGGGCCTCAAGGTGCGCGGCCAGCACACCAAGACCACCGGCCGTCGTGGCACGACCGTCGGCATCCTTGGCGGCAAGTAATTTGCTGCTGGGTAACGACTTCTGGCTTTGTTCCCTCGTGGGGATTGCTGAGATTCTGGCATTATTGTGGTGGACGATGATCCTCGCGTGGCAACGCGCGGGGTGACCTAAGCGAAATCAACAAGACGGACAACTCTTGCTGCTTCTTCAAACAATCGACCCGCGTTCCTTACTCAGATTGCATTTGTAGTGGATTGTTGTGCATGACAGGTCTTCTAGGAACAGTACAGCCGTGCACAGTAAGGTGTCATCGCTACTGCAAGTTGTAGGAGAGCGTCAGAATGGACGCTAACGTGATTGCCTAATTGAAACATTCTCATGTTGATCCATTGACCGCGTAGCCTGACTTGCCTATCGTACACATCACAGCTCGGTGTTTCTATTTAGTGCGCCAAACTGCACACCGTTCCTTCAAAGGAAGACTCTAATAGAGTCACTCTACAGCACACAAAGCTTTGATCTGCACGCAGCTATTTCCCTCTAAGTAAGGACTCAGTAAGGTGTACTGTTACTGAGACTCCTCAACAGGCAGACCCATCTTCTTGAAGCTGCAGACGAATAACCACACAGTACAAGAGTTCTGCGTTAGGACAGAGCTCCACTCGAGTATGCAAAAATTGCAGGAACAACGTACGCCTTCGCCTGCTGAGCGTAGATCTGCTCCACCTGTTGCCGGAACTGCTCGTTTTCGGTGTGGTACTTCTGAAGAGCAGCCGTGAAAGCCTGCAGTACGATAGCGCATTAAAAGCGATATATGTCACAAAACTCTTCTTGAGAACGCTCTCAGTAATCACTTTGAAAAGCATACCTGCTGCGAGATGCCGTTGGCCTTCATCTGAGCTTGCGTCATCTGCTCGACATGCTCCACATAGAGGCTCTGAAACTCCTCCATGGCCTTCATGACGTCAGTGATGCCCTCTGACCGAGCGTGGGCGAGCATGTCCGCCATGGCCTTCTCCATGCCTGCGACCATCTCCCTCAGAATCGCGACTGTCTTGTCGGCAGTAAGGTCCGCGGGGATCTCCACAGCCTCCGGCGCAGGGAACACGCTATGCACCAAATACCAAGAGTCAGTATCCACCACGCTATTCAACGTGCACCAATTCAATCAGGCCCGCTTACGTTTGCATGAGGTTGTTCAGTTCCTCCTGCAGATTGATAATCTCAGGGTCCTGAGCGAACTTTTCGAGCGCGAACTCCAGGCTCTGACGGCTCCACTGACGCTGGGCAACAATCGCCTGCTCAACACTCTCCATCGCCTGGTACAGGTTCTGCAGAATAACCTGCTTGAACTCATCGTCACTGAGCTGCTGGTTGCTGTCCTTCAGGTGCTGGCGGAGCGCCGTATCGAGCTCCGGCAGTCGTTTCTGGCCACGCCAACAAGAAACAGCACCACATCAGACTCGATTCTCATCGATATAACAGCACTATCCCTCTGCAGACCACTTACGAACAGCTCCTTGACAGCATCCGTGAGGTCCGCGAAGAAGAGCGCGATCTCCGCCTGCGAGAGCTCCTGGAACGCCAGAGGCTCCGCGGCGACGGACGGCGACGACGAGGCGTCCCACCACATCTTGCCCACGCCAATCAGGGCTCCAACGATGGCGATGCCAGCGACGACGCCCGTAGGGTCCGCCTGCACGTGCTGCAGCTGGGCAGCGATGGACGCAGCATTGACACGAGTCTGCACGAACGCCGGCGCGGCGCGAGGGGCACTAGCAAAAGAGGCAGACGCCGAGACAGCAGCGCGGCGAGTGGACGCGGTCTTGGCCGACTGGCGGAGCTGCTGAGCGGCGTGGCGCATCGATCCAAACACCATGGTGAACGCGTTAACGAACGACGGGGTGCTGCTACGGCGTGACTCCGAAGCGGCTAAATGAGCTCGTTGGCAAACATTCCTGTGGTGCGCAAATGCGCCACACCATCACTACCTTATTTAGTGTTGCGAACTTAAGTTGAACCGATCGTGAAGTAGCGTCTTTAAGTAACGGGAAGGGACCCGAAGCGTCGCGGTGTGTTGACGAGTGCAGTGTTGAAGCAGTAGACCTCTGATTGCCAGCCCCACCGCGATCGATATTTCCCTTTTGCTGAAGCTGCCGCGACGAAAGGGGGGGGGAATCCAAGCTCGGCACGCCGGCTTTGGCCGGAGCGGTCACAGCGTGGGCCCGCTTGGAGCGGTCTCTTGCATCGTGGCGCGGCTGCCGTGGGATCAACTATTAGTATTAGGGGCCCTACAATTGCAGTCACGCTGAGGCAGACCGACAGCAGGATGGCATGCAGGCTGGATAAAATCCGTTCGGAGCTACTCTGCGCGCTATGCTGCCGTGTTATCCATTAGCGCGCCAAACGAGCTCACCAAGAGATCGCTCCGGTACAGGTCGCACCGGTGCTGCTGCCGCCGTCGCCATCGCCGCCGCGTACTATTATATCCGGACCACGCTGGACGTTTCGTCGTTGGATACGCGTGGGTGATAGCGCTAACGGCTTCTGTCAGTCGAAAGATACTGGTGGAAACCGTCCCTGATAACGAGTAGCCATGTCTGCAATGCAACGCTTGGCCTGGTCTCGCCGACGGCCTCAGCTCCGGTCAGCTCGGCTCGGCGCGCACCAATTTCTTTGGTGTTCTCGCTGGGCGGACCACGAGTCGATCTCCTGGACGAGTCGCAGATCCATTACTCGCACAAGCTCACCACGAAACACCTCGTAAGTAATCCACCGCGAGCGCTGGCCGGCCGGCGGCGGCGGCCGCTTTCTTATTTCGCGGTTTCAGTGGGGCTGATTTAATAGGGAGGGCGGTTTTGGTGGGGCACAACTTGACACACTCGGCTCCGACACCCGCCTCCGCCCGTTCAATTAGGAATCCCGCTTTGGGCGCCGCGGCCGGGTGCGCGGGGACAGCCCGATCGCGCCATGGCATGTATCAGCGCGGGTTGACGGCAAATGACGGGGCTGTCCTCGCGGCGAACGGCTGCTACAACTTGCGTCCAGCGACCTCCACGTCAAGTCGCCAGAGAGGGATTCACTTCGTCCCCCCGCGCGTGCTCGCTTGAACCAGCAGCGCGCCATCCGGCGTAGAGGACAAGGACGCAGCCAAATCCAAAAGCTGGCAAATTTGCTCGTCGCGCATGCAGCTGCTGGAGACGCCCCGACCATGCGGTTGACCTGGTTTGGTCCTGAGTTGTGTGGCGCTCTGAGCGCTGCAGCGCCTGGCGGCACCCAGCAGACGGCCTGAGACCGCGCAGGCACGTGGCGTCAACGCTAAAGTGGTGCGAGCTCTGAGTAGGTCGGTGGGTGGGTGGGTGATCTCTGCATCCTAGCCAACCACCACCGAGTGCGAGCAGCGTCTCTCCGGAACGTTGCCTTCACGGCCTGGGGCCTGCAAGCGAGCAGCTCCACGTGAGCCGAGCACTGCGGGCAGCCGGAGCTTGGATGAGCAGCGTACGTTGCCTTCTACGACGGGCGCGAACAGCGGAGTTGCGCACGCACATGCAACCAATACGCGCAACAAAGTGCAAGGAGCATCCTCTTGCGTCGAGAGGCTTCCTCGCGCGCGCGCTGGCGCTGCAACCTCCGACCATTGCCTTCGCTCCTCTGGACTTTCGAGGCGCTCGGTTGCTTCGCGCGCATCGGATGCGAGCCGCCGTCACACGAGCACTGCGTCCAACGTTCGGCCAGTGCAAGTTGAAGCCATTAGTCATCGCGCCGTTTCGTGCGTACACTTCAGCTCGGGTGTGCCACGCCATGTTGATGTAGACCACACCTGGCAGAGTGCTTGCTCGACTTCAACTTTGCCAACCAATTGCCGATCGGCGCCACGCCGAGGCACAGTAGGCTTCGTCTCGATGATGCGGTTGTACAGTCGAGAGTTGATGCCCGAGTGACAAGCACGGTGGTCGCACAGCGATGCGGAGAATAAACTTTTATTCCTGCTCGATCAAACTCGTCGTCGCTGGTGTCCTGTGGAGTTGTGTACATTTGATGCAATAAGAGGTCATACCTTCAAAGGGTGTGACAGGATCTACTTCTACCTGGTCGAGTGTGTATCTGATGGTGCTCAAGGCACTGCTCGTTGGGGAGGAGGAGGAGGTGATGCTGCTGCTGGAGTATGACTTTACGGCCCCATATTTTTTGCTGTTGGCCTTGATTCAGCTGCGCGCCGTGTTGCTCAAGATCGAGTTCTCGGATGTGGCCGCGGCCATCACCACCAGACTTTCGCTCGCCGACGGCGTGCCGTTGCTTCTTCTGTCGTAGTATGATGCTGCTCTTCTTCATGCCAGCCAGGGATGTCTACGCCACCCGAACCTCATTCCGGTAGGCGTTGGTGAATTGCTCTTTGCACGTCAAAGCACCACCAGTCCACGATGCTAGCCTGGGGGCATCACGATAGCGGACAAGCAGACAATGCTGCTACCGTTGCTGCTGCTGGAGCTTCGCAGACCTTCTGAAGGCCTGCCCTAGCTACGCGGTAGGAGCTCCGCACCCAACCTTACTACTAAGGGAAATGGCCAATCTCGGGCCGATTGCCAATTAAGGGCTGATTCTTTTGACCAGTAAATGCTCCGCACCCAATCTTGCTACTAAGCTTATTACAAGTACTTGAAAGTGCTTGAACGAACACGTGTGTGCAACACATTGCTTCTTTGACGACACAATGCATTCGCTATATTGGTGGCGAACGAGCAGGTAGCACATGCAACATGAAAAGCGAAGCACCGTGCATCTAGTCATAGTCACTGCGCGGCTTGTTCCAGACCCACTTGTTGCCCGACATCTTGATGCCTTCCTCGACAGGACAGCCTGCGTGCAGACTCATCGGATCGCCCTCGCCATTCGGCAGCATGCTGTAGAACACGACGACCTTGCGCTTCTTCGGGACGACACTGAGACCCTGCGTGCAGCCCTTGTTGGTAGGCGGGGGCGGCAGGCCACCAGCACGCGCAAAGTTGGTGTGGCCTCCCTTGGCCACGTCCGACATGTACCAGAAGACTGTGATCATGCGGTTCTTGTAGCCGTGCTCGATCTTTTTGAGCACGTCGGCGGAGTTGCGGTGGCGTTTGACCGAGAAGTAGTCGAGGTGCTGATCATAATGCTGCGTGTGCTCGTAGCGCAGCACTTGGACGGACTCCTGGTGGCTAATCGGTACCTTGACGAGGTCAGCCGTGCGTTTGTCAATGTCTTGCACCACTGGGTGACTGGATGACTCAAGCCAATATGTCGTGCTTGTGCGCCAGTCCGTGGCTGGGCGGTTCTCGTGGCCATCCTGCAGCGTCACGCCCGAAGGTGCCAAGTGCGGCATCGACAGCTCCAAGACGACATCAATTTCGTCATCTCGCAGAAACTCTTCCACGCTGAACACGAGGGGGGTCATACTGATCGTCTCCATCACGAGATCTCCACGACCGAAGGTGTTCTTCACGAGCGCTATAGCAGCAGCAAAACGTTAGTTTCGACTCAGCACATGAATCGGTCATCAACACTTACTCTTGTGACCGATGCGAATGCCTGGCCAGATGAACTGTCCGCCTTCGAACAGGAACACGATGCGGTTCTGCAGTATAGTGGTGTTCTTGTCCAGCCTCTCGCCGTCTGGGGAAAAGTACGCCGCTGGCTGCTTGTATTTCAACGCGTACTCGTCATTGGGCCTGGGAAACTGCAGCATCTCGTCCTCCACGGCGCGCGCGAACTCGTCGAAATCCGTGGTCGTGTCCACCGAGCTGTTGGCGTGCATTCCATCCTTGAAGCCCGTCACCTTGAGCGTGTCAGGTGTCGGCGCTTCAATACACAGCACATGGAAGCCCTTGATGGGCATGACGTCCGTCAGGTATTGGTGCGCAGCGTTACAGTCCACTGCATCGTCGGCTTGGCCATATAACGCGGCTGTCAAGTTTCCATCCAGCAGAGCGCGACGCACCGCGAGATGCAGAGTCTTCGGGTCACGCGCAAGCGTTGCTACGGCGACGGCCAGTAGCGCCCCGAACAACCACGAGCTGCTGCGAAGGTGCCAGGGGGAGGTGGTCGCAGGCTTGCGGCCCTTGGACGGCGGCGAGCTGGGCGCCATTATGGACGACAATTCGTTGTGACGTGGCGAGTGCGAGTGTGCCGAAGTCCGACGGTGTCAACTGTGAATCACGGTCCATGATGGCGACGATGGCGACGACAGCAGCTGTTCAAGGGTGCGTGTCAACGCTGCAAATCGACGAGACCACCACTGTGATCGCAGCACTTTATTCTCGGTCGAGCACCCCGGCGTGCTCAAGAAGATCAAGCACGGCCACGAGCCTCAATGGCGAGAGCGATCCAAATCGGATCTTAGTCTTAGAGGTTCATTGGATTCCGATGAGCCTGCTGTCCTGCCGAGGAAGGCATCAAGAGCGACTATGAGTCATACATAGTCTATGGCTAGAAAGCGCGGTGTCTCGCGCTACCTGCTCGTTCGCCACCAATATAGCGAATGCATTGTGTCGTCAAAGAAGCAATGTGTTGCACACACGTGTTCGTTCAAGCACTTTCAAGTACTTGTAATAAGCTTAGTAGCAAGATTGGGTGCGGAGCATTTACTGGTCAAAAGAATCAGCCCTTAATTGGCAATCGGCCCGAGATTGGCCATTTCCCTTAGTAGTAAGGTTGGGTGCGGAGCTCCTACCGCGTAGCTAGGGCAGGCCTTCAGAAGGTCTGCGAAGCTCCAGCAGCAGCAACGGTAGCAGCATTGTCTGCTTGTCCGCTATCGTGATGCCCCCAGGCTAGCATCGTGGACTGGTGGTGCTTTGACGTGCAAAGAGCAATTCACCAACGCCTACCGGAATGAGGTTCGGGTGGCGTAGACATCCCTGGCTGGCATGAAGAAGAGCAGCATCATACTACGACAGAAGAAGCAACGGCACGCCGTCGGCGAGCGAAAGTCTGGTGGTGATGGCCGCGGCCACATCCGAGAACTCGATCTTGAGCAACACGGCGCGCAGCTGAATCAAGGCCAACAGCAAAAAATATGGGGCCGTAAAGTCATACTCCAGCAGCAGCATCACCTCCTCCTCCTCCCCAACGAGCAGTGCCTTGAGCACCATCAGATACACACTCGACCAGGTAGAAGTAGATCCTGTCACACCCTTTGAAGGTATGACCTCTTATTGCATCAAATGTACACAACTCCACAGGACACCAGCGACGACGAGTTTGATCGAGCAGGAATAAAAGTTTATTCTCCGCATCGCTGTGCGACCACCGTGCTTGTCACTCGGGCATCAACTCTCGACTGTACAACCGCATCATCGAGACGAAGCCTACTGTGCCTCGGCGTGGCGCCGATCGGCAATTGGTTGGCAAAGTTGAAGTCGAGCAAGCACTCTGCCAGGTGTGGTCTACATCAACATGGCGTGGCACACCCGAGCTGAAGTGTACGCACGAAACGGCGCGATGACTAATGGCTTCAACTTGCACTGGCCGAACGTTGGACGCAGTGCTCGTGTGACGGCGGCTCGCATCCGATGCGCGCGAAGCAACCGAGCGCCTCGAAAGTCCAGAGGAGCGAAGGCAATGGTCGGAGGTTGCAGCGCCAGCGCGCGCGCGAGGAAGCCTCTCGACGCAAGAGGATGCTCCTTGCACTTTGTTGCGCGTATTGGTTGCATGTGCGTGCGCAACTCCGCTGTTCGCGCCCGTCGTAGAAGGCAACGTACGCTGCCCATCCAAGCTCCGGCTGCCCGCAGTGCTCGGCTCACGTGGAGCTGCTCGCTTGCAGGCCCCAGGCCGTGAAGGCAACGTTCCGGAGAGACGCTGCTCGCACTCGGTGGTGGTTGGCTAGGATGCAGAGATCACCCACCCACCCACCGACCTACTCAGAGCTCGCACCACTTTAGCGTTGACGCCACGTGCCTGCGCGGTCTCAGGCCGTCTGCTGGGTGCCGCCAGGCGCTGCAGCGCTCAGAGCGCCACACAACTCAGGACCAAACCAGGTCAACCGCATGGTCGGGGCGTCTCCAGCAGCTGCATGCGCGACGAGCAAATTTGCCAGCTTTTGGATTTGGCTGCGTCCTTGTCCTCTACGCCGGATGGCGCGCTGCTGGTTCAAGCGAGCACGCGCGGGGGGACGAAGTGAATCCCTCTCTGGCGACTTGACGTGGAGGTCGCTGGACGCAAGTTGTAGCAGCCGTTCGCCGCGAGGACAGCCCCGTCATTTGCCGTCAACCCGCGCTGATACATGCCATGGCGCGATCGGGCTGTCCCCGCGCACCCGGCCGCGGCGCCCAAAGCGGGATTCCTAATTGAACGGGCGGAGGCGGGTGTCGGAGCCGAGTGTGTCAAGTTGTGCCCCACCAAAACCGCCCTCCCTATTAAATCAGCCCCACTGAAACCGCGAAATAAGAAAGCGGCCGCCGCCGCCGGCCGGCCAGCGCTCGCGGTGGATTACTTACGAGGTGTTTCGTGGTGAGCTTGTGCGAGTAATGGATCTGCGACTCGTCCAGGAGATCGACTCGTGGTCCGCCCAGCGAGAACACCAAAGAAATTGGTGCGCGCCGAGCCGAGCTGACCGGAGCTGAGGCCGTCGGCGAGACCAGGCCAAGCGTTGCATTGCAGACATGGCTACTCGTTATCAGGGACGGTTTCCACCAGTATCTTTCGACTGACAGAAGCCGTTAGCGCTATCACCCACGCGTATCCAACGACGAAACGTCCAGCGTGGTCCGGATATAATAGTACGCGGCGGCGATGGCGACGGCGGCAGCAGCACCGGTGCGACCTGTACCGGAGCGATCTCTTGGTGAGCTCGTTTGGCGCGCTAATGGATAACACGGCAGCATAGCGCGCAGAGTAGCTCCGAACGGATTTTATCCAGCCTGCATGCCATCCTGCTGTCGGTCTGCCTCAGCGTGACTGCAATTGTAGGGCCCCTAATACTAATAGTTGATCCCACGGCAGCCGCGCCACGATGCAAGAGACCGCTCCAAGCGGGCCCACGCTGTGACCGCTCCGGCCAAAGCCGGCGTGCCGAGCTTGGATTCCCCCCCCCCTTTCGTCGCGGCAGCTTCAGCAAAAGGGAAATATCGATCGCGGTGGGGCTGGCAATCACAGCCACTGCTGTTTCCGTCAGCGCAGTTCGTTGCGGATGCCGAACCGCGCGCTGTTTGAGACGAACGCCGCCGCGCGCGGCAACGTGGGGCTCGCCGAGTTGCACTAATTTTTGAACTGCCTACCAGCTGCCGGCGCGGCACGTTGGCGCCCATGTGGCGGTCGGCGCGAACCACTATCGTCGCCCCTGCTGGCGCCCGAGAAGGGTGCAGCAACCGGCACCAGCTCGCCCGCTGCAGAGCCCGCCGCCGCGGTTGGACAATCGGCTCGAAAAGATACTGCGCGGAGGACATCTGCCCGGCTGACGTGCCGTCCAGCGGCAACCGCGCAGCGAGTCGACCCCGGAGCGCTCGCCGCCGCTGCCTACCTCAGCCGCCGAGGCTGTAACTTCCCGGCCAACGTGTGGCGTGTTAGATAGCGCTGACGCGGGTGCAGCCAGCGCTGCTCCGCAGCCCGCCCGGCGTTCAGCAGCACCGTCAATGGGCTCAACGCTTCTTGCAGCCAAGTTGCCGCGCGCCGGCTCTTTCCCCAGACGCCCGGGACCGGTCTGAAACTCTCTCCCTAAAGTGCGACAGCCTACGCGCCCAGCTGGAATCCGATAAGCCGCGCTCTCCCGCTGCGGTTTGAACCGAGCCTCGATTCTCTTCCTGCTCCTGCCCGCCCGCGATTTCACAACGGCCGACGGACCAACCAGCCGAGCCGGAGCTCTGGGCCAGAGCAGAGCACAGCCTACCCATCATTACATAATCTCTTTTGCCCGCTACGTGTAACGTGCTGCGTCCCGAACACGCAGACACCAGCCCGCACGGACGCCGCAGCACTCACGCCCACGCCCAAGCTTGGTCGTTGCGAAAGATCCGCTTGACACGCAGCAGTCTCCGTCACTCGTAGCTCTACCCCCTTCCTCCACGCGCGGCAGCTCGATCTCGCCGCCCGCCCAGGAAAAATTAGTTCGCACTCGCAGAGACCGAGTGCAGCAGCGCCCACCCCCGTCCAGCCGCTCCCGACCAGCACCAGCACGGCCATGTCCATGGGCCTCCACTCGGCGCGCGAGGAGCTCGGCCTGCCCAACGTGGCCGCCAGCCACGGCATGGCGCTCTCGTCCACCGGCTACATGAGCGGCGACGTCGGCCAGCAGATCGGCGGCCTGCCCAAGCCCATCAGCCTCAGCCCGCGCACCTTCGGCATGGAGGACCTGCGCGACTTCTGCGGCCCCGTCGGCACGTTCAAGACCGGCCTGACGCCGCGCGTCTTCAGCACGGGCCTCACCCCGCGCTCGGGCTTCACGCCGCGCTTCACGACCGGGTTCACGCCCCGCATCAACGTCAATGGGCTCAGCCAAGCGCCCAACGCCCCGCCCACCGAGACCCAGAGCGCCTTCATGAACCGCCCGGGCGCGGGCTACTCGCCACGTGGTGGCGCGGACGCCAACAACAACAAGATTTCCCCCTCGGGATTCACCCCCAAGGATGTGTCGGGCGCCAAGGTGCCGATGCGCTTCCCCGGCGCCTTCTCCAACAACAGCCCGCCCAAGATGCCCATGGGTGACCACCCGTACAAGCAGGAGCCTGCTCCGCCGCAGTCGCACCTCCAGCAAATGCAGCAGATCCACCAACACACCCAGCAGATGAACCACGGCGCGCAGCACCACGGTCACATGCCTCACCCGGGAATGCCCAACATGAACATGCCCATGTACGACTACATGAACCGCCCCGCGCTGCAGCAGCCCGCGGACCCACGCCTGAGCGTGACCCCCAACTCCGACCGTGTGTCAGACCAGGAAGACCTGGACGAACGGCGCCGTATGAAGAACCGCGAGCGCGTGCGCAAGTGCCGCAAGCGCAAGCAGGACCGCCTCAACTTCCTCGAGGACCGCACGGCGGAGCTGGAGAAGGAGAACGGCATGCTGAAGGCCAAGATGGCTCGCAAGGACTCTGGCGCCAAGGACGAGCCCATGACTGAGGCCCAGCTGAACGACCTCCGCAAGAAGCAGAACACTACTCTGTCTTCGTACATTCGCGCCTACAACGAAGTGGACGGCTCTGCCTTCGAGTCCAGTGCACGTGGCATCTGGGCCGACAACGCGGAGATCCTGTACGGCAGCAGTGGCGCTCGCGTTGCCGGCATGAACGACATCGTCGCCAGCAAGAAGTCTAGTGCCAGTGTCTTCTCCAAGTACGAGATCAAGCAGTACACGGTGCAGTGGATGCCCAACTCGACCGACAAGTGCCTCGTGACCTGGGAGGTGGAAGTGAGCGTGAAGAAGGAGGCGGCCAAGAATGTACCGCTGACTGCTCCCTTCGCTGAGCTGGCCCCGCACTACGGCGGCAGTAACGAGCCTCTCTCGTTCCAGATGATCTCTCGCATCACGTTTGAGGAGGGCAAGATCACGGAGGAGATCCGCCAGCTCAACCTGTCTCGCATTGGCGAGAAGGCGCTGAAGCAGTTTGCTGAGGACCCCAAGAAGGCCGCCGATGTGCTGCGATGCCTGATGGTGGCGGCGTAAGTTTGTCAGACATTGCAAGACAAGGAAGGCGGCGAGCTCGAGAAGCGAGCTAGACCGATTATCGGACGCACACGGGCAGAGACAGATTGCTCGTAGCTGAAGGAGAGTGAGTGTCCTTCTCCTCGTTGAGTTGCAGTAGAGCATCGTGTATCATAAGCAAAATATTACTCGGAGAAACTCAAAAGCTTGCTCGTGCATCTTTCAACGTTGTTTGCCATCACCACAAGCAGGCAGGAGCCCCTCGCTCGAGCGCGTGAGTCAACGCGTGGCTTCATCTCAGAGCTTACAGGCGCAGCTCCGCCGCGGCGTCGTTCATGCTTGCTTATTTCCTCAACATTACTCACACATGCGCACGGGGGTGAACAGCTCACCACTGCGCGGAGCAACGCTACTGCAGCGGCACGAAAAAAAGTAGGAAGTGCTTAGTTGATCTATTTGCTTCTTAATACGTGTAGGTGGGGTGCGTCGCAGCACCGACGTGCGTCTGCTTCTTGAATAAAAACTTGTGGTGCAACGGCTTGTGGCTCTAAGGAGGCAGCAAGGTCCATCAGCGGGCGGCAGGGCAAGCATAAGACTGCTCTCCTCTTCAACACGTAGAGAGCGCCTCGCTCTACAGTACTGCAGCCTCGAGTGGCGCTTCTTCGTGCGTTGCTGTCTTCATGGGTTCGCCTCTGCAGTCGACGGCTAGCTCCACGCTCGTCTCGAAACGTCTGCAGCAACACCACGACACAACCACGAGAAAGAATGAGCGGCGAACGGCACAGCAGGAGGAAGGCTCCATCCACTCTCTGGAGCATCAGCACGTACCGGCGAAGACGGTGTTGAGCGTTGGGATGTTGTTAGCCTTGAGGATCTCAGCTGGCACGTCGTTCATCTCATTGAGCTCCTACAGGCGAAAGCACACAGCAAGTGAGTTCAGAGGCTTCCAGGGCTGCAGGAAGCAGTAGCAGCAAGCCTGTCGCACCTGGATCTCCTTGAAGGAGCCGATGTACTTGATGTCCTTGCCCTCCGGGTCCTGGAGAAAGACCTGCGGATAGTTGCCGCGGATGCCGCTGGCCTCGAAGTAGCGGTTGCGCGTGTCGCGGTTCTCCTCGAGGCTGCAGTCCACCTCCGTGTACGTGATCCTGTTGCCGTCCAGCAGCTGCTTCAGGTGGCCGATCTCGTACTTTTGCTCGGCGATGGAGACCGTCGAGGAGGTCAGCACAACGCACGTCTGCGGATGGACGGCGCGGCATCAGAGGCGGTACAGTAAGCGGCGGCGTCAGCGGAGGCACACACACACGCAAGGCAGGCAGGGCAGGCGCACCTTGACGGGACTCATGGCGTGAGTAACTCGAAGGTGGCGGGTGGACTAGGACTGGATGAGCTTAGTTTAGCTTCTCGGCTTTTCACAACTGCCTCGGCTGGATCGGAGCCCTCCACGCACGCGGTGGTGTGGCGCACACCAAGAAAGGACAGGAACGTTCACATCGAGCGCGGCACGCTTCCATTGCCCTGCTCGGCTCGGTGTCGCAGCCTACGCCAGGATTGGTAAGTCGCTTGCCTACGGAAAGCCAAGTTGCCTTCCGCGGCGATGACTGGCTGCAGTCGCCCCGCGCGCGCGAGTGAAGCCACATTTAGGACGATTCTTGCACTTCCTGATATGGCTACGCTCGACGGCGATACGACTGCAGCGAATCGCGCGCTGCTTGTCAAGCATGTCGTCGAGCGACGTGGCCGCGAATCGGTTGCGCTTGGGTCGCATGCTAGGCTGTCGTCACCTGCAACAGTGAGTCGACGTACATGTACACATTACCCGAGTCGCTCTCTTCGGTATCGGTGCCACTTGAATGACTTCCTTTCAGCCTTCTCACAGTCAAATCTGAGCTTGAGACTGTGAGAAGGCAATCATACAAGTATCGGCACCGTCACCAACTTCCACAACAAAGAGATACTGTTCATGTACTGTACCTCTCTCCGCGTCTGCTTTTGATTCTGCGATGCTGATGTCGATCATTGGGAATGGCGAGAGCACAACTCTTGCAATACGGTTCGCACGGACCTATCGCGGCAACCGCGTCGGCCCAACAAGCAGCTGTACTGCACTCGCCAGTCGGTTGCAATGGTTGGTGCATCCGTTCTCTCAAGAAGCAGGAAACCCCAGCTCACATGCACTGCAGCCCGTGTGTAGTACACGTATCGTAGGTTGTCGCCTTTGTGTTCAGGCCATCGAAAAGAGTAAATCAGACCCGTGGATTCCACAAGACCGCACACGACCGACGAGATGGCGAAATTGGTTCCTTCTTCGCTGGCTTCACTTCCACTTTATCTCCCGACGACTCAAGCGCCGTCTTGCCAGCACCACCCAAGCTTCATCAACCGTCGTCTTGCCAGCACCGCCCAAAGCTTCATCAACAGTCATCTTGCCAGCACCACTACATCAACCAGACCGTCACGCTTGCTAGGCTGCCACTGCTAGCATGCGTGCTACCTAGCCAACTGCGGTGAAGATTTCATGGTGAACCGAGCAAACACCGCATTTCGCTAGCCGTGACAGCGCCAAGCGTATCCTGATGGCGATTGGTGCGCGATCCGCCCAATAATCCCGTCTGATTTGTCCACGCGAGCGGCTCCAGTCAAAGGCCGTGACACGCCGTAATGCGCGCACTTCCAGTTGCCTCCGCCGCCGCACACCCGCCATGGCGCCGCGCCCCCCGCTGCCGCTGCTGCTGCTCGCCGCGACCTTCCTGATCGCGCGCTGGAGCTCGGCGCTCGCGCAGAATGTCAATGACTCGCCCGTGCTGGACGTGGAGCCCGAGGTCTCATGCGAGGCGGCCACCGATTGCCTCGCGCAGGGACTCGAGCACAGCACGTGCCGCGCCGGCGTCTGCGTGGACGACGCGCTGTTCCCGCTGTCGCGCGAGGAGATCGCCGGCTCGATCAGTGCCTTCTTGGCCAGCGTCGTGGCCGCCGGCTCCGGGCTGGGCGGTGGTGGCCTGCTCGTGCCGCTGTACATTATGACCATGTCCATGTCTTCGCACGAGGCTGTGCCGCTGTCCAAGGCCACGATCTTCGGCGGGGCCATCGCGAGCTTCCTGCTGAACGTGAGGAAGCGGCACCCGCTGGTTCGCAGCCGCCCGTTGATCGACTACGAGACGATCTTGCTCATGGAGCCCATGACGCTGGCCGGCACCATCATCGGCGTCAACATGAACGCCGTCTTCCCCGAGTGGCTCATTACCTTGTGCATCGTGTGGCTGCTGACCAAGACGGCCTTGCGCACGTACAGCAAAGGCAAGACGATCTGGAAGGAGGAGGCGGACGCGGACACGAAGATCGTGAGCGATATCGTGGCGTACTGGCGGTTGCTTCCCTACGAGTCCAACTTCAAGCAGTTCCGGGCTGTAGCGCGGGCCTACCTCAAGTGGAAATCCTACAAGTCGCCGGAGAAGGAGGAGCTCCGACTCAAGATCTTGGCTGGCAAGGCCAGCAGTGAGGAGGACCACAGCTCTTCGAACAGCACAGAGGCGAGCACCGAGGAGGAAGCTAGCAGTGATGAGAACGAGAGCGAGTCTCTGATGAGCTGGGGTCTGCAGGACAAGAAGCGGCCGGTGAAGTTTCTCTCCGTGGAGGAGATTGCCAAGGCACGACGCACAGTCCCGATGGCGGACATGGGAGTGCTGTTTCTGACGTGGGTCGGCCTTGTGCTGTTTTCGATGGCAAAAGGCGGCCATGGCACACCCAGTGTCATCGGTCTTTCGTGCGGATCCTTCGGCTATTGGTCCCTGATTGTCGTCTCGTTCCCATTCTTCATGGGCGTGACGATCTACTTCGGCATGAAGATCAGTCGGTTCCATGCGATGCTGCAGGCTTCCGACTATACGTACGCCAAGGGCGACATGGTCTGGACCAAGCATGCGGTGATCAAGTACCCGGCGCTGTGCACTGCGGCTGGTGTAGCTGCCGGCCTGCTGGGCATTGGCGGCGGCATGGTCAAGGGCCCACTGCTGCTGGAGATGGGGCTGATCCCACAAGTATCTTCTGCCACCTCGTCGTCCATGATCCTGTTCACGTCCTCCGCGACCACGATCCAGTTTATCATCCTGGGCACGCTGTCGGTGGAGCACGCGCTGTGGCACGGCACGGTCGGCTTCATCGCCGGCCTCATCGGCCAGCTGGGCATGTCGTACTTGATCAAGAAGTACCGCAAGTCGGCGCTTGTGATCTTCCTCATTGCCATCTTCATCGGAGTCAGCGGCGGCGTCATGGGCGTGCTGGGCGTGGCGCGCATCTCCGAGATCGGCTTCGGAGGCTTCCGCTCGCTCTGCCTGAGCTAAACTGCTGCTGTATAATACTGTAGTAGCTCACCGCCCCTTCACTATAATTTAACATGCCTCGGGTTGCACTACAACGGAGACTTGCCGCGTCTGGTGCTACGTGTTCAAAGTGCAACCTGCGTCCCATTCTTCAGTTTAACATTGTTCGGTGGCAGCAGCTGATCTCAATGATGACGTCATCAGGGTTTGATACCAATATAGTAACAGCAGTCCGATTTTCTTCACAAACTACTACTATAGTAGAATGAATGAGCGTAAAACGCTTACTTACTAGTACAGAACTGTAGGCTCTTCGCAAGACCTAAAATTCCATACTAATCAAACTATATTACTATATTACACGTTCTTGTCCAACCACAGGCGTCTAGCGAACCGGACAAACTAGCAAACGTATAGTATTATACTAGTCGCGGCTGAAAAAGAACACCTATCTATCATAGTAATTTCTTGGGGAAACTGTCATATTAATATAGTAATAGACTGTTGATTCTTCGGACATATTATATATTATACTACTGTATTAGTACTAATCCAACGTCATCCGCGTTCGTAGACGCAATCGGTGGCAAAAATGTGCCCCGCACTTCCACTTCGAGCGGATACCATTCCGCCTCTTCATTCCGCAATTCGCTCCACGTGGACCATCCCCCGAAGTCGCCTTACCACCGCCGCCGACATGAGCGCCTTCCCGTCCATTAAGCTCACGTACTTCGCCGCCGCCGGGCGCGCCGAGGCGCCGCGCCTCATCTTCTACATGGGCGGCGTGCCCTTCCAGGACAACCGCGTCAGCTACGACCAGTTCAAGGCCACGAAGGACTCGCTGCCCCTGGGCCAGTTGCCCATCCTCGAGGTGGACGGCGAGGTCTTCACCCAATCGCACGCCATCGCGCGCTACGCCGGCCGCCTGGGAGGACTCTACCCGGTCAGCGCGCCCTACCTCGCGCTCAAGATCGACGAGGTGCTGCACGCCATGGGCGAGGTCGAGGAGAAGATGGGCCCGTCGTTCCGCGAGTCGGACACCGACAAGAAGAAGGCCATGCGCGAGGAGCTGGCCACGACCACGCTGCCGCGCTACGCCGGACTCATCGAGGCGCGCCTCGAGAAGATGAAGCAGATCCCGGCCTTCACGTCCGACGACGTGTACGTGCACGAGGTGGTGCTCTACACCTGGGTCAAGTCGTTGCGCGCCGGCTACATTGACTTCATCCCCACGATCGTGCTCGACGGCTACAAGCTGCTGAACGAGGCGTACGAGAAGGTCGCCAACCACCCCAAGGTCAAGGAATGGTACACGCTGCAGCACAACGCTCCCAAGCTCAAGCTCACCTACATGCCCCATCCCGGACGCGCCGAGCCCATTCGTCTCGCCTTCTTCATCGGAGGAGTTGAGTTCGAGGACGAACGCATTACCCGCGAGGAGCTGGCAAACCGCAAGCCCTCGCTGCCGTTTAACCAGCTTCCGGTGCTCGAGGTGGACGGTGATGTCATTGCTCAGTCCCTGGCCATCCTTCGCTACGCCGGAACGCTGTCGGGGCTGTACCCGGCTACCGACGCGGTCGCTGCGTACCGCATTGACGAGATCTTTGCGCTCCTTGACGATATGTTCAACTTCCCGCTCTGGGGCGCTTCGTTCCGCGAGAAGGACGCGGAGAAGCAGCTGGCCATGCGCGGCGAGCTGGCCACTGGCATGGTAGCCAAGACCCTGGGCTTCCTTGAGAACCGCATCATCAAGAACAAGGGCCCCTACGCGGCTGGCTCGACGCTCACCGTGGCCGATCTTGCCATCTACGGCGTGCTGCTCGGCTGGAAGACCGGTGTGCCAGGATTCCCGACCACCATCGCCGACTCGTACACGAACTTGCAGCGTGTGTTCAAGCAGGTGAAGAAGCACCCGAAGGTGGTGGAATGGGACGCTGCCCACAACCAGTAATCAGTCGAAGGGTTTTTTCTGGCACTTGGAAGCTGAAATTGTTTTCTCGTGATCATGTACAGTTTGTTTCCATGGACAACAGCGATGCCTAGCACACCAACGTAGACCAAACATCCATACGAAATTCAATACACACGAGCAAGGCTACTCAATGTAATGGCAGAGGTTCCGCATCCCCTCACATAGTAGCTTTGGCTAAAGGATCGCCCTGTCAAAGTGCCAATTAGCTTGAGTGATATGCGGTGTCCATTGCTGCGATCGATGAGACCAAAACCCCGATTATCTCAAGCTGCGCCAGCAGTGTTGGGATCTCCTTCGCTCGAGGATCGTACGCCCCACCTGTCTTGGAAATTCGTACGCTTGCATTTTGCCCGTTGCCCTCAGCTGCAATTTCCACCGGAGCCTTGATTTTTTGGCGCAGAAGCGAAGCCCGAGCTTGTGCATCTACCAGACTTCTGAATCCGCGGATAACCAGAGCAGTGCTGGGTCCTTGCAGGTATTTCGCAACTGCAGTGGCATCCGGAAAGTTGATATCGGGGATCTCCCATGTAAATGGTGTCATGATATCGTTAACCTGATCAAGCAACCACCGACGGCGTTTCGAAGCAACAGGTAGAAGACCCGTGGCGTGGTGCTTCGGCAACGACGTCTTCATCAAATAATCCACCACTGGGCCAAGCAGATTTCCATCCATGATTTTGAAGAGACTCGCTACGTCAATGAGCGCCTGTGGGTTTTCACAGACCATAGCGTGCTTCCACAGTAAGTCACGATGACACGAATACGCAAGGGTTTCCGGCAGTGAGCTACACAATGTTCGGGCTCTTTCTACCGCAAACATCGTGAGCCTCGTGTGAGCTGCTGGTTTATCCACGAGCATATCGGCCAACTGTAAAGCGAGCCCCATCCGACTCTCCGACGGCAGATCATTGATGGAGCTAAGGAACGATGCACTGACATCATCCCAGCCAAATCTCCGCACGATTTCGGCCAGCAACGGGAGTAGTTCATCTTTTTCTTGAAGTCGAACAAAGTACTTGCTGAAAAACTTATCAACAAGGTATAGGTCGCCCGACTCGGCTACGGTCTTCGCAAGTTGCCGACAGAGCAACAAAAGCGCAGACGACTTGTTTAACTTCTCTGAAAGCTGGCCTGGGGAATGCGTCGTTGTTTCTGCTGCGTCGGGTGGCTCAGTAGAATTATTGTTTTCCTCAGCTCCAGCTCCAGTAGTGATATCGCTACTTATCAACGTGAGCGAGTTCTTCGCGTCAGCACTAACAGGCCAGGCAACAACCGCAAAACTTTTTTGCTCTCCATGGCCATGATCAAGGCTTGCGTTTCTGGATCCGCACAGACTGTCCAGAGTTTCCTTTTCAGGGTTGAGGAAGTTCAGCTTTTCGGTCCACTTAACAGCGATCGAGTCCGTATCGCTAAGCTTTTCTCCACTTATCGAGTACCACGATACGCTTTCTCCAATATTCGTTTCGTCTGATTCGCTCGAATTCCCCGCCCGTTTACACCGGAGACAAGCAATGTAAAATCTCAGTTGGTCTCCTTCAGGAAGCATGTTGTTGGCATCTCGTAGCAACCGGAAGCGTCCACGATCAATACCAGAAAGAGCTTTCCAGCCAACAGTTTCAATATTGCTCGTTTTGTATGAATTGATGAGCATCACTGCGATAATTGGGTCATCTCCACGCTTGGCCTTGGTTGCAATTGCCGTACTGGCTTCAGGGTCCGCTCTCGCAGCCCGCTGGCCATCTTTTCCTCTCAACTTTCTGATTGCCTCAGCGACCCGACTTCGCAGCAAACGGCTTGATTCCCTTCTACTCAAACACGATGTGCCCATCGGCAAGCAGAGCGAATACACTACCACCAATCGGTATCCACTCGTTACCTCCTCCACAGCACGATACTCTCCCGTAGTATACACTGCATAATGGGGCGTAAACGCAGCCGTACCGTCCTCCTTCCCCAGCGTATACCGTAACGCATCCGATCCAGCTTCTTCGCGTACGACCAAATCACCCCCACTGTAACATGACGGAAGCTGCACCGTAAGTTTTGCGACACAACACCCGACGGGGTCAGGGGCTTGTTGGTCCTCAAGTCGACCTCCCTTTCCAAACAACAGCATCATCGTCATCATCGGCGAAAGTCCGACATCGTTATACCCCAGTCTCTCGGCACACAGTCCGCACAACTGCTCAAGACCCTTCGCCCACTCCGGGTTGGTCATCTTTACTTGGCTCGGGTACAGCAGACACAAGTTGCCGTGACGTTGTTGAGCTTGTCTCTGTAGCAAAACAGCGTTTTCCTCCCGCAATGGAAGCGAAATGTGGCCAATGTCCTCAACTATTAAACCTGGTAGAGCAGGGAGCATGGGGGCGGCGTCTCCGAACGACAATACGTCTTGGGTATGCGGAACCTGGCGAAGCAGGTCACTGAGCTCCTGGTAGACGGACCTTCTGGAGACGGACACTTGGCTAGGCAGCTTGACATGGCCGAACGGCCAGTGGGAGGCTTGAGGCATGGCGCTGGACGCGGAAGTAGGGAAATGACGATCAATTCTAAAAACCGGCCTGGATTGACCAATCAGCGTGCTAAAAACGTACTACTTCAACTACCCCAAATACTGTACTTGTAAGTTGACGAATTACATTTACATTCAAGTACATCCAACATGGAGCTGTCCTCGTCGGTTCCTGAGATCTACTTACTCGTCAATTTCAATGACATGAGGCTCGTCGTCTCGTGGTCTCTTCTTGCCCGTAGTGTTGTTGCTACATCCGACCGTGTCGCCTTCATCCGCGGTATTCTCGTTGACGAGCAGCTTGTTTAACCGTTCGAGTTCCGCCTTGTATTTCGACTGGCGCACACCGCATTTCCTCAATATTTGAACCGCATTCCTCAATATTTGAACATTCGCACCCAGATCTCCATAGTGTGCTGTTATCTCGATCGGCGCGATGATCTTAGCAGACAACACACTGATACGATCCATAGCGTCGTCGATAGCACCAAACCCGCGAATTATAAGACATGTGTTTGGCCCCTGAAGGAAAGTTGCAATCGCACCAGCGTCAGGAAAATCTGTGTCTACCATCTCCCAGCTAAATGGATCGTCGACGCGCTCGATATTCTTGATGCGTTCAATTTGTTTGATCAACCAGTGACGACGTCGTAGAAATATAGGAGCAATTGGAATACGCTGGCTCGGTGGAGTTGATTTGTCGACACTTTTCGACAGGGCATCAACAATTGAGCCAAGCTGCTTCCCACCAAATGCATTGAACAGTGCTGCTGCGCTTACCAACACTTCTGGATCTGCACAAGCCAGGGCGTGCTTGAATAGTAGCTGCAATTCCGGTAGTGCTAGCAGCTTTTCGGGAAACGTGCAAAACAGCATTCGCGCCTTCTCAACTGCAAACGTTGTAAGAGCTTCCTGCGCGATTGCATTGGCATCGAGTTGCTCTGCCAGACCCATTGCAATTCCAATACGATCCTCAAACGATTCATCACTGATGCCACCGAGAAGAAACGTAGACACGTTGTCCCAACCAACTCGTTTCACGATGTCCGCAACTGCTGGGATTATTGTACGCTTCTCCTTCTGTCGAGCAAAACTGAACTTGAAGAAAGGCTCGACCAAAGTGATATCGCCGGAAGCGATGATATTGTTAGCGAGGTCTTGGCAGAGTTCCACTTGTGCCGACTGGCGTTTATTCCTCGTTTCCTTGGTGTCTTGCTGTGGTCCAGATTTCGGCGACTGGGTCGATATTTTTTGCGGGTTCCTGAGTGGTATTCGAGTCACAATATCATCGTTGTAGAATCTAGCGACACCTCTAGCAACTGCTAGGGGACGTATTGTATCCGCCCACATTGGCCTCCCAACGATCGAAAGCCGTTCATGTACGCGGGCGCCATGGGCTTGACTACTTCTCCACAATTGTCCAAATGTTTTATTCCCTGGATTCAAAAAGCTGAAACGTTTTGTCCATTGAGGCGAAGTGGGAAGATTACTATCCATTTCACCACCGCTCGTCGAATACCACAAAATGCTCTCTTGCACCTGCTCTTCTTTATCGTATCCCAGCAACTTGAAGCGAAGACAAACAATGTACAACTTCAGCTGATGTTCATGAGGAAGAAGGGCGTTTGCTGCTGTCAACAGTTCAAATCGCTCACGATCCTCACCGGTAAGCACCATAGACCCGCTTGACTCAACTTCAGATTTCTTGCACGAAGGTGACAACATTAGGGCAACAATGGTCTCCTCACCCGCGGTTGCACGCTCAGCTTGCACCTCCTTCTTTCGTTTTGTCAGCTCACCAATTGCCACTACGAGCTGATTTCGAGCCGAGCCAGATAATCTTCTTCCAACGCTGAACTGCGTATCAGGGTGCAAACACAGAGAGTAGAGCATCACCAACCGATACCCACTTTCCACTTGTTCACAGTCCGACAAGTGCCAGCTGCGTGCACCACATAATGCGGTGCAAAGGCTGCAACACTGTCCTTCTTTCCCAACGCAGTTTAATGCCTCGGCTCTCAATCGCCGCTGCATTCTCTCGACGCAACGGGAGTGAAGTATCTCCAACACCCTTTATATAGAGCCCAGGAAGACTTGGCAGCACTGTAGCCATACCCCCGAACGCGTATTCGCCGCCATTGCGCGGTAATTGGCCGAGAAGTTTGCTGATGGAGCGGCAGATCGGATCCTTGGGAACCAACGTATCGTCCGGCGCCCCGATGGAGTAGAAGGGCCAATAGATTAGGTCCAGGTCGTCTTCGGTCTCGGTTTCACTAGAGTCCGCGAGTTGGTCGCCTCCGTTGGGCCCCGCCGTTGCGCTGGAAGCGATCGATGCCATGCCAACCTTGGTGCTGTGGAGAATGCGAGAACTGACTACAATGGCCAATCAGATTGCACCAAACTTGTTGCGCGCGTCACAGATTTCCTCTTCGATTTTTTAGATAGCATTCCCAACGCAACTTTCACCATGGCGAAGCTCAATGTAAGCTTTGGTCGTAGTGCCAAGAGATATAGGGGGGTGTTACGTTAGGCTGGGAGGACTGCTTGAAAAAAGATTAAGTTTGTTCTTTCGCAGTACTAAGTAGGTATGATTCAATCGACCTGAGTCTTAGTGGTTAGTTTTTACCAACTGAAACAAGACTATAGTCTTCCATACTGGAAGATTTCAGTGGCTCATTATCCCACTGAGACTTTTGCTACTACTACATAATGTAGAAGAAATGGTGGGACAAAATTTGATTTCAGTATAGTGTACCAAACTTTTGTCCTAAGAGTCTGTCCAAGGACGCATTTGTGGTACACCATACTGAAATCAAGAGAAGTATCAATTTGTCCTATTGTTTGTCCTAGCCAAAGTCTCAGTGGGGTTATCGGATGGATGTAGCGTATGCGAAGCAAGCCGATGGATAAGTACTTCAGTATATTATCCATCTTAGCAGAAGTCGGAAAATAAAGTGCGAGTCGCCGTAATGTTTATTGCCATACAGACGCCAATATTTGGTATACTAGTAATTCCCTTTTTTATTAAGTGGTCATCTCCTGCGCCTGCTTCGCAGCTGCAGCATCTGCCCAAAGTTGTACTTTAAAACTGCAGATGCAAGCTTCGACTACAAAACTATGCCAACAACTACCAAGTCGCGCAGTACAACAGCGGTTGCGTATGACCTATAAACCTACATGAAGCAGCGCCAAACAACAACCCTCTCAAATGGAGCCAACCACCTGGTGTCTGCGAGGCCACCTTGCTTGGTATTCGACAAACATATTTGGTTTCATGGGGTCCTGAACTTGCTTGACAACAGTAGACACCCGGAGATAAAGGTGTCCTCGTAGAAACTAAATTATGGAGTTGTTGTGGGCTGAATGATTATTCGGTATGCTATTCTTTCGCTAATGTTGTGTTAATTCCATTGTCGACCTTCGGTTTTGTGTGGTACATGGTGCCGCTGACAACATGGCTACGTTGTGTAAGTATGGTGTGGCAAAATGTTGTTTAAATGTTGCCTGAGGTACAAGCAACTTTTTTTCGACGAATTATACAGGATAACGTTACTAGTACCGTAGTAGATGTAGGAAGGACTTGATAGGAAGTCAGCGAAGATGATTTCTTCCCCATTTGGATCGAATGCGCGACGATGACTCGCGCGCGCGGCCAATGACGCCACCAGCCAGCAGCTACGGGCAGCAGATGACAATTAGTGTGCTCTCCGAGATACCTCCAGATTGGACGACGTGCGTTTGGCCTTGTATGCATTTTGAGGAGGAAACCTGACCAGTGCGGAAGCACTCTTCCTCTCAGCCTGAGCAACTGGCATTCATGTACGAGCAGCACGTAATAGAGGGCCATGCCATGTGTTGAGTTGTAGAGATAGGGCCACCCAACTAGACGAATGCACTGAGGGGGCAAAGATGGTAAAGGACAAGATCGAATCGCACACATCTGTAGAGCTCGCACGGTACGTGCTCCACTTTGCCCAGTCGAGCACCACAAAACCAAAGATCGGTTGGGAAGTCGGATGGCCATGGAAATCAAACACCAGCACTTCCGGCGATGGAGCGTTCGTCGTCAAGATGTGCGAGGGACAACCTTATAGGAGTAAAATACCAAGTGGTGCCAGCAACGGCCAACTCACTTTACATTTCTCCGCCTACAGCACAAGTACCTACCTGAACCAAGCTCCCAACAACCAAGATGCGCTTCTCGTTCGCCCTCGTCCTTCTTGTCGCCCCCGCCCTCGTGTCCGCGACTCTCGATCCGGCCACCTCCAACACCAAGGGCAAGTGCCCGAGCGTCTACAACTGCAGCGCGACCAAGGTCTCCACTGCCATCCAGGCCGCTGAGTGCTCGCACAACACCCGTACCTCTGAGACGCAGACGTTCGCCGTGTTCGTGACGGACCACCAGTATGACGGCAACAACGGCTACCCGTACGGCACCTGCTCTGCCTACACTTGCGAGTCACCCACGGCGGACGTCATGACCGCCAACGACGACTGCTGGACCTTCTTCTGGAGGTAAGTCCTGCGCCGAATTCAAAATTCTAGTATGAGATCACAATGCTGACAATGTGCATGCTGTGTGAACAGTGGCAACGGAACCGACAGCGGCGTCGGAACTGGCTGCATCAAGGACCCCACCACGGGCAACTGTGGCTGCGAGAACTCGGACGGCCAGTTCATCGCTGACAGCAGCAGCTGCGTGTAAATCGATGGCTCGGAGAGGTTCAAGTGCATCGGTTCTTGACGTTATTGAGTGTAGTAAGATGAGTTGAAGAGGGAGAAAGAAAAAAGCTGGGAGGAGCGGCCGCCGGAATAAACGTGTAGTGATCATTGGTATGTCCTTGCATCTCTTTGGTGTTCATTAGTCCCTGTGGACTCCTGTATGCATGATTGATTGACAACATTAGCTATAAAACGCTGGCACTAGATCAGAAAACGACAGTTCCCCGAGTATTTCACGACACTTCAGTAACCTTACAGCTTAGAAAAATAAAATAAAAAGCAAACTACGATCTTCATACGCACATGCGGGCGATTGGCGATTGAGACTAGTCCATGGAGACAACCTCCAGGTCCTCGTCGTGCGAACGCTTCTGTCCGATAGCGCTCGTGTTGCTACGATCAGCGTTTTCGTCACCCACATGGCTACTTAGGTCCTGTAGCAACAGATCCATCTTGGCGATTTCCATTGTACAGCTCGCTTTCAGGTTGGAATCTTGTTTTGTCAGTTGCACTACGCTTCAGCTCCCCTCTTCCTTGCAGATACGTCCAAAGGACCCTCAATACGCATTCGTAGCAAAGCAGCTCGAGTACGCGCGGCTCCGATGCTGTTAAAGCCCTCGATTACTAAAGAAACCAGGGGCCCCTGAAGGAACGTTGATATGTTAGCAGCATCCGGAAAATGTTCGTGGGAGATTTCCCAGTGTGGTGTCACTCCTCGCGAAACTTGTTCTCTCAACCACTGACGGCGTCGATCCACGACGCTAGTGAATGCTGCGCGATGTTCCGGTAAGCTGGAGGAATTGATGAGTTTTGAAAACTGGTTCACGTACGGACTCAGCAAGGAGCCCTCAACTTGGGCCACGACCTTGAGTAGATCGGTGCAGACTTTCTCGATATTGCAGTCCATGGCCCCTTTCCAGAGCAATCCCACTTCTTCCGAAATACATCGATCAGAGGATTCAATGGTGATGCGAGCCTCCTGAAGCGCGAAAGTTGTGAGAGTGACTCGTGCCTGAGGGTATTCCGGGAGCACTTCAGACAGCTTCAGTGCAAGGCACATGCCTTCTTCCAGTTGCTTGATGGCGTTGATGAACAAATTGACGACGCCTTCGCAGCCGACACGTTGCACGAAGCGAGCGATATCAGGAATGAAGTCAAGCTTACTCTCCAACCGTATGAAGTACCAATTGAAAAATACCCCCACAAGCGGCAATTCTTCCGTCTCAGCAATAACTTTCCAGAGCTTCTGGCACAATGCCATCGGAACACAAGATGCTTTTGGTTGATATGTTTCAACCTCGAAGAGTAAAAATCGCCGAATTTTGTCCGTGGCCCCAGAATCATCACTCAGAATCGAGAACGTAGCGGCAATATCTCCCATGTGTGTATACCTGTTCGCAATGTCAGCGCACGCTGGCCATGCGACGATTCCAAAGCGCGCGTGGTTGCCAACGGAAGAAGTACTTGACTTTTCATGACGGCCAAGCGTGTCGTTGCCCGAGTTCAGCAATTTTAGAGTTCTCGTCCACTCCTCTGACCTCCCTCTACCTCACCTCCCAATGAGTACCACGAAACCTGCCCCAATGCCACCTCTTTTTTCGGCCTAGACGTGAAGCAGTGTCGAGGATACATGATACTGTACTCCAGACGAGCAATGTAGAACAGCAGCTGCTTATCCTGGGGAAGAAACTAGCGGCCCCCGTAGCATACACTGCGTACTGAGCCGTGAGACTCTCAATTCCAGTCTTCTTCCCGAAACCATACCGGCACTTCTCCTTCCCCCCTTCATAAACGACCAAATCCCCTCCGCGATACTCCTCCGACGGCAGATGCAACACCAATTTTCCCCAACATCTCTTCGATTCATCATCTCGCAGCCTTTCCAGATACCCCCCAGGGCCCAACAGCCACAACTTGGACAGCACCGGCTTCAGCTGAATGCCTTTAAGCCCGACACTCTTAGCGTACTTCTTGAAGCCCAACCTCCCCGCACAATTTTTCAATGGCACGCCCCCATTCCAAGTTCTTGACATGAACGTGGTCGCCCGGAAGCACCCACGTACTCCGGCCAATGGGAATAGAGTGTGCAGTCAATCTGCGTGCGTTCTCGCTCGACACTGGGACTGGCAGGGGTCCGAAGCTCTTGATGAGCAGCTCTGGTACCACCTGAAGCGCGAAATGCTCCCCCCCGAACGACAGTTCCCCCTTGAAGCGTGACATTTGGTCCAGTAGCGCGATGATGGATTGGCGGACGGCTCCATCTGGCTTGTAGTTGTCCCCATGGCAATTGCTGGAGCAACAATTGTGCTCGAAGAAAACCTTCATAGCCCCGCACTTGACGAAGCGAAATGCGGAATGACGTAGTAGTTGAAGTTGGCGCCCCACCTCAAGCTAATCATCGCACGCGAAAAGGAGAATATTATCCAATCCCTGCTCAGCTGCGCGCGTCTCATATTTTTTGTTAGCGTAATGAATCACAACGCCACTAGTATAAAATAAATACAACGGAGACAGATTCTTATAAAACAAATTCCCTATTCGATGTCATGTATAGGATCCAACCACTTGTCAGTCCAATGTCCATGTCTTGAACCTGTTGTGTCACGACAGTATGACTAGTGCAACATCGCCGTCCATTTCACGACCTGAGGGTGAGTGGACACCGTCTTGTGAACTTGCAGCAGGTTCTTGAACGACTCGACGACAGACACAGGCACGCCAGCTATGCGACCACTTTTGAATGTCCACAAGAGCGAGTAGATCGCAAGGTCTGCAACCGTGAGCCTCTCTCCGACAGCAAATGATCCATTCCACCTCGCTACGCGCTTTTCGAGATAGTCGAGCGTTTTGGGGAGCGTATCCTCTGCCAGTGTGGCGCGCAACTTCATCTGCTTCTCCGGGTCTTTCTCGAAATACGACGCGTTCCAAGTGCAGGAGCTGTAAAACTCATCGACAAGCGAAAACACTTCGTCGATTCGTAGCGCCTCCTTAAAGTCCCTTGGCGAGTATAGTCCGCCAAGGGTGCCAGCGTATCGCAAGATGGCCAGTGCCTGCGAGATCACCTCTCCATCCACGTCAAGGACCGGTAGCTGGTTGAACGGCAGCGAGGAGCGCCTTTGCTCCAGCTCACCCGCTCCAATTCGTTCATCTTCGAACGGGATTCCTCCAATAAACAGAGCCAGGCGAATCGGCTCAGCTCGACCAGGGAATGGGAAGTACGTCAGCTTCAGCTTTGGCGAACTGGTGCAGACTTGGAGGGCCTTCGGGTTTATAATTCTTGGATGAGCTTCCACCTTCGACTCAACTTCACGGACGCCCTTGTGCTTGTCAATCTCACCACCGAGTCCAAGTTTACGCAAATCTTTCACCCAACAGTACAATGCAATCTCGTGAAGCAACAGGTCGGGATAGCTGGAAGCCTGTAGTGAACTCTCCAATCGCGCTTCAATAAGCGAAGCGTAGCGGGGAATAATAGCAGTCTCAAGCTCTCTCTGCGCTATCTCGTTGTTGTTGTCAGCGGTGAACTTCATCTTAGCTTCAACCTCACTCAAAGCATGAAGGATCTCGTCGACTCGGAGCGCCAGGGTGGGGGAAGTGACTGGATAGGAGCCGCCTAGTCGCCCTGAGCAGCGAAGCATGGCCCGCGGCTGGGTCAGCGACTCCCCATTAACGACCAGCTGAGGTCCTTGGCCATCGGAATGCGTGTCTTCGAATACTACACCGCCAAGGTAGAGGGCTGCCCGCACGGCATTGAGGCCTTTCGGCGCGACGAGGTGCATCTTGAACGGCGGAAAATGAAGGATATCGGCAAATCATTCGGGGTTATCTGGGCTTGCGCGGTGGAGTGCCCTGCCGGTGGGCAAGGCACTCCACCACGCTGAAGGTCGTATATTCGCAGCGAATTCATCCTGTTTTACGTGTAATGCGCCTACCGAGAGGTATTCGAATGTGTCACGGCGGACTGGGCTTACAAATGGCCTTCATTCCATTCAGCGAACCTTCGGGTGAGCTTTCACCTGGTCGAACACACGCTGCAAGTTGTGGTACGGGTCCGCGATGATTGAAGGGAAGCCGGGTCTACCGGCTTTGAGGACGAGCAGGAGCGCGTAAATAGCTAGGTCTGCCACAGTCAAGTGCGCTCCTGTTGCGTAGGGCCCCTTAAACTTCGAGACGAGGTTATCCAGTCTCCAGTGTCTTCTTGGGAATGACGCCTCGCGCCAAGCGCTCACGCAGTTGAAGCAGTTTAGCTGGATCTGGCTCAGCGACTAGTTTGCGGCAGTTGTACATCTTGTCCATGAGGGCAAACAGCTCGTCCACGCGAGAAGCCACGCCGTCGGGTAGATTCCTGCGAGAATGCCAGCGTAATGAAGAATAGCGAATGATTGAGAAATGCCGTTCCCATCGACTTCCAGTAGCACTTCATCGTGGCAAGCTCTTCCGAGGAGAGTATGGCGTCTTTAAACTCGATGTTGCCGATGAAGAAAGCGAGGCGAATAGCCTCAGCACGGTCTGGAAGCGGGAAATAGGTGAGCTTGAGCTTTGGCGAGTCTTTCTTCACGCTAATCCAATCATCGCTTCCATCGCTGCTCCGTTCCGGGCCGGCTTGAAGTTGCTTGGCAACCTTGTCGAAAGTGGCGTTAAGGAGCTTGCATCCGTCCAAAACTTCAGTTGGAGCATTGGTCACGCCTGCTCGGAACGTTTTGACCCACGCGTCGAGAGCCAACTCGTGGATGAAAACCTTGTCGGAGCGGAAGATCGACTGTTCCTGCATCTTTTTACGACGATCTCCAAGTAAAACAACGTAGCGAGGCAAAATGACTTGGGCAAACTCATCGCTCATGTCATCTTCCGTGACTGCGTCTTCAAAAGGAACTTTAAAGTACCAGTGCTTTGGAGGAAATTACAGAAGGAACGAAATCACCACTCAAAGAAATGTGTTTCATTTTCTTAATGCACTAGTGCCCGCTTGCCTGCTTTTCAGAAAACAATCGTAACCCATTTGACAGACACATTGACACCTCGGCTTGCTTACGCATGGGCAGCGTTCCACTCGGCCACTTTCGGATGCGCCTTGACCTGGTCGTACACCTGCAACAGGTGCTCGTACGAATCCGCGATATCAACGGGAGTTCCAGGTCTGCCAGTCTTCAGAGGGAGAATCACCGCGTAGATCGCCAAATCCGCCACTGTCAAGACTTTCCCCGTAGCGTACGGGCCCTTAAAGGCGGCCACACGCTTCTCCAAAAAGTCCAGGGTCTTAGGGATAATACCCTTGGACAGACCCTCGCGCAACTTCTTGAGCTTTTCCTGATCGCGCTCACTGACGGTCTCGCGCCATGCAGGACTGTTGTACATTTCGTCGATCAGCACGAAGATCTCGTCGACACGGGAAGCTACAAGCGGGTCGACCGTCGGGTAGAGGCCCGTGAGGTTTCCCGCGTAGCGCAGGATAGCCAACGACTGTGAGATGGCCTCACCGTCAACCTCCAGCACTGGTAGCTGGTTGAATGGAAGTTCCGACTTCACCTTCTCAAACTCATCGAACGACAGTCGCTTGTCTTCAAACTCGACGCCGCCGATGAAGAACGCCAGTCGAATGGGCTCCGCACGGCCTTGGAGCGGGAAATACATGAGCTTGAGCTTCGAGGTATCGTGCGGCAGGCTGTACCATTCCTTGACCTTCGGGTGGTTGGCGATCTTGTTGAACACCGCATTGTGGAGCTTGTAGTCGTCGAAGAGCGTGGTCGGGATGTGGTCAAGCACACCTCGCTTGATCGCGTTCATCCACGTGTAGATCGAGATCTCGTGCACGAACACGGCATCAGATCGGAACATTGGCAGCTCCTGCAGCTTTTGCAGTCGAGCCTCCACCAAGGCGGCGTAACGTGGCAGAGTGACGGTGGCGAGCTCTTCGCGCATCGCTTTCCTCTTCTCAGCATCTTGCTCTTGGAAGGAAGGGATGATCTGGTCTCCCATTTCACACAGCGCGTGCAGCATCTCGTCAACTTTGAGCGCTGCGAAGGGAGTGCTGACCGGGTAGAGACCGCCAAGACGACCAGCGTAGCGGAGGATTGCGTAGGTCTGAGTCATGACTTGACCGTCGACCTCCAACACCGGAACTTGACCCAACGGGAGCGACAGCTTCAACTCAGGGAACTGCTCGTGGCTCAGGCGCTTGTCTTCGAACGGGACACCACCAATGTAGAAGGCCAGCCGAGCGGCCTCAGCGCGACCAGCGAAGCCAAAGTAGCTGAGTTTCAGAGCTGGGAACGCAGGCATGCTTCGACGTTGGGGGCTGGGCTTGGGTGGAACGGCGGGAAATGAGGAATGAGTGAATACATGGAAGGCGGCAAAGACAATGCTGACGCAAACTCTCTTTTTCGAGAAAAAGTTGGTTCAACGGGTGCAACGAATGAAGGTCAACGATTACTACAACACCGGAACGTATTCACCTGGGAATGATTGCAACCGTGCTGATGCTCCTCTTACTTAAAGATTCATGAGTCACTCTGTGCGAGGACGCTTCATGCCGATGGTTGAGGTGAGAGTAGGCGCCGCTAGCGGGTAGTCGCTTGATAGCCGTGCAAGCTCGTTGTTCATACTATCAATCTTTCTTCTCAAGCTGTCAAAATACTTCCGGGTCTTGATAATTTCGACCGAGGCATTTCTCCCGCTTCCTCTTGCCGACATCGTGTATGATGCGGTAGGATTAAGCTCGTACGGCGGAGTGTTGTCACTCACAAACTTACGCGCTGCTACGATGCCACCAAAACCACGAACTGTGAACGAAGACTGCTCCCCACGGAGGAATTGTTCAACTCCAGCATTGGCGGGGAAGGTAGCGTCAGGTATTTCCCATGAAAATGGCTTGGAGAGGCGTGCAATTTCACCAACAAGCCATTGATATCTCGCAGCTACTAGTGTTGCGAGTCCCGTCCGTTGATTTGAAGGGCTTGCTTCATCGACGCATTTGGAGATGCTTGTCAGTACAGGACCGAGAAGATTCCCACCCATTTGCTTGAACAGCGCGTCAACGGCCGTAAACGCCGCTGGGTTTGTACAAGAAGCCGCGCATTTCCACAGTAATCCAAGATGTTCAAAGGAAGAGAGCACCTCTTTTGTTACGCCTTGTGCTTTCTTTACAGCCAGCATGGTGGCAGGAGGTTGAAGTTTGGCTTCAGCTCTGCAAGAGTCAGCCAGTTTGACAGCTAACAACATTGCATCCTGTAGATTCTGTCCATCCAATGCCCTCCTGACATGTTTTGCAACAGCTTCCCATCCAAATGCGGCCATCATTGGCACTAGAGCAGGCGCTAGCTGGTGCTTGTTCTTGAGGCGATAGCCGAGCACAAATCCCGGCAAAACTCCATGAAAGGGGATACACAATTGTCCTTGTCCCAGGAAGAGACGTGTTCCATATCCTTCTCGTTACCATCCGCTAGCTCCATAAACGTCCGTAGCTTCGAGGCATTGACGGAGGCTTCAGCAAGAATGATCTTGATTGCAGCGGCCTCTCCAATTAAAGTAGTCGTATTTTGCAAGTCACTTGCTAGGGGCCAACCGACGATAGCATGCGCTTCGTATTCAATTGTTTGCTCATCCACCAATCCATCGCGACTCATGTGGTGCTCCAAATTTCCCGCGGCGTGAAGCTCCCGATATTCAGGAAGTTCAAACGCGCAGACCACGGAAGTGGATCGCCTCCGTATTCGTAGTCCCAATCGCGTAGCTTTTCTCCGTTGATAGAGAACCACATGCTCGACTCGGACTTTGACGAGACTTCCCAGGGTGTTCCCACCACGCCATTGTCGCGTCTAGACACACGCCCGAACCCCTGATTCCGAAGAGAAAGCCCCTCCACCGATGCAAACGTCCCTAATGAGATAAGTAGACTGGTTCAGTTCAACGAGGTAAAACTTTAACTGCTTTTCTGGAGGAAATAGGGCGTTCGCTTTCCGCAGCGCTTCGATTTGTTTACGGTCTTCTTCCTTCAGCAACTCGACCCAAACCAGCGTATCCATAGTTCGATGACAGAAGCAGCGCAAACGTGTCTTTCTCTCCAAATGCAGCCATAGCGTCACGCATTACATTCACGACCAGCTGACCCGCACGCCTTACTCCGGGGGAGTCCTCATCTTCAGGTAGTCGCAGCGAATACACCAACACAACTCGGTAGCCACTCTTCACTTCCTCGACAGCATGCTCCGCGTCAGCAACGAACACCGCGCAACATGGACTGTACGCAGCCGTGCACGCTTTCTTGCCCATATCCATCCTCAGGTGTTTCGAGTTGTCTTCGTCACTGTACACCACCATATCTCCACCCGTGAACATCGATGGCAGCTGCACCACAAGCTTGGCAACCTCTCCAGCTACTCCTTCAGCACATTTGCGCTTCTCCAGCCGCCCACCAGGTTCATACACCACAAGCTTCTCCAGTTCCGCGTCTAGTTCCGTGCAGCCGTAGCCCAACTCCTCCCCCACATGATAAAGGAACTCCTCGAGACGAGAGTTCCACGTAGGGTTCTCCAACCCCCTGCCAGCTCCCACCGCTTCTCTCCAACGTCAGACTTGGTGTACTTGTCCAGCAGTAGCTTTGCATATTTCTCCGTCAATGGGACCGGAATGGACTCGCCATCTTTGACTTTGAGCCCGCAGACAGCGAGGAGACCTGAGTCGGTGTCTTCAAAGGCGAACACGTCGTCCCGAGTCTCCGCTAGACGCCCCAACGCCGCGCCTAAGGCTACACAAGCATCCCCCTTGGGTAAGTAGCCCATGTCGTCGATCTCCCCCATGGCCGCGAACGGACAATAGGCCTTCTCCAGGTCGAAGAGCTCCTCCGGCACCGAGATCATGTACTCGAGACTCATTGGAAGGGGAAGATTCGAGTATAGCCATGCGACTGGAAGTCTCAATTAAGGGTTAAAGATGTTCTACGTTAGTAGTGAGGAGGAAGAGGAGGGCGAGGCGTGGTCGTTCTACTCGGTGGGAGGACCCCACGACGTGCTGGTTCCAAGGGGAGAAGCGACTCGAGAGATCAGTGAGCTGCTGGGGAGGGTGGCGCACGGCTTCGGGGGTCGAGCGGACACGATACCGGATCTACCAGGACTGAGTGTGAACGATGTTGGGCATGTATCGTTGCCTCTGCCTACAAGAGACGCTGAGGAGTTGATGGAGAAAGGGGGGAAAGTTGGCGCTCTCCACCGATAACAGCAGCAGCGCAGGTAACACAAGTGAGCGCGGGGGGAGCACGTGGGTGGTGGGTGGCGGATTTTTTCCATGCCAAAAAAAGTGCCAAAAATAAAAAGAGGTTTTCCATACCACCGGATTAATTGCATGCCATACAAAAAGCAAATGAAAGTATTTAATTCTTGCCATACAAAATACAAGTGAAAGTGTCCTAGACGGGTTGATGTGTAGCAGGTCCCTAGTTCGCAGCGCCCGAAGCCCTCACTACATCTAGCCTCATTACATGCAACCTCGTCCTAAGCAATGAAGAAATCTCAGAAGTTAAGCGACTTCCTGCTTGTTTTCAATTCCTGGGGGGAACAATGTGATGCCCCATCCGATGTGCGTAGTTTATCGCGTTGGCGAGCTCCTCGGCTGCCATGGTCACCGTTTCACTGCGTTTCTCGTAGTAAACGTCCCAATAGCGAGCCCCACCTTTCATAAAGGGAGGGTCCACTACCCCCACAAGGTCTCGATCTTCGATTTCGCCATCCCGGTTTTTAGTTGGCCATGTACTGAGAACGCTCCAATTGATAACGCTCGCAGGAGTTTTAATGAGCCATGAAATGAGAGCATCGACACTGTACTGGCCAGGTGATGGCTTTTCACGCTCAAGACACTGTTTTTTCTTTCTTGGTCGACCGGTTGGGCGTCTCATCAGCAAGCCTCGTAGCATCAGCGAAAAGTCCAAGCCATCAACGAGTTTTAAGCACGCCATAACGTGCCCACACAGCCATCCCGTTTGGTAAAACTCTTTACAGTCGCATTTAAATTTGCTTCGCTGGGCCCGAATCTGTTAGACCGTATGCACACACACAAACGTTAGTAATGCATCTACAGAGCAAGGTATTGAATTACCTCTTCAATTGTCCACATGGGAGAAGCCCAGTCGTGTTCAATAGGAGTTCGCGATACAATATCCACAGCGTGTAGGGACTGGTACGATAGTTGGATGCTGTTCACGACCTCATCTTTTTTGAGAACTCCCTCAAAGGACTTGGCGTAACGTGATGTCCTTGTGTGTGTGACCTTTTGCCCGTACAGATTTTCATCGTGAATGAGGTAATAGTCTGCATTGAAGTAGTAGCGGTTGATGTTGGCGATTTCACGCTTAGACATCCGCTCGTGGCATGGGTAGTGATTGCCAGGGTCACAGAGCCGTTTGGCAGCTTGATACACTTTTTCATCAACGGGACCTGATGCAAACGGCCACAAGAACTCGGTATTTGTATCGCGGCCGCAGTGAATCACTATCTTTGGCAAAGTGACGGCCAAGACATGCGATATCGCATGTGCTGCCGTGTCTGAATCGACATCATTCGTATCCTTATCCTCATCATCCTCGTCGTCGAAGTCAGCATTGTCAGGATAGAACTCGGATTCACTACCATCAAAATCGTTGCTGTCATTTGGAGAGTCGGATCCGGATTTACTGGACCTTAAGCGGCGCCTATCGGGGTCCGACAAGTCACCATGGTCTGGTGAACTCGGCAGAAGATGCCGTGTGTGATACCCACTCGTGCTCAGGGTGAAGATGTCCCCATCACGCTTAGTTACTCTGACCTGGGCTTTGCAATCAACGTGCGATGCACAGACCAACACCGTAGTGCGAAGAAACAGAGACCTCTCTCGAAATGCCGTATTCTCGCGCGACTGCAAGTGGTGGAGTGCTTCTGCTATTGACTTAAAGGTTTTGCTGTGCATGATGATACGCGCACCTTCTTTTGTCGTGCTGATTCGAGGAGCAACGGTGCTGTGTCGGTCGACCACCACCACATCGGCAGGAGTAGGGGCTCTTCGGTACGAATGCGAGTTTCGGGCGGATCTCGTTTGAACAATATCTCCGCTGAAGTCGTGACTCTCGCTGGAGGAGACCTCGCCAGCGCTCCGGTTCATAACCCCCCTCCCTTCCCACCTGATGTTTATCGGAAGGCCAGCCAAGACCCCGTCAAGCCACTAGTTAGCGCGATGTGAGATGGAAGCGTGACCACGCAACCGCTGTTAGAGAAAGCGCAAGAAGCTTGAAGTCGGCTGTAGAGAGATGAAAAGTGAGGAGGGGGCTGCTGTGTTACTGGTTGCTGAGCAAATTGAAGAATGAGAGACGCTCAGACGCGAACCAGCCGCCGCTGTAGATAGAGGGGAAGATAGTTTCATATCGATGCAGCAATCATGAGTTTCATATGTTAGTTACATAACCACTCTAGAATACATGTCAGAAATTACGGTTTTTATTACCGGTTTAGTTAGTTACTTGCGAATGTAACGTTTAAATCAAGCGAAAAAAATAAAAACAATTCTTGAAACGAAATTGTAACCCCTACGCTCTAGGTACGATTTAGTCACTAAAGTGGGTCAAATCAAAAGGAAAGTCGCTCGAACCGTCCTCGAAGAAATCCTCAGCAGGATCATAGGCGTCGTCATCCTCGACACGGTGTGCAAGCCAAGTGTGCCAGTCAGGCATCTCGTAATCTTGATCACCTGTTTCCGATTCGGATGCATAGCCGGTACTGTCGTCATCGCTCCACATGAAATCACTGTCGTCGCCACGGTCGGTGTCGCTGTTGGCCTCTTCTTCATCGCCGCCATCTTCCGCTTCTTCAACGTCCGACTCGTCTCCTTCAGCATGGTCCGTGGCAGAACTATCCTCCATTTGCGGCACGTCCGAGTCCTCGCTGCTCTCGCTGCTCGTGTCCCCGAAGAGGTCCGCGATTGCCGTGCCGTAGGGTTGGGGCTGGCGAGGTTCATCTTGGTCTTCTTGGCCATCCTGGTCATCTTGGTTATCTTGTACATCTTGGTCATCTTGTGCAGATCGAGCTTGCCGTAATTCTCGAATTTCTGTTTCTTGAGCTGAAATTTCACGGTGTAGGTCGTTCATCACCTCGACTGCGTTTTCGTAGGACGTCCGCATGCGCTTGTAGGCAACGTAGAACTCGTCGCGCTCTCGGCGTAGTAGTTGGGATTTCATTGCAAATTGCAGAATGACAAAGTGTATTATGGTGCACACATGCTAGAAGTTTGTCCCAAAAACATGGGCTTTTGGTCGCCAGATATAAATGAGTCTAGCTGTTTCATGCACAGGTAGAGGCTTTCTTGCCAAAACCCATTCAAAACTAGTGGATACACTGAAGATATTATATTAGTCTTTCCTAAGCACGTGTGCCGTTTCGTGACCAAACCCATTCAACACTAGTGGATACACTGAAGATGTCATAGTAGTCTTTCTTAAGCACGTGTACGGTTTCCTGACAGTATATACGCCTGTCAGGAAACATCACAATTTTTGTTGTTGTTGTTGGCTGGCAACGACAGCCTCAGTAACGATTAGGATAATTCAAAACTTAGAAGAGCTCAACTTTTTGCGGGAGTACTTGTGGTATGCAATTCGCCCGGGTGGAATGCAATTCATCCATGTGGAATGCAATTCCTCCGGCTGGAATGCAATTAATCCTATTGGTATGGAAAACCTCTGAAAATGGCATGGAAATGCAAGGACTTGTGCACAGCTATCGGCGACCTGGGCGATGCCGCACTTGTTGATCTGTTTCTTAAGAAGTACTTGTCCCGGCTGAAAACCAAACGAGAGCTAGCCCCAACCATTGCCGTGCTTGTTCGAAAAATGAGCTGGGAAAATGTGGGCGCTGCAATCCTCGGGTACATCAAGCTGCTACCGTTCCGAGATGGACTGGGATTCGCGCTAGGGCTTGCAGAGATTTTATCGGACAATCCCGCAGCTCGTACCGCAGTGACAACATTTTTGATTGAGCAAGCGTCAGCATCCAGTTCGTCGCTTAAAGCGCTCGCGTTGTGCGATGATGTCGGACTGCTCTGGAAACTTGCCGTATCTTCTAGCAATCATCAGTTGTTTTACGACGTGGAAAAACTACTCAAAGGATTGAACGGAGTAGCTCTCGACCACATTGTCAAGATGCTTGCTAAGTGTACAGATGGGACTACTTTTCCGGAGCCCTACACAACTCTAGTTTGGCTCGCTACAAGACGTTGCGAATGGGTGACGAATGAAGTAGCTGAAATCGAGAAGCCATTCACATGGGAATTCCGTGACGCCAATTTCCCTGGTGCTGTCGAGCTTGCTAAATTCCTCGATAGCCCAGGCCGCTGTTACCGGATTGATGGGTTTAAGGGAATCGCAGAAGCTCGAGCTCGGGTCGAAACCCTCCTCAAAACGGTGAAAGCACCCCTTACGATTACAGCAAGCGGAAGAGGGCAAGATGCACATGTTGGAGTAACGAAAAATGGCGGCGAGTATGATTTCAGGAAGGAAAACTTGTCTTCATACCAAGAAGAGATCGATATGCTGAGGAAACTTGTGGTCTCGAGTAAGGAAAAGGCAACAGTGTCAAAAATGCAGAATGGCCTCACAGTAGAAAAAAAAGGGATGAAGTCGCTGTAAAACTCGAGTAGCTTGCCAATGAACTGGAGTTCATGCAATTCAAACTACTACAGTACATTTAGACCAAGTGCACAGGAAAAGCGAGAACATCCGAGCATCTGCAACAAGAAATAGGTGTTGTAGACCTCACGCTGATGGCGGCACATTGCCGTCACTTGCTGGCATGCCTTTGGCTTGCATTAAACTTCCAGAAGATCCCATGAAATCTTCACTCGTCCGTTCTCGTCGCTGTTTCGACCCTGATGGTTCATCGCTGGATGTTTCCGTTCGAGGCCGTTTATAACCACTGACTTCTACACCGGCAGAAGCAAGTGGGCAGATCTGAGCTAGGCGTGTTAGCTCTGCCGTCAATTCATCAAGTTCGTGCTTCGACGGGTGATGATGCTCGCGCGTCTTCGTGACAATCACAATGGCGTTCATCCCACTGCCGTGTGCTGTCATGATATATGACACACTTTGCTTCGTTTGAGACTGGTGATATGTGATAAACTTTTCCGCTCCCATGATGTCAGAGAACCCACTGATCACGAACGAGGCCTTTGGTCCACGAAGAAATGCCTCCACTCCTGCATGCCCAGGAAACTCAGCCTCGGGCATTTCCCAAGACTTCAGCCGTGACACTTCGTCTTGTAGCCATCGACGCCGTCTTGAGAGTAGTGAGGTTGAGACAGCACGTCCTTCGGGTGATGTGCTGGTGTCCACCGTTCGCGCGATCACCCCCACCACAGGACCAATTGCATCTGTTTCCATTCGCTGAAACAGACTTTCGATGACGGGGAATAAGCTCTTGTCTTTAAATCTTGTAGCCGCCTTCCACAACTGTCCAATCGATCGGGATGCAGCCAGCGCCAGGATAGGTATCTGCTGGGCCTTGGACACAGCAAGCAGTCTCATGGTACTAACGGCATCCTCGTCGCTCAAATACTCGGTCATCTCAAGCACAAATTCCATGGCTTCAAAGGGGGCCATTCGGTTAATGGCGTTGGTGATTGGCTCATGAACAGCAATCCAACCAAGCTTCTCCAAGAGTTCGCCCAGAAAGTCGGCAAGTAGCCCCTTCCTTTGGACGCGGTCGAAGTATCGAATGATAAACAGCCAGGCTAGCTCCACATCGCCTGTTGCCGTTATGGCCTTGCACAGATTGCGACAGAATTTCGTGTACTGGGAAACGATTGTGTCCGAGACGTCGTTATTTTCCTGCTGCTGGCCAGATGCCATATTCATAAATTCCCTCAGTTTGCGGTGCTAACGGGAACATCGGCTAGAACAGTCTCCAACGCAGCATTGTCTCCGATGAACTTAAGCACATTCTCCAGATTAACGGCGATTGGCCAGCTAACCAATGCATACGCTTCGTACTCAATTGACTGCCCGGCATCGGAAATGTTACAGCAAGCGTGCTCTCTCCATATTTCTCGTGGCGATACGTGATCTGGATTCAAGAAGTTGAGTTGTGACGTCCACTCCAAAGTCGAGTCTGCAGCATTATCACTATCCCAATCAGGCACGATGCCATCCTTCGCCGAGAGCCACACCGTTGCCTCAAACTTCTCCTTGATTCTCCACCACGTACCCACAGCACCATTTCGTTTTGCTTGAATGCGTGGATACGAGCGGTACATTGTACTACCATCACCACCGGGGTATCTTACTACGCTTGCAGTGTGCGTCAAGTTGGAGATATAAAACTTTAACCTCTTGTCATGAGGAACCAGATTGTTGGCTTTTAGCAGCGCTTGGAACCTAGCATGGTCAACACCAGCCAGATGCTCCTCCTGTCGAGCTTCAAACGCCTCAAAACCGCCGTAGTTGTTCTTCAGCAGGAGCGCAAAAGCCTCATTCGACCCACTAAACTCTGCAACAGCATCTTTCAGCATCTTTTGCACAAATCTCCTCGACCGATTTTCCACATCCGCCGTTTCATCCGGCGGTAAGCGTATCGAGTACACCAGAACTACTCGGTATCCACTCTTCACCTCGGTCACTTCATACTCCGTGCCCACCACATACACCGCATAGCTTGGCTTGAAAGCCGCAGTGCCCGTCGACTTCTCGAAATCAAATGCGTACTTCTTGGCCGCGTCTTCGTCGTCATATACCATCAGCTCCCCTCTCTCATGCAACGACGGCAGCTGCACCACCAGAGTCGCCACCACGTCCTCCTCCTCTACATGATCCACCCACTTGTCCAAGCGACTACCTGGTCCGAACACCATCAATTTGGACAGAATAACGTCTAGCAGCGCGTCCTGGAAGCCCAATTTCTCCCCCACCGACGCCCCGAGGTCCCCCATTTTGTGATTCCATTCCGGGTTCTTCATCCACACCTGGTCTGCCGGTACTGATCGACCTGCGTGCATCGATCAGAAGACACCGGGCGAAGCTCTCGGCCAATGGGAGGGGAATCACACCGGCGTCTCGTACTACCAGGCCAGGTAGAGCGGGGAGGTCGCAATCCGAGCCCCGAAACGCGTACAACCCGGAGTTGGCTTCCCCGATGCGACCCAACGCGTCGCTGATCTTCACACACGACGCTTCTCTGGGCGCATACTCGCTGTCGTCCGGGTCCAGGACGTCTCGGAAGGGCCAGTACGCTGCCACCAAGCCTTGCAACTCTTCCGTCATGTCAGGCAGATTCGATAATGACACACTAGGAGGTGGTTCCATTTTATCCTAGCGTCGTTTCTATTGGCTAGATCTTAGTGAAAAAACCGTGATTGGCTCAACCGACCAACTTCAACATGATTTGCATAGCCATGCAACAAAAAGTGTTTTCAGCCAATCTCTCACTCTTCAAAATCGGAGAGTAAACAGGAAGGACACCATGTCGTTCTACTACGGGCGACAGCTGCAGCGAAGGTGACAGTGAACGTTACGGCAGTGGGGAGAGCGAAGACGAAGAAGATGAAGAGGAAGAGCGCTGCCACTGGCCGTTCTACCATGTCGGGGCGCCGACCGCCGTGCTGGAACCCAGAGGCGATCTTCTCAAGAAGATGAGTCACTTGATGGTCAACGTGGCGGATCCAACCGAAGACCTCAACTCTTTTGGGGAGACAGCTGGGATGCTGCCTGGTCTGCCAGGCCTCAGTGTCAACGGCGTCGGCTGCGTTTCGCTGCCACTGAGAGAAGAGAACGCAGCCCGGTTGAAGGCGGTGGGGGCTGTGGTGAAGGACAATTTGTGGATGTTGAAGCCTGCTCAAGTGGAGATGAAGAACCACGAGTGGGGCCAAGGCATCCACAGTTTAAGCAAGTTGTGCGCGGAGAAGTTGGGGTTTACTGGCGTGGCCCTCGTGCCGGTGTTGACGATGCTACTGCTGTATGGGAAGGGAGGGAGTCTGAGCAGACAGCAGGCTAATGATTCAACGGGGAGGTGTGTGGTGTCGGTGTACACCGGAGGAGACCTCATTGTGAACGACCACTCTGGTGTGGAGGGCTTCCAGTATGTTTTGGGGAAAGAAGATGGCTCGGCGGAATTCAAACCGCAATTTGTGGTATATCCGACTGGTGCATACGTTGCCGTTGAAGAAGTGACGAGTGGATATGTATTGGTCGCAGCGTATTCGCTCTGCTTGCCGCCAGAGTTACCGTCTTTTAGCGGCAGAAGTACAAGCTGTCTGCAACAAGTTCAGCTGTCTGAAGTCATAACGAAGATCATAGCAGCGGAGGACTCGATGAAAGGCTGCGCGACGATCTCGAGTGAGAAAAGTTTAAACTCATCGAAGGCAGAGACAGTTGCTCTTGTTCTCGTTTAGTCCTGCGATGAGAAGGAGATCGAGATAAATGGAGTGGAGTGTCTAACGGACTTGGATCGTTCTCGTGTTCAGCTGCTGGTCGCTGCGAATGAGCTTCTGCCTCCCCGGAAACAATTGAAGTTTTATGTTGTTCGCCTCTGTTATCAGGGTGAAGATTATTAGCGTGGAGTGGAAGCAGGAGAGAGGACTTCATGGTTTGGAGTTCACGGGGAAAAAATTGGAGATACTTCGTTCAACTGGAGTACCAAAGTAAACTTTCTGAATTCTGACGACGAGACTCTAGGTGAGTTATGGAGCAGTGATGATTCGGGTCCATCTCGGGGATATAAGCGCTTTGCTGTGGTAGGATGGCCAGTTTGCTCCGACATCAAGAACAAGTTTTCCTGGATAGGTGAAGTTTCTGCCGCGAATGCGGTCTTGGCTGGTCAACCTGTTGATCTTTCAGATCTACAAGCTTTCCTTCAATGTGAGAGCGAACAGCACACAGAGAAGACTACAAATCCTCGCAGTTCATATGGATCTGAATACCCGTACGCTGTCGGATACAGGTATGCGTCGACTAACAGAAACCCTGAACTGTCTGCGGGGCGTCCCTTGTCTTTACAACTTTGTCAAGGCCTATGTAGAGCCGTTGCCGAGTCAAACGATGCCAGTCTTGTTGCCACGTTTTTCGGAACATGTTTTCCTCGTCTGAAGGAAAAGCGGGAGCTGGTTTCAAATACTGCCACTTTGGTGCGTGCTTTTGGGTGGGAATCGGTCGGGGTGTGTATTGAAAAAGCTGTCGATCAACTCTCTTGTGAGGAGGCGATGGGGTTTGCTTTGACATTGCTAGAACTGCTGAAAGACAACTCTTCCACTCAAACAGCGCTCACGATATTTGTAATCAAGAAGGCTAAAGTGTGGCACCACCAGCGCCAGTGAATTTGCGAGCTCGCAGGATATAGCAACAATCTGGAAACATGCCGCTGCGTGTGGAAGGCCACAAGCGCTGCATGACATCGCAGAGATTTTCCAGAAGATGGATGGTCAGCTGCTTCGACCTGTTGTAAGTGGGCTCTCCGAGCTGGTAAGCGGGGCTAGTCCGCATGGACAACGGTTCATTCTCGCAATGATCATTGGCCGGCGTCGCGAATGGCTGGCAGCTGAGATTGCGGATATTCAAAAGCCGTTTACGTGCCAAGTTGTGGATAGTAACTTTCCCAATGCTGCGGAGCTCATACAATTTTTGAAAGGACCAAATGCGTCGTGTGAGATCCGGGGCTTCAAAGCATTGTTGAAGCCCGAAGTCGCGTGGCTCTCCTCCAAGCCAAGATAAAGCCATGCCTCAGTATGACCTCAGAAGGACGAGGGGTCCACGCGTTTGTTCGAATCACGAAGACCAGTGGTATGTTCGATCCAAGACGAGGGAAACTACCAGAGTACAATGCGGAGCATTGTCAACTAAACCAGCTGATGGCTTTAGTCGTGCCGGCCATCAAACCCGCTACTGTCCTGAATGCCAAGACAGACATCACTACTGGCAGAGCAACACCTTTGGTCAGAAAACCCTCGGCTGATTCCAGTGAAGTGACTAACAGTGCATGTGGAGGCAATAAGAGAACGATTGCTCCCCGTTCTCGAGTGGATGATACCGTGTGCGTCGATTCAAGTCATATCAACGTACAGAACTCTGGCCTTGAGGACGCTATCGCTACGGCAAGTACAGGTCAAACAAGTAGCTCAAGCGTGCCCCACCACAGTAGCAGCAGTGACAGCAGTGTTAGTTGTCGCCATGCGTGTGAATTGGGCAGTGCTACACGAATGACAAGTGACTCTGGGTCTACAAGGCTGTAGTCACAAGGTAGCAGCGCCTAACCTGTTGGTGCCAACGCTCATACAAGTAATGAGAACAACCACGATGAATCGTCTGCACGTTCAACCAGTGAAAATGAAGTGGCGGGTAGTTCATCATCCTGTATCTACCCATACCAATTTCCCCGAAAGCGAGGATCATCCAGTCGAGCACCGCCGGCACTGTACAGGCTAGTGATCGTGCCACCACTCGCTCATCAACAAGTGCTGTCGCGCAAGTAAAGCAAAACGAGCCTGCTCTAGTTGGAAATCCTGCCTCTGGAACCAAACATGAAGAAACCGGTGGGAAAGTTGCTCAAGAAGGATTCCGCAGTCCCAGAGGCGATAACGCAGTTCGGAGTGGTCGCCTCTCAAACTTTGACAAGTCTCCCAGCATTGGTGGTGGTGACCTCAGGAATCCGGCTGTTGTTCTTCGCCCGACGACACGTGCAGAGTTGCCAGCAGAACATCCTGATACCAACGCTGAAAACCGCCACAATAATGCCTCAACGCTGAGTGCCCGCTTCCGAGGGCTAACAACAATCGGCAAGAAGAGGCTGCGAGAAGATGACCCGACAGCAGCTACCGGCTAAGCATTTACTCCGAAGTATTTTTCTGGGGTCAGCGAACACTTTCATCAAGCAAGAAGCAGTCAGGTCCAAAAAGGAAAAAAATAATGCTAGCAGATCAATTGACGAAAGCGTGTTCGTGTGAGAAGTGATCGCCCTTCGTTGATATACATCTACTGTAGGAGAAATGCGAAAGATTAATGAGCACACGTGCTTGTGCGTTGACTACATAAGTGGATCCGCTGGAGCCAAGTTGGTGTAATTATTATGGAGTCATCTAAAAGTTCATATATTTCTGTTGTCGCCCCGTGGTCAGCAAACGCCGTAGATCAAGCTTAATCTTTACAAACATTGTTGTGCCCCTGACGTGGCGATCAGCCCAGAATACAACCACTGGGACATAAAGCCGAGTTGATCTGTCTTGTGGCACGCCATTTGAAAGCGGCTTTCCGCTCCAAAGTCACTTAGGCAATGGATCAGGTCGCAACTTTTCTGATGGATGCACAGAACTGTTCTTACTGAAGTACTAGATTAATGATCAAGACGCATGGCCACCGAATACACCGGATGCAAAAAGGCTGGTTTTGCATTCTTTAGGGGTGCGTGGCGTGAAGTGAATTCCACGTCTATTATTTTTATAGAAAATAACTCACTGTTGATGTCGCTTTTTCAGGAGACTCCATCTGAATTGATGAACATTGATGCCTGCAGGCCTAATGAGGCAAATTGGAAGAAAAAAAACGAAGCTAAGCCTAGCACATTTTGGTCACGATATTAGGCTCATACCGCCTACAGTTTTTTTATATTCAGTTTTGCAGCCACGTAGAAGAGTGCAAGAGCAGAATAGCGGGATCAGTGCAGTAGAGCTATCGCACGGCTCTATTGGCCATTATTTGATGTCTCCTCGCCCTAGTCAGTTCGTAATGCTTCATTACGATAGAAAATCTGCGACGCGCGCAATTGCAAGGCCTCTCATTGCCTAATATGTTTTGTACAACGAAACCCTACAACGAAACGCAACTTCAATCCTCAATCTTCCAGCAAGAGCGTCAACCGAATGGTGAAGCACCGCCACCTCAGCTCGAACGCGGGGCTCACAGGCCTCGAGCGAGAAGCTGAACACCTCGGACATCTCAGCGCCGCGCTCGCCGCCAACTGGGGCAGCTACGCGGGTCAGTTCAGCCAGCTCTACGGCGTTCCAAGCGCTGCCGCCGTCTCCGCTCCCAACGCCAGCGCTAGTCCGGCGTATTCGTGGCCCTTTTACGATATCGGAGGCCCAGACGACGTCCTCGCGCCCAAGGGGGAGGTCTGCCAACGCATCAGCGCGTTGCTGGGTCAAGTGACACACCAGGCGGGGGAATATTCTTTCGGAGGGGAAGCCAAGACGCTGCCGGTCATGCCTGGGGCTGCTGTGAAGGGACAGGATGATTTTATTGCACTGCCGCTGCAGCGAGACAATTGTGAGAGTTTACTGAAGTGTTGCCAGAAGGAGACTGAGACGGTGTGGGTGTTGCCGGGTGAGCAGGTGGAGATGAGGAACCCGGAGTGGCAGGCAGGGCTGGAGGACTTGGTGGACATTTCGGCTACGAGGATGGGGTACAATGGGGTTGTGATGGAGATTGTGCTGACCAAGTTGATGGTGATTAAGTGTGGAGGAAGTTTGCAGCTGGAGCAAGATCCGGACGAAAATGACCGGTGTATTGCAAAACTGGTGGTGCAGTTACCGTCGAGGTGTACTGGTAGAGACTTGGTGGTGCATGAAGAAGGGACGAAGAATCAGTTTCGATACACGCTGGGAAAGAACAAGGGGATGACAGCTTTCAAGCCACATTATGCGCTGTATACTGCTGGCGCCTTTCGTACGGTGGAAGAGATGACGAGTGAATTCAGTTTGATGTTGGTGTACTCGCTGTGCTTGCCCCCGGAGCTGCCGTTTATTCGGGGAAATAACGGTTTTGATTTGCTGCGGATGGAGCTAGCGGTGTCCATTACAAAGCTGCACGATGATTTAGGACTCATGGCAGTCAAGGACGAATGTATGGCGGTTAGAACGGTTCTGAACGACAACATCGACGACTGGAATTCAAGAATTGCGCTCATTTTGTCGAGAGGTTTTCAGTTGCAGGACTTCTCGGCCGATAGTACGGGCGACCAGCCAAACGCGGATCGAGATCGGATTGCCTGCTTGACTGCGGCTAATGCCATTGCGCCGCCGGAAAGCAGCTGAGGCTTTATGTCGCTCGTCTTCAGTACGGAATGCTTGGATCGTTTGGGATATGGGACCAGAAAAAAGCCGTGGAAAGCGCCACGTGGTATACGATTCGAGGGGAACCCCTTGGTGATAGCATTTCAACTCCGGTGAATTGGACCACAGACTTGCACTTCCTGAACCCTGGGAATGAAACCTTGAGCCAGCTTTGGAGCAACAGAGAGGGAGAGTTTGTCTACAGATACGAGCGTTTTGCTGTTGTTGGATGGCCGAAGGTTGTCGACATCAAGAATACGCACGTTTTCATGGGAGAAATGGCCGCTGCCAACTCTGTGTTCATGGACGCCCCTGTCCAATTGGCCCGCCTTCGAATGCTTTTACGATATCAGGCCAATCAATATAACCAAACGGGTGCAGGGATACCGACAGTCAGTGCGATCAACGCCTCCACGAACGATTTGTACGGGTGCGCGGCTCAAGATTTTGGAAATCAAGCTACCAACCGAAGTGTCCAAACGGCAATCAAAACTCCAGTATCTTTGGCGGCCTGTCAAAATCTCTACAAGGCAATTTCCGAGTCCAACGAAGTGTTGCTGGTGGATGTGTTTTTCCGGAAATATTTTGCTCGTCTTGGGCAAAAGCGAGAGCTGGTCCCGTTCCTTGCTTCTATCGTGCGCAAGTTTGGTTGGGAAGGCGTAAGCGCGCCAATTGTGCGAGCGTTCGACAGCATGTCGTCCTCAGGGTGCTTGGCGCTGGCTTTGCTGCTCGCAGATGCACTCATCGACGTCTCTTCCGTAAGAACAGCTCCTACAATCACTGCCGTTCAAAAAGCAGGCTTTGCGTTTGGGACGAGTCCAGGGGAACTCATGGCTTCAAGTGACGTGGGCTTACTGTGGAAGCATGCCATGGCATGCACAAGTCCGCAGGTGTTTCGTGATGTTGGGAACATATTCGCGTGGTTGGAAGCGAAGATGATCGGTCCTGCAGTGGAAGCTCTTTCCAAATGCGTCGGTGCATCCAGCTTACCGGAACATCGTGCGGTGCTTGCTACCATGGCTTCGCAACGTCGTCAATGGTTGATGGATCAGGATGCGCAGACAGAGAAACCATTCGCGTGGGAGATTGTCGACATGAACTTCGTCGGTGCAGCTGGAATGGCAACATTTCTCGATGGCCCCAACACCTCGTACCAGGTGCGTTGCTTCCAGGGTCTTGATGAGGCACATCGTCGAATGGCGCTCCTGCAGGCGAAGATCAGAGCACCGCTCAAGATGATCGTAGGTGGCCGAGGGCGAGATGCGTATGTTCTTGTCACCAAGCAAGCCGGCAAGTTTACCCAGAGAAGCCAAGACCTGCACAAATTTAAGGCTGAAATCCACCAGCTCAACCGCTTGCTGGCTGTTGATTCTAGGGGAACTGGTACCTCGGTCAGCTCGGCCAACAGTATCCATACTGGCACAGCCTGCGAAAACACTAACATCAATACGGCTGGCCCCAACAATGGCGGGCATGTGGTGGATTCCACTGCAGCAGAGGCTACTTCATGCTCCGTAGGAACCAAAAGACCGCGCGAAGAACCTGAAGTGATTGTTATCGAGTCAGTAAGGTATGTGCGCGTCTACCGTAACCTAAAATGTCATAGCTCGACGAAACTCGGTATGATCGCAGTTAACCTGTATTGGTGACCCGGGTGGTGAACCCAGGGGGTTTCGCAGTTAGCAGCTACATGAAGCATTTGAGGTAATGAAGGTAAATGTACGCCGAAATAGTTCTAGATGAGGTTTGCCCAGTAGACAGCCTGTATTCGAAGAAAAATAAACCAAATCAACCTGTACTAGATAAACGTAGATTAAAATTGCGACGCTTGCTTACATCGCCAGATATCTCGTAGCCAAGGAAGTACTTAAAGTAGAACCAAGAGCAGACTCCGTGCGCGCAATTGCCCGTTAACCCCAGTGAAATTTATCCTACGAAAAAGGATCAAATCCTTTGTTGATGTGGCATACACAGGCCGTTTTATCCTAGCGAGGCCGCCGTAGGATAAAAAATGACTTGGCGTTTGTATCGGAGGCGTCTCCCATCTTATCGGTCGTGTCGCATTTGACAAAACCACCTTTCGAAGCATAAAATTGTAGAGGTATTCAGACCAATACTCAGCTCAAGGCTAAATGCGGTTTTTATCCTAGCAGATAGGATAAATCTGGATGTTTGATAAGCTGTTAGAGACACTTTTCATGCGGCAATTTCGCAATGATGGACAATGAGAGACATCAAGTGGACACTAGTATCTTGTAGAGGAAGGAAAAGGCTTTGTGTGTGTGTGTGGCTTCAGATACTCGTATTTCCCAGCAGTCGTTTCTGTAAAAAGCGCTAAACTTTTGATCCTTTCTTTTATCCTACGGCCAGGCTCACTGGGGTTAAGATTATCAATATTGTGGTATTCACAGGCATCCCCTGCGCCTGCTTCGCAGCCGCAGCATCTACTGTGTAAGATGATGTGTAGGAGGTAGATATTGGAAGTCTTCTTTAGTTTTGTACCTGTATTAGACCGCTATTATGGATGCATGTCGCTGAGACTACCTGCCATCGTGACGAACAGCAATAAATCGACGAATTTGTAGCGCTGATCTCGCCAGTAGTGAAATTTACAGCTCGAACACGCTGCATCTGCTTCAAACGCACAAGTCGGGGAGTACATACCTGGTAAGGTGATGTCGGTTTGTCTGTTGCAAGCTCACGGTCAGACCTAACAAAGATTTTTGCTTGGTGGGGTAGTTTGAACCTATAAAATGCTACAAAACTCGATGTACATCAAGCCTTGATCAATCATTCAGAAATTATTCAAAAACAAAAGATGTCTTAAAAATCTCGATCTAAACGAAGCGCAGTTGACTAAGAGGCCGTAACTTCTGCCAGCGTATCGGCTAGCTGCCATTTTTTAGCTAGTTTACGCTTGATAAATGCATATGCTAAAGCTCTACTTGCCGCTGTGTATGGGTTATAAGGCGTTTCAGAAGGAATCATCATAAATACGGATACACCGTATACAGACAACATGGTATCCTCTCAATCCCAAGATAGTTTTGTTTTTGCCTAAAAGGGGTTCGACAGAATAGCAACAGTAGCAAACAAGCTACCTTGGCTGGCACAACTTTAATATTTGTCGTGGAAGTCTTGTTGGGTACTCACATGCCAATCCACAAAGACTCGTTCCAATGAGTGTGCAGGAATTCACCTTGCCGAGATCCTCTTCCAGGATAAATTTACATGACCAATTAATCGGTTTCAGTCTCGTAGACAACCGGCTCATAGAACTATGCATGTGGAAGTCAATCGATCACCAGTCAGTACATTTGCAATATGCAATATCATCTTTTAGTGTGTCTGAAAGAGGAGGTCATACATGTAACCAGAGTGTACCAGTACAATAGTAAACAGTACTTTGATAGTACTTTAGTAGAAGTACTATTACTATAGTACTAAGTACATTTGTCCGGGACTGTTCAAAGTACTTAGTACTAAATATCTAAGCGCAAAAGTACTTTTGATTGTACTACCAGCAGGCGATAGACGATGCATGTTGGCCTGACAAAGTATGCTTCTACGATACATCGTAGAGTGCATAGTGTTTTATTAGAGGGCAACGTTTGCCGGTTAGAGTGGTGGGTGTTTGGTTCATTCGGTTGAATTTGCATGTACATCTCGACCACCATGGTTTCTTCAGTCGTGGTGCAAATCTAGCTTTAAACAGGTTAGTTCATGTAATGAGGAAGAGTATGATTCCGACAAGAGAGAACAGGAGATGATGTAACCATTCGATCGGATCGATAGTATCAAAGCCAATGGGGTCAGTAACGAAGTACAATGTTAAGTGCTCTGAACATATTACAAGTACGGCGTAGTGCTGTGATAATGTCCGTATAGTTTATTGGAAGCTATGATTAGGTCACGATCAGCATCATCAGGACGTGTGGCCAACATTGAACTCAACGTTGTAGATCCTACAGTAGTTGTCAGTAGCCAGCTATACGATGCATGCTACTACAACAAGGTGAACCGGGCTGCATTTCTGCATTTTTTCGACAAAAAATGTGTATCTCGATGGAGTCTACTTTCTCGGGTTGCATACGATCTTGCCCTTCAGCGCGGTTAACACCTGGCGATTCTAACGTATAAGCTTATGTAAAAATTTGAAAATACTGTGACACGACATAAAATACGCGTCAACTGTCATAAAACTATGAAGTACAAAACAGCACTCATATTGGCGGGCGCGGTTTTTTTTCATTCTTTTAGCGGCTACTTTCCATTTATGGTCAAAAAGTTTGTTTTTCATTTATTATTGGCTAGTTTTCATTTCGATGGTGTTATTGCATTCACAAGGGTTATATTGCATTTATTGAAAAATGGCAAATGTCCGGGTTACTCGGTCCCTAGTTCGTAGCACCCGAAGTGCTCACTACTTATGGTGTTGATCTCCTCCAGGGACCACAACGGAGAGTTCCAGTCGTGCTCATACGGAAGTCGATCCAACACCGTCACCTTGTGCAGTGAGAGGTATCGAAGCTGGACATTCTCCACAATTTCATCATCCTTGAGGGATCCGCTGAGCGAGCTCTCATAGGTCTTTGTTCGGCTCGCGTTCACCTTCAATCCATGCACATTGTCGTCCCGGACGATGTAGTATCTCTGGTTGAAGTAATACGTCTGGATGTTGCGGATTGCTCTGCATTTGTGAGTCGGGAAATGGTTGTCGTCGTTGCAGAGGAGTACACCAGCTTCTAGAACCTCTGCGGAAACGGGTCCAGCGGCAAAGTGCTGGATAGACTCCGACCCGATTTCCATCGCGCACTCGACCAGGATTTTCGGTAGAGTCGACGCAAGCACATGCCCTGTTGAAGCCCGCAACTGATTCACTGTAGTAGTCTTGATGCTGTGGTGGTGCGATTCAATCGGATTCTGGTTCGGAATAATTCCTGGAACGTCGCTGGCCGTATAGAACCACGGGTGCCACGGCTCTGTAAGATATTCCGTGTCTAGCCACGCCGCATACTCGCCTTCACCAAACTCGTCCCAATTCTGAGTAATGAGTGCGGAAAGCGCCTCGAATTGCTGCTTCGAGCGCGATTGACTCAAATAATCGAGCTGGGGCTTGATGATGTTGTTGTAGCGGTCGCACTCTGCAAGCAACGCTTTCTTCTTTCTAGCATTCCGGTCGAGATGGGGCCAACAGTCGAGAAGCTTGATCTCCGACCAGACTGTCTGGAAAGTGTTCGCATTTGAAGTGGAGTGGTCCAATGACCCAAACTGTAGGTCCAGTGTCACGCCGAAACATTCTTGGCACCGTTGCTTGCATACGGAAAACAGCTTCGTATACGCAAAGGCGGTCTCCGTCCTGACGAACATGAATGCCATCGGGTAAAACTTCTGTTGATACGCGTGCGAAGCGGTGTAACGAAGTCCAAATGTGCCAAAAGACACAAGCGTCCAACCACCGAAGTGAAGCTTGTATGTTCCATCTGTGACCCCGAGCATCTCGCCATTTTGACCTGCCACTGTTCGGGGAGCTGTTCGAAAAAGCCTTCGCGAAGTGAAGATGATTCCGACCGAGGTGTCACCACTCGGTGAAGCAGTACAGCACTATGAGCTCATTTTGAAACTCAAAGTGTTAGCGATCGATGCGCCTAGCGTCCCGCTCGCGATTGTAGCGCATATGACCAAAAAATGCTGCTGGGGTTGTGCAGAGTCTTGGCGTCGCCCAAACCGTGACATCAGCGTAGGTGGTAATGTCGAAATCCCCCCGTCTTCGCAGTCGGTGTGCTCTGTTTTTGACTTGAGAAGCTGATGGCAGCAAGGTGGGAACTTCTTCGGAGTGATCGTACTTCATGCGTAGGGTGATCAAACACGTTTTGGGACCTTGGCCTCCCAGCAGCAACCGTCGATCTCCGGAAGTAATGACTTGTGAATCCCCGTCCGCTGCGTCTCAATCGGTGCCACAACTGCCGTATGCATACAACTACGCGACAACCGAAACTTGCCGTCGGGATCAAGAGTGATACGTGTCTCAGCTGTGCAATCAACATGAGAAGTACACCAGAGACGTTTGGTCACACTGTTGTTGTTTGACAGCGCGAATCTTGCGTTCTCGAGCCTCGGCTAGAGACTCAAAGCGTACTGGGTGTTCGAGCGTCCCATCAATAGCTGGGCTTTGTCGTTCTGTTGGGGCGGCCTTCTCGCTTTCTGAAATCTCCGACGACAGGTCTTGGTTCGAATCGTCTGGGTCCGAATTATTGTCGCTGCCTTCGTACTGGTCCTCCTCGCTGCTGTCATCGTGCGATGAAGGTGCATCCAAGTCTGGACCACCGGGGCTAGCTGCGGTCGTGTTGGTCTCTTCACCGGCGAGTTGCTCGGGAACGACGACGTGTTACGACTCCCGTAAAATTTCAGACAATCCGATTTGGCAGGGGACTTAGTCGGAATCGAACAGGTCGTCGTCACGGTCTCCGTAGGTCTCGACAAACTCAGGAGTTCGTGGAGAGCGCCTCTCAGGCGACTGTTGTTGTGGCGGAGGCGTTGGGGCTGGATCGCGCTCAATGCCGTAGCGAGCGAGCCGGTGCATGGATTGCTCCATCGCCTCGATTTCTTCGTCGAGGCGTCGCAGACGAGCGATCAGCCGGACTCGGGCGCGCTCTCGGCCTTTTAGGCATCGCGCGAGAGCGTCCATGTGCGCCTCGCTGTCTTCATCATCGTTGTGGAAGCGGCGTCGAGGTTCGCGTGGCATGGCAAATTGCTTTGTGCCATGCCAGACAAACCTCGCAAGGTAAGCTTCACACCTAGGTGCAAAATATGTGATAGCGGCTTCTGTACTTAAATCACCTAGATAATATATATGATAACGACATCTGTACTTAAACCTGCCGCGAACCTTGTCCGAACCTTTAAAGACCAGAAATGCTATAAATGACGCTAGGTTAAAGTTCCAGAAACTTGCTTTGATGCTGCCCTTCTAATTGTTACATGCAATGCATGTAACAGCCATTTCGAATGTAAAGAATGAAATAAATCCATCGGAAATGCAATGTAGCTGTCGAGAATGCAATGTATCCCCGCTAAATGGAAAGTAGCCGGTGAGAGAATGAAAAGTTTTTTTCCCATATTGGCTGACGAATTTCTTGTTGTTTATTGCACGACGTGTCTACCAGACTTCGTCTTGCCGAATACATTCGTCGTAGTCTGTAGAACCCGCGCGTTCATGTCTAAACTGGAAAACCTGGTTTACATTAAAAACAAACTATGGCTAAGCCGACCAAGCAAGTGCCCAATGAAGGCCCAATTTTTAAGTTAAGCTTCGGTTCTGCGAGCAAGCCCAGAAAGGGAATGAATCAAGTAATCGTCGATTCAGGCCACTTTAGAAACTTTAGTGTCGAAAACTGGTCCAAACCATCTTCGAGGTCTAGTATAAATTGGAGACGTTATAATACCAGTAAGGCGATCTATTACGCATACTTTCATGTTTTTTAAGTGTGTATGATAATGGTCAGCAAGTGGCGAAGCGTGGTTTTCTACGCGCGTGGCTACCCCATTTGAACTTCTGAAAGTCTTTCACCCCCAGCTTGGCGGAACGGCACACTGCACATCTATCTATCTATCTATCTATCTATCTATCTATCTATCTATCTATCTATCTATCTATCTATCTATCTATCTATCTATCTATCTATCTATCTATCTATCTATCTATCTATCTATCTATCTATCTATCTATCTATCTATCTATCTATCTATCTATCTATCTATCTATCTATCTATCTATCTATCTATCTATCTATCTATCTATCTATCTATCTATCTATCTATCTATCTATCTATCTATCTATCTATCTATCTATCTATCTATCTATCTATCTATCTATCTATCTATCTATCTATCTATCTATCTATCTATCTATCTATCTATCTATCTATCTATCTATCTATCTATCTATCTATCTATCTATCTATCTATCTATCTATCTATCTATCTATCTATCTATCTATCTATCTATCTATCTATCTATCTATCTATCTATCTATCTATCTATCTATCTATCTATCTATCTATCTATCTATCTATCTATCTATCTATCTATCTATCTATCTATCTATCTATCTATCTATCTATCTATCTATCTATCTATCTATCTATCTATCTATCTATCTATCTATCTATCTATCTATCTATCTATCTATCTATCTATCTATCCATCTATCTATCTATCTATCTATCTATCTATCTATCTATCTATCTATCTATCTATCTATCTATCTATCTATCTATCTATCTATCTATCTATCTATCTATCTATCTATCTATCTATCTATCTATCTATCTATCTATCTATCTATCTATCTATCTATCTATCTATCTATCTATCTATCTATCTATCTATCTATCTATCTATCTATCTATCTATCTATCTATCTATCTATCTATCTATCTATCTATCTATCTATCTATCTATCTATCTATCTATCTATCTATCTATCTATCTATCTATCTATCTATCTATCTATCTATCTATCTATCTATCTATCTATCTATCTATCTATCTATCTATCTATCTATCTATCTATCAATCCGAGCGCTGAATTGATTGAGGAAGATCAACGGCTTCATGTGGCATGAATGTCGCTCGATGCATCCGCTAGGCGGGGAAGCTACGGATGTAGCGTGAATGTCGTTCGATGTCATCCAAAACCTTCCCCAATCGACAGTTCTTCGAACTGCGAACTAACCGACTTACAGTCAACCGTTGGCATCAGGCCTCCGAAAATACAGTTGCAGTAGCATCATTAGCTGTTTCGACAATAAATTATTCCGCGGAGATCCTGAGGTCAGCCAAATAAATTATTCAGTATATTGCGAAAATTGCAATACACGATGGCAACCTGCATTACGTAGTTAAGGTTCTACAAACTTCAGAATTTACAACCTTGCATTCTAACCAGTGCTTTGTGGTATCTCGAAATGCAGCGGGGACTGAGAAAACGCAACAAATACCCATTAACACGGGTCATCTCTTGCGATCAGGCGAGATTTCGGAGGATGCCTCTGAGTCGAGTATCGATGCACAGCCTATTTGGTTTTATGGGTAGGTGCATATGAATGCTTACTACCCCTGAGTAGGAGTGAATAAGTCTGTAACATCGTCATCTAGCTTGGGATCGATTCGTGCCGTTTTGACCACTGTCATCATAGATGGCAAACATACGCCTGATTCACCGCTCAATTTCAAGGTGCTCGTGCCAAAGCAATACTTCAAAAACGTCCATATATGTAGAAGAAGGTAAGTTTTTCGCGATACAGTGCTACTTGCACGCTGAAACACGTCCTAGCGCTCAGAAGGCTGGTTCACAAAGGCAACTAGATGTTGTTCCTGTTGAAGGCAACCTGTACATAATCGAGCTTTGTCGAGTTATCGTCCTGTTGTAACAAAAACAACTCGACAGCGAGGGTTACACCAGGGTTACCCCTCAAGTGAATTAAAAAAAGGCTACCATGCCGCCCTGAAAGGGTGGATGGGTACGTCGACGGGGGACTTTCTAACTCTTCATACCAGGATGGAGCCCTGGTGGCACCAATCCATAGACAAACATTGGGTCAACGTCTCCAACGCGGAGGTGTACGTACCAAGGAGGCTTCGCGCGACGATCTTTGCTGGGGTCGTCAAAGTTATTGATCGAAATGCGTCGCATCGGTGTCTAGAAACTCTACAACATGGCGCGGAGCTACTACGGCCATGCACAGGTTCTTATCAGCGGACGTTGGGACTGCCATGCACCCACGTCCTCCACCAAAAAATGTTCGGGCGTGTTCCGCTGCAGCCGTCGGATTTCCACCCGCATTGGTGGATCCATCGTAACCAAGCTCCACGTGAGCTACCGCTGTGCGTGCTAGAGCCCGAGCGTATTCAAGATCGTAGAGCTCAACGTGCAGCGGAGTGCCGGGCTCAACGGCATATGGCAGGAGCCGGACCGAGGGAAACACGTCGAATTCCCTCTGCTTTTGAAAATTATGTGTATATAAGTTTATCATAGCTAGATCATACCATCGTTAGCGCAAACTATCCCTTCAATTGTATGTGGACTCAGCTTAATGGTGTAGATCGTTGATTTAATGAGGCGGATCGATGATTTTGTAACGCTGATCGATGATCTAATGATGCCGATCGATGATCTCCATGAGGCGGATCGTTGATCTAATGAGACGGATCGTTGATCTAATGAGACGGGTAGTTGATCTAATGAGTCGGATCGATGATTGGATGCTGTGAATCGATGCGCTAATGACAAGGATCGATGCCACGATGATGCCGATCGATGTGTGCATGGGTCGGATCGATGATATAATGTTGTGTATAGATTCCGGCCGGCAGTTATGGAAGTGAGATGACTACACAGTCATATCCTTCATCTAACTTCTTTATCTCGAGCTTTATTGTCTTCTCTACATGGGTGACCCTCGTAGCTGCCAGCTCGGCTCTTTATACTTTGCTATAATATACTGCATACAAATGCCTATATATTGTGGCGTAACCGGATCGATGATTTTATAATGCAGATCGATGGTGTAATGATACTGATCGATGATTTTGTAATGCGGATCGATGACGGCATGATACGGATCGATGGTTTTCTATTACGGATCCATGATTTCCCACCTAAAATGTAAGTTAATATATTCTTCACAGTATGTATCAATAACATATGTTATGTATTAACGTTGTTTACTCGTCTTTTTCTTCTTGTTCGCCATCCCCCGTGCCCCCAGCACTTGTGTGGGTATAGTACGTGTTCTTCTTGCCGAAGTGAGAGTCACAAACCTCGCAGTAGGCTCCCTTGTCGCTATTCCGCTTTCTCTTACCAGCAATTGCAGGCTTCTAGGGGCGCTGCAAAACCGTGTGTGGTTATTCATGTCCCGCTTATCGACACATTGTTTAGAACAGTGAATGCAGCGGTAAACAGCCCACACCACACGCTCCACAACGCCCTCATCGTGGTAGACACCGTTAATGAGACCTTGGATTCTAATGTTCCCATCCTTGTACGGGGCGTCAGCGTGGGGAAGGTCGCCTCGGTAGACGACAACATCCCCCAGGGACAGATCCTCAAGTGCAGTACACTTCCCGCTTAGCGCTGCCCCCGCAAACGCCTCAGGAACGATTATGAGCTTCGTTTCGGGCTCTAGAACAAGCAGCAGGGATGCCTGGACCCGCTTGATCGTCGCGTCAATAGTTTCCGCAGACTGAAAATCGCGATGCAACTGCTCGCCCCGAGCTTTTGGTGGACTGCACCACGGAGATACGTTCCGACACACTCCACAACTTGTGCACGTTCGAGGCTAACGTCACAAAGCGCTCAAACACCAATCGAAAAGCGTCAGGAGCGCTGTCCTGGATACCAATTTCTGCTACACGGCGGGCTGGTTTTCGGATGTCTCGTAGCCATTTCGTCTCGCTCATGCTCACTATTGCGCTCAACAACAACTTAACTTGGTCTTGGTCTATGAACCCACGCAAACTAGCATAACCATTATTCCAAAATATAGCCATCTCATTAATAGACCAAGGTCGAGTGATATCAACAGCGTGCTCGCTATTGGCTTCACTTGGCGTGGCGGCGACTCCTTCGGGGTGTCGGTCGGGCCTTGACCGTCGGGATGGACACACGTGTGCCCGTTCAATGTGCTGCAGTTGCTAGCAACCTCTTCTCGGACACTACCAGCACCGTCTGTGCCCTCACATGGAGTCGCCGCCGCATTTGATGGTGGATCCTGTGTTGAGATGGCCAAGGCCCCGGCCGGAGCAATGCTAGCGACAGACGATGGCACACGGACAGTCTGTACTCCGGCGGGGCCTTGCTTTCGTTGAGCCTTGCCAGCCTTCAAGCCGCCACGGCCAGCCTTGGCTCCAACTAGGCCTTTGTCCCTACGACCGCGTGCTGCCGTCGAGTGTGAGGGCGTCAAGTGCGAGGGCGTCGAAGGCGAGGACACCGAGGGCAAGGACGCCGAGGGCACGTCCACCGAGTGCGTGTCCTCTGCCGAGTGCAAGTGAGAGGGACTTGAAGCCGCAGCCTGCTTCATGGCTGCAGGCGAAGCCGGATTGGCTGAGCGTGGTGGTGGGTCCCGTTGTTTGCTTGCGCGGGGGATGCTTCGGCCAGGAGTTCTAGCCGCGTTGCGGGTAGGAGAATCGGCAGCGTTGCTTGACTTGCGCGGGGCGGCTCATGCTCGGCGGGGTGGGGAGGGAGGAGGTGGAATAAGGTTTCTATTAGATGATCTGCGAGAGGCTCTGTGAGCGACCTTCACGGCCGTCGAGCCGATTGTACCAACTTTCGTCAGATCCGATGTGCGTCTGTATTTTGCAGATGAGAGTGCCTGCTCATCTACCACATGATTTGTCAGACTTGTTTTTTGTATGCACGCCCGCTGCGGATAGCAGGCCCCTGCTGCCGATATCACCTCCCTTTTCAAGTCAGTCTTCATGTGTCTTGTTCAACAAAAGGATGCTGTCGGGTTGCTCGGACGTGCAGTACGCGAAATGGTGTGCAGTTGTCCGAACATGTATAAAAGGTGTCAAGTATTGTGCTTTGCAAACGTTTTGTCGTTTTGACTTGGAGCCCTCCTCGATTTATAATAACTCGATTTCGATTTAATAAAACGAGGTCAAAGAAAGGGACAGATCGATATATTTAAGCCGGCCAACAACTTGAGCTACGACAAGCCAAATCAGGGCTCGAGGTCGATATCCTTGTGAATTTGAGCAGAACGAGGTCGATCTACGGCAAATCGATTCCGTTTGCATTTTCAAAAGCGCTATTCGAGCCGATCTAAAAAAAATCGAGGTCGTCCGTGCTACCGCCTCTGTTTTCTGCCCTGATTTGAGGACCGGCCTTTCATGATCTAGGCCATAAAACGCGGTGAAATTTTATCTCCATAGCAAAATTCTGGAGGAAGTCACCGCCATGAAGAACTTCAACAGGAATGTCACCGCAATGAAATCAAATCTTATCATATAAAAGTGTATATAACGGTAAAAAGTGTATCTGACGTTTTTATCAGTTTGAAACGAAATTTTCTGAAAATCACCATTCCATAGCCAGTTCTCCGTACGTTTATGACTTACTCACCGATTCCTCCTAGAAATCTCCACCTTGCCCTACAAACACTTTACCCTCCATGAATCGTACTTCTCCGTTCGGCAAGCTTCGCGGCCAGGTTTTGTACAACAGGTCTGGCAACAGGTATTATCCAGAGATAATTTATCCCGTTTTTTAATACCGTCATTTCAGTTTTTGCCTCACAGCCACCAATTCGAGGGGGCCAAATCCAGCCACGTGGCATTCGACGTGCGTCGGTTGCTCGGCCCTGGAGGCCCCAGCACCATAGCGCGCACCCCCAAGACGGCCCATATCAAGGCGCAGATGTTCATGCTGAAACATTTGAGTTCTGTTCTGGTTCCTCAGTTCTGGTGCCTCCTCCTGGTTCCTCACTTCCGGTGCCTCCTCCTGGTTCCTCTGTTCTGGTGCCGCCTTCTGGTTCCTCTGTTCTGGTGCCTTCGCTACGCAAAATGGTCATCGTGAACTCCAAATTCAGCAAGCCAAAACGCAGCAGCAACTGCAGCAACAACATAGACAGCATGAATCGCAATCCACCGTTGCAGCCGCCTCAAGGGCAGCATCGCGGAGAGCGGCAGCGACGACCTGTCGTGGTTCCAGCGTTCAAAGCTTAGCATGACTCGTGGGCACTGCTCGACGTCAGTTTACAGGATTACATGGAGACGACGCGTCACAAGATCGTCATCGCGGAGGTCATCAACGTGGCTCGCCGCAATGCAGGCTTGCGTGAAAGGTCCGCTTCCGAGGGCTTCCTGACTCAGAAATTTCTCTCGTGCCCGACGACTGGGAGCCCTATCAGCCGAAGTACATCTGCACACACGGCTGGAAGGAGCGTGATAGATCGACGGGGAAGAGGACGTCGCACAAGCTCCGCCGCACCGAGTGTCCGTTCCAGATGCTGGCTCAAGTCGTCATGCGCCGAGACGGAACGTGGGGCATCGTCATGAAGCGCGAAGTCTACAACCATAACCACCCCGTTTCCGACGGTATCTACAGGTCTTACCCAGGTATTCGCCAGGTTCCAGCAGGCTCTGCTTTGATACCGGGTATTGAGCTGCTGGTCAACGCCGACGCTGGGACTGCAAGCATCTACAACTACATTCGCGAGAACTCCAACCACCGCGTCACAATGGACGACGTTCGTGTGGCCTAGTGCCCCAAGCTCCTGGGAGCCGACCGGTCCCGGGGTTGCAGTTCCCGGGGAGGTGTGCCTGCCCGAGTGATACATGGTGTGCCCCACACGAGAGGAGCCCCGGGGGGCCAGCGTGGTACGAGTGGTGACGGCAGAAGAGCCGACCTCGGACCAGCCCATAACGAACTCAAGTGATTAAGCGGATACCTGTCGGAAAACCATAGTTAAGCGTTTCCCCGGGACCAGTGGCCTTGGGGGAGTGCCCAATTCAGTCTAACTTTTTCCCCAAAGAACTCAATTCGCTTTCGCTTCAGGAACTCCAAGGTACGAAGGCCGCGGTCACTGGGACTCGCGCTAGTAGGCTATCCCCAGGTAAATCGATAACATTTTTACCAGGGTTTCCCTCCAGGAAGCCCCAGACATTTCATATTTGTCCCCCCGGAGTGCGGTCTAGCCAGCACGGGTAAGGGCATTCCATATTCACAGGGTCTCTCCCGTGGGGTCTCGCCCCGAAAAGTACTGCGGCCGTCACCGAGGGAGTCTTGCTCCGAAAGACTTGATTGCATATCTGAGTTGCGTGTTAACTCCGCCCCGGGAACCAGGTAGCGTCACCGGGCGATTGATTATATTGCTACCAAGCCAGCGTACTGATAAGATCGGGACTCCCAGGAGATCCTCAGTGGTTGACCATCCCTCTGATCCAAACAACCGATTCGAAGGGGGTACACAAGGTGAGGTTACTGACCGAGTCCCAGGACCCCTTGCTTTCCCATAGCGAGTGAATGTCCCGGGAACTCACGGCCCCGGATAAATCCCTCGTCCGGACGGGCCGTCTATCTACTAGGAGATTCACTCTCTCTAGTTCCCTAGATCCATAGTCTAGGAACGCAACCCGGGAACTGGTGGGTGCCGTGGGCGGAAGCCAAGGCGCTACATCACATTCGGAACCTAGTTGCACGGATGCACAAGAAAGGCAAGTCATTGTCGTGATAACATGAGTTGACTGAGAAGCTGACTTTATTGACACTGATGAATAGGAATTGAACTATCCGACGACGACGCAGTGGCGGAAATGATCGTGAATTTCAACTTGGAGTCGCCCCTGAACGTGTCGTCGATGCATGAGAACGAACACGGCGAGACTGGCGTGATATCGTTTATGAGTGGCCATATGCGGGGTAATGCTGTACAGATTCCCAGAAGTGATTCAAATGGACTGCACGCATCAGACAAACCAGTGAGTCTCTATTATGTTTGCAGGTTTTGGCTACGTATTATCCCGTTTTGACCAGGGTTTGGATTTGTTATTATTAGATACAACCACCGGCTTCTCACGATGGTTGCGGTGGATCAATACGGGAATGGGCAGCCCGTGCAGTACTTACTGATCGAGACGAACAGCGACTGGCACATGGCTAAGTGCATGGACCACGTCAAGCGGGCAAACGAACAATGGCGCTTGGTGCGGATTGTCATCGTTGACAAGGACATGCGTGATATTGATATCATCCGCAAGAAGTTGCCAGAGGCTCACGTGCTACTGTGTCACTTTCATGTGATCAAGTGGGTGCACGAAACGATTCGAAAGTCCAAGAAGTACGGCGTGTACGAAGAAGATGTGCTCTCTCCGATGAAGCACATCATTACCAACATGACCTACGCTAGGACGTCTGAAACATACACGTCTCATTGCGACGAGTTCAAGCGTTTCGCTGACAGAGAAGACCTCCCAGAGCTGTGGGGCTACATTGACAAGAATTGTTGTGAATGATGTGAGATGTGGGTGATGGCGTTTCGTGTTGGGCTGCGCCATTTTGGCAATCACGCCGACAATCACGTGGAAAGCTTGTTCGGAAAGCTGAAATGCTACTTGAAGGACCACCTGACTATGCGTTCAAGCCTGAAAGTCCTCCTGGCCTACCAGCGACAAAAGGAGGAAGAGTACATGGTCAAGGTGGAGATGCCTGGGACGTTTCGAGACGTTTCCTACTGTGAGCAGATGAACATTGCACTTGACATGACGACACGTTGGGTAGCAGCGGCGATCAAGACGCAGTATGACGTCGCAACGGATGCCTTGATTGCTGACTATTACGCATTCAAGGATAATGACACTACGATCACCGTCCAGTATGATGAACACGAGTATGCACTCGAGAAAGAGGGCTGAACATGCGCCTGCGAGTTCGCACAAACCATGAAGCTGCCGTGCAGACACGCGATGGCGTATCGGAAGACGTGCAGAAACCCTCTGATCATCCCTTCTCAACCATATCGCCCAGGTATGTCCAGGTTTCACCCATGTATTCACCAGGTATTGCAAGTTAGTTTAGGTATTGACCAGGTATTCACCATGTTTTGTGTTGAATATGTAGGTGGTTCGACCAGCGTCGGCTCTCACAAGATGAATTGACTGAAGTTGAGCAGCCTTTTGTGGCAAACGTGTTCAAGAAGAAGCAGCGCGCCGTTGATGGGGCTCTGAGCGTGGCTGAAAAGTATCGCCGAGCACAGAAGGCATTCGACCGTATCAGTGGAGAGCTCGCGCAGGTTCAGGACGAAGTGTTCGAGTCTGCAATGAGCGACCTTGACAAGTCGTGGTACAATCTGAGGCATGGTAAGACGGATCTCCTGCCGCCCCCATCCTCTGGTGACGGAGGCTCAGGAAGTGGAGGTGGTGGTGGTGGGAACGATGGTGGCGCTCCGGGTGGGAGTGCGTCCCAGGGAGAGGGCCCGCAAGAAGATCATCACGTTGACAATGCCGAAGAAGGCAGCATGCAGGACGAAGACGGATCTGACGATGGGGCGCCGACGCAGGTCGTCGATTCGACAACCCAAGCTGCTGATAATGAAGGTTGTTCACGCGGGCTTAGCGTTCAACTGTCAGGCAATGTCAGACGGCAAGCCCCCCCCTCTCGACCGTGCAGCGCAGAAGGAATAGGCAAAAAAGGCTTTGAAGGAGTACAAACCTACGGGCTTTATTAGCGAAAAAGATGTGTGTGAAGTGGTGGCTACAGTTCACGATGTTAAACCTGGTATTCGTGAGGTAGGGAACCCCCTGGCTACGTTGCAAGTGAAGTCTCATGGGCAAGGCAAACCCATTGAGTGGCGCGTCGACGCTGCATTCGTCCCAGACACAGTCCGGTTTCGTCTACTGGAGTCTATAGTTGACAACGCGCTTGAGCAATTCCTCGGCGGCCTTGCGAAGAACGAACAGATCGAGCTAGACAGTGAGGGCGAAGCCGCTACAAGCGGCGATTGTTATGTGGCGGCTATTGCTAAGGTCGGTCAGTTCACGCGTTACCAAGTGAAGTCTATGAAGTGGTTGAGGAACCTACAAGCTACATGTCGTGATGTTGTAATTTGTTGCTCGTGGCTTCACCGCGAGGTAAGAGCTGCTCATGCCCCCTCTCTCCGTGTGCCGGTGCATTTACTGAGCTCTTGGAGAACGGACCGTACAATGAACTGCGTAGCTTCGGATTCGACCTGGCGTACTCGGATCTGTATTGCTTTCGCGACCTGGCCTGACTAAATGATGACGCGATGAAGGCATTTGCTGTGGTGCTGGCCAGCTACAATAACAATGTGACAATTACGGCCACACCGCAAAGGCATGGTGAGGCTACACAGCAGAAACGAAGTCGTAAGGGCCTGCTTTCATCCAACGCACTAGAGGACGTCGTTGCAGGTGTTTCGACGTATGCATTTGTGCTGCTGCCCGTAATTTTCGGGGGCACTCACTGGGTATGTCTCGTTGTCGACCGAGATGCCAAACAAGTGAAGACGTACGACAGCAAGAATGACAAGCGCAATAAGCAGATGTTGAAGAAAATCGCGAGTGAGAAAATTGCTGCAGATGCGACTATGGCGAGCTACACGACTGTCGAGATGACCGAGCCTCTTCAGCCCGACAGTAATAGCTGCGGGGTTTTGTGTGTCGCTTCTTCTGGACCTGTGTTAGCGACGACGCTCCAAGTGATGTAACGCCGACGGGTATCACCAAGCTGCGCTGGGCAATGCTGGAAGCAATCCTGAAGCCGAATCGTCGCTAGTCGCAAGAAGATAAAGGCATAGTGCATTTTGAGGCTAAACTTAATACATGGACACTACGTGGATGACATCTGGACAACACCTGGAGTTACGTGATGGAGTCATACTTGAGTGATGGCTTCACTTGCCGGTTCTCACCATGCCGACGGAAGTCGGCGCTCATCGCTCTGGCTTTTACTCAAGTAGCGCACACATGAGTATTCCAGGTATTGATACCTGCACGAAACCCGGACTCTACTGCTGAAGACTGATTGGCTAGAGCTCTTCCGACACGAACTGAGCGCCGTCACGTCCACTTCTGCTCAAGTTCCGCACACATGATTCTTCCAGGTTTTCCACGCGCATTATACCTGGTCAGGCAATTTATGTGGGTCGCATAGATTACTTTCATCGGATTCGGCAGGGTTTGAAAAACCTGTAGATAACCTGGAATAAAACTTGGACAATACCTGTGGAATCAGTTTTCTGAGTTAAATCTGAATCTGGGAAACCTGGGCGCTAAGGCTGTCCTTCTCCGTCCCACGAAAGTATGCAGTAAATTTTCATTTCTCAGTTTCTCGTGAACAAATTATCCGTTTCCTGTGCTGCGGTTAGCAAATGCAAGCGCATAATCTGCGCTTCTTGATGTTTTTTTTTACAGCTCACCACTGCTTCTTTCAAAGAAGCCAGCGATGGGCTCCTGGCTCTAGAATGTGAGGGTCGTCACATTTTCCTCCGTAATTCATTGACTATTTGTCGCCTTACCAGCAAGAAGGTATGGTTGGGATCGCCTTCATTCACTGCGTCCAGGAACATTTATTATGGGCGTAAAAGCATTGTTTTAGGCTCGCAACAACAGCGTTAACAAATGGCCAATCCGATGCCATCGTAAGCGCTTTTGCGTTTTCATTGGAAAACAAGGAACGCTGAATCGTATTTTGTTCAATCATATGTATTTATGTACACCACACAATGTTGGAGAGGACATGCATTCGTGGAACGGAGAAGTATACTTTACGCATTAGCCCAGCACATTTTCGAAATTTGTTTCCTATTTCGGGGTAATCGTACGATGTATGCAGCTTACATCATCCATTTTTTAACATAAATCTTGCTTGTATGTATCACTACTGGTACTTTGCAAGTTGAGGTTCGCGATTCTGCTGATTGGTTTGCAGAAAGTTCATGGGTGCCAATGCGTCGTTCTTGAAATTTTAAGTTAGTTTCTAGCTGTTGCTTGGTCGATGAGTGCGTTCTCAATGAACTCGCGATGGTCTCGCATGTTTTGACCACCGCTGACTATCATGAAGTCCGTCATGCGGCGCATATCATCCAGTGTCTCTATGTCGCGGTCGATGGAAATCATGTAGCAGAGCTGCAGTACGGAGAGTTCCCGATCCGGGGTCGAGTCTGGAAACCGCTTCGTGACAGCTTACCCTCGCATGTTGAACGCGAGTCCGCGTAGCAGCTTGTTTTTCACCTCTATCGGCACAGCGCGGGAGGTCCAGGCGATGACGTCACGGTCTTTTTTTTACATATCGTCGGATAGCTTGTTTGACGCGGACATCAGCCCGAGAGCTGTTGGAAACAATCTTCTTCTTAAAGTCGGCGATGAGCGTGAACGGCTCGTTGAGATCCGTATGCGATGAGCAAGGGTCAAATCATGGCAGACAACATTAGTACATGTT